GATTCCCGATCGATGATAATCGGGACCAGTTTTCGCCACTCAAGTCACTAATCTCACTTCGGCCTTACTTTCGAGTGGTTCTCCAGCCTCCAGTTCACTTACTTTTGAGCTCCCCTTTCGGTGGAAAAGCTACCTGCAACCTATCTACCTACTGATGCAAGTCACAACCGGTGCGGTAGAAACCCACCGAGAAAGTGGATGAGTGCTACATCGGACGAGAAACAGGGGGTCGCCTTTTTTTTTGGCTTGTTCTTCAAGGCGACGTCGGGTTTGCTCATGACACGCTGAAAGTTCGGCGAACCCGTTGAAGAATCAAAGTAACAAGAACAAAGAACTCCACCCCCGGGAAATCCTGAAAATAGCTGTGGACATTCTACCGTAGTAGTAGTTACGCGTCTGCCTATGATGTCACAGGCCGTTTCTCGAACCCCTTGTCGTACACTAGGTAGGAAGATTGAGAGGACCTTGCCGTGTAGGTGAGGGATGTGTTTTGGCTTGATGTGGTGTTGGCCATGCCGTCGCTCATTCGTTCGCAATATGCCTGGTCACTGGTTGAGAGAAAAGTTGCCCAATTATCACCAATCACATGTACCGTTCGAGACGTCAAGTGTTGGCAGCATACTTGCAAGAAGTTTGTTTCGTTTTTCCAACTTCTTGGGTTGTTGGGATGATGCAGCTTTGCCAACTTCGCCGACGTTCGCCGTCTTTCGGCGCGACGACCCCTCAACGGTTCTTGATGATTATGATAACGATGACGGCTTTGAGTAGATGTGCGGAGAGAAGGTTGGCTTTGCTGCTGGGTTATTTGACAGTTGATGGGGAACCTGCTTTTGTGGTGACCGGGCTTCACATGGTCTGGTGTTGATGTTAATGAGTTCAACCAAGATAAATAAGTGCCATTTTAAGTCGGGCGAAATCCTCGTAGAGAGCCTGCACCTGATACAGTGTCAGGGTAAAGTTAGAGCTTACACATACTGAATGATACTCCTTCGCCTTTCATGTCCTCGAATGAGATTCCCTTCTTTAGAACTCCGGGTCTGCTTCGCCAACGTTGTAGCTGTCATTATGTTGCTTTAGTGGACATATCAGCATGTTCATCACTCCCTAAATGGGTCTAATAGCTCGCCGAGTAATCACGTACTGTTCGAATGTACGTCAGCAGGGCCAGCCTTTCGGCCTCGATGAAGTCCGATCATCAGTCCTGAACTGCGCAGTGGAACGTGGAAAGACTTTTTGTACGGCCCTGAACACCTTCTAGATCACCTTTTTTTACCAGTATTACACCACGTATCATTGGAAAGCATGCTCGTTCTCGCAGCATCTTGGCTCGTATAACCTCTCGCCTGCTCTGGTGAGTGTATCAGCGTACTGAACCGCATGCCGAGGTTGAACTCTGGAATCAGGGATGGAGGAGCCCATTGAACCATGTGTCTCAAAAGTGCGGTGCTTTTCATGAGACTTGCCGGAAGGGTGAGAATTCTCTATACGTAGAATCGCACCAGCAACTAGATCACCAAATACGAAATCAAACCAGTGCATCTTGATTCTCAGGTTTCGCCCGTCTCGATACCTTCCTCCTGAGCGCTTGTGACCCCTTCTTCCGAGTTCCGTCGTGGTCGAAGGGGAAGTAGGAGGCAGTGAATTAGTCCTGAGACGTAAGTTCCAGGTCATCTACGAGGACTCCTGTTTCCCATCTGTGTCGTACTTTTATCCTAGACGCGGGAGAGGGCCAGGAGACAAGAGCTGGGTTACGTCTGACGATCTCGGCTCATGCCTATTCAGGTAGATACCTTTGCCTTTGGTACATCAAGGGCAGACAATTGACGCGGTGATAAAGCTGCTCTTGACGTTGATGAAGCACAGAGGAAAAATACAATTCATAGAGAAGTCTTGATTGAGTAGCATAGGTAGATCACACGAGCTGACCTGGGGAGGGGGTAGTCATCAACCAAGGGTCATGACGAGCTCGAAGTAGGAGAAGAGTATGGGTGCTGGTGGACGATTAGGAGGTGGGAGCAAGCAATCCAGCACGGCACTGCGAAATAGCCTTTGAGGGAGAGCTGAGTCGTTTGCTTTGTTGTAGCTTTTCATTTTTCCTTGTTGCTGTTTGTCGGATGGAAGAAGCGTATCTCGAGGTTCCTATTCCCTCTTGAGTTTTCAGCTTCTCGCAGCCACTTCTCTACGATCTCCTTCTGTCGGAATGAGGGGGAGATTGCCACTTTGTGAGGGTGATGAATTAGTTTCCCTGTGTGGGCTAGAACTTGGAAGATCCGTCTACCAGTCGGTTAGCATATTGAGATCGAATTTCTCCTACTTGTTGAGAAGCGTGTACGTCTTCGTTTGGCTTCTACAGAGGCCCCTAACCTCTCCCCCCAAGTTCAATGGTCTACGCAAAATTAGACCTGAATGTCTGACGAAGGGGAATCGGAGCTTCTGCATTATGTGATGGTGTTGAAAGCCATTGACGGACTTGTCAGCCATGCTTCAAAGTCTTTGGATGTAAATGAGGGATATGGCTAAAATGCCGTCTTAATAGAAGTTGTCACCTTAGAGGATGAGTGGCTTGTTTCCAGATAGGTAATGGTGGGACTTGGGCTCGGATTTATCTTCTTTTACATGATCTCCAAGCGAAGAACAGGCCTTTGGAAGTCTGAAGCAGCACTCTCGAGATGATGTGGCGATCGAACCTGTCTAATTACTACGGCCATCAGCAGTTATAAGCGCGTCTGATGGAATTGAATCCATCAGGTAGATACCTCTGGGGGCTGTATTGAATGCATGAAGCTAGCTCTGATCTCCTCGCTCTCTGATATCAGTCTTCTTCCTCATCTGCAGAACGCCAATATTGCACCTCGTGAAAGCTCACCGGCCAAAACAGCCAAGAATCGGCTTTAAATAAACCTAGACAAGTCATGACTTGCTGCGGTCTCGTCTTGATGATTCATTGTCTAGTGCTTTGGATTGATATTGAGCGTTGACGGTGGAGTTCAACATGAGATAAGTGAAGATACCTCACCTGCACCTCACTCGCTGACTTGAGTACGCAGTAGAGACTTACTCCTCACGCAGGGATGTAAACTATGATGGACACATACAACAAGTCGTCGGTCGTTATCATTATTATTCAGGTCACTGAATGTATTCATTTTGGGTGACGTCAAGTTCTTCACTTCGGTCTCGGGATTACCGTCACGAGCTGGCATTGATGTCTGGCTATAATCATCTTGAAGAAATATGATAGATCAATGACCCTCGAATAGAAATTAAAGCCATTTGATGACGACGGGAATGTCATGTAGACTTGTCATATGCCGCTTACAACAGCATCGCAAGGCTTCTCACGCTAAGCAAATCACTTACTTGAGATCCAAGCTCTCCACAAGTTCTACTTGGCCATTCACTGGGAGGGCGAAGTAAAATATCAGGTCGAGCTTCCTAGGGGCCGTACGAGTTGCATGAGCCTCGAGATCCAGCTACTCCGAGGAAGATGGACTCGAGCAAGTCACGTGGCGGTGGCTACTTATGCTGATTTCATGCTTTGATCAAGTCGATTGATATCTGAATAACTTCCTCGGTCACAACTGGGTAGAAAAGGGCAAAGGATTGAGTAAGAAGCTCGTACCGGAACCTGAGGAACGCGGTCAAGGAAGCAGTCCCTGAATCTTAGACAATCTGGTAGCACGAGAATGTGGTTTGTTGACTTGACTTGTAGATGTAGGATTCTATAGTATCCGATGCGTATTCAAGCTAGATCACGAGCAGCCGGGAGACTCGTGGGATTTCGCGATAACGTTCAGAGACCCAACCCTTGGGGAGCCAAATCTCACTAACCCTGTGGACCCCATATCCATGGGTACTCAAAACCCATGAGGAATCGAAACCCATGGGGACCTGAATCGGACATACCCATGGCGAATTAAAATACCCATGGATACCCAAATTACTCAAAGTCAAGAAATTCGAGACCCAAGTACCACAGAGTATCAAAAGGAAGCATGCGAAAGTCAATATGATCAAGTTTCCGCAACTTACGCCAGCTGTAACGATAGAGCCGGTGGGATGGAATGCCACATGGCACGTCTTTGGAAACGACGTAGACGAACGGAAATGTTTCTCGAAGGTCGATCACCGACTAGGCGTGTTAGTGCGCAGTCCAATAGCAAGCCCCGAGTCTAAGGCGTCACATCGTTGTGTTCGGTCGGGTCACTAGAAGCACACAACCGCTTGGACATGAATCGCAAGCTAATCTGGAGGGTGCGAGCTATCATAACAGCGGGAGAGCGGAAGATGTTGGGGTGGCCGAGGGTAGGACATTATTCGTGAATATGGTCCGGGACGGCGCCACAACCGTTTGGAGTGTCCGTGGCGGCCGGTGGTGGGTTAAGGTAGGTTGTCGTCGGTGGTCCACGGGGCCGGACACATCCACGTGACTAGAGTCGCATCATGAGCATCTTGGCTGGATTATGACGCCAACGTCTTTCCTAATCCGGCATGGACCCGCGATCTTGCACCTGGAGTTCTCGCTTGCTTCGATACGGGACATGTACCGTTTCGACAAGGAACGATAACAAGGCAGCCAAAGATGGACGATAAAAAGTACCCGGTCAGGCCAACAGAGCAACGCAGAATATTCACATGGAAGTAAGTGCGTTATCCGGACTGAATGTAAGACAGAGTATCATCGGCTCCGGGTCTTCCGTGTAGAGTTCGGATAAGTATCACCGTGGGGGGGCTGGAGTGTGGTGGGACCTAAGCTGGAAAGAGTCGGGAGCACGCTAGCTTCGCTAAAGATGGAAGGACGCTAGTGCATATCGGTGGATAGTGCACTGTTTGTCATACCTGCAGATCCTGAGCAATTGCGCCAATGGCCCCAAATGCTCGGTCAGCAGGGCAAAGCCGCAAGAGGAGGGCAGCGCAGAGGGTGAATTTCACAATTAGTGGCTAAGGTATGGGAAACTGGAAGCTTCCGTCATTCCATTCCCAGCAAGTCGGTCCACAGTCCACACACACAAGCCCAGCCATCCATTCGCACTTGTTACACCACTCGGCACGCACCAAGCACCACCACAACCAACCTAACGCCAGCACCTCCCGCAGCCCAGCGGCCAGCCATGATTTCCTCGGGCTTTCCTTGACTTCCCCCCAAGGTTGCAATGCGGACTAACTTCTTGACTTTTCAACTTCACATACCACTTCCTTCGTCCCTCACACGGCAGACGCCTTCTTCTGACCTTTTCGGTTCTGTCTTATACCCAGTCGTTTTTCGTTTCTCGGGACCAGAAAATTAAAGGACCAACCCTCCCCTTGCAACACCTTTGTGTTGTTGTTATTGTTGTTATTCCCCCCCCAAAATCGACAGCCGAAATCCATTCGCTTGCCTGCCTACTAGGAACCTTGGCTTAATCCCAGGCTTCAGCCCGATCCACCTTGTTTGGGCGACCCGACCGGTTCCCCCTCGACCACCGACCGCGACTGCGACTACAACACGACACACAACCCCTGGTGACTCCTGTATCACTCGGAAACCTTCTCCGTCTTCAGAGCCTTCGACCTAACTACATCATCACCACACTTGCCGCCCTATCGCTCGCCAAATATCGTCTTTCATTGCATACAGTATTGCGAAACCGCAACCGCTCGAACCTCCGAAACATCCAAGCCAGAAGGCACGCCATACAACATGCGTCGCCCTTCGGCAGACCTCACCGACCCTTCGCGCAATCTAGAGGAGTCTGTTGGCTCGCCATCGTCAGTCATGGAGGGAGCCGACGTTGACCTATCCATGCCCCCGACCTCCGACGAGGAGATGGACGACACTGACGGCCGCATCTTCACCCCGCCTCCGCACATCGCCGCCCGCTTCTACCGGCCCTCCCAGACCCGTCGCAAGGACTCAGCAGCCTCTTCCCGCCGCAACTCCATCTCTTCTGCTCATTCCCGCTGTTCCTCGACCCAGACCTTCACCCGCCATGGAGACTCTGACCAGAGCAAGCACATTGCACAGCACCTCCGGCGCACGTCCTTTCTCGAAGACCGAAAAGCACGCCTCGCCGACCGAGCTGCCCACGCCGAAAAGGTTCGTCTGAGAGCCGCCATGGCCAAGGCCAGCCACCGCGACACCTCCCTATCCGAAGAACGAGCCATTGCTGCCCAACAAGCCCGGGAGCGCAACCTAGCCGAGATCGTGGCTTCCTGTGCCGAGGAGGTCAAGAGGGCCAAGGCCGTTGCCGAGACCATGAAGGGCAAGAGAGAACAGGAATTGGTCAAGCTCCGCGTTCAGATGGAAGAACGCTTGGCTGAGGCCGAGCGGCGGAGAGAAGAGTTGAAGGGCCGTAATGCCACCAAGAGGGCGCGAGGCCAGAGTCTCATGTCGCGGAAGCCCACCGAGGCTTCTTCGAATACCTCTGACGAGAAGCGTGCTCGGGTGTTGAGTGAGCCTGAAGCGGCCGAAAAGTTGCAATGGTGGTGGAAGAGCCTCATGAGGAGAAAGGCTGTCGCTGAGTTCTCCGAGTTGGGCATCACCATTGACGGCGTGCGGGACACGTCCTTTGACCAGGTACTCGAGCTGTTGGCGCAAGAAGAGGTCCTCGTACAGACCGCCCGTATCCTTAGGATATGCGGTTTGCAGGAGGGCGAGACGGGGTCCGTCGAGGAGATGGCCGCCGTTCGCACATTTCTCAGCGCTTTTCTCATTCTGGGCCACCCCACGCAGGTTCTGAGTAACAAGGACGGCACGGGGGATAGGGAACAGGTTGGATTGTCACAGCCTCAACCAATGCCCCGTAATGACCTTGCTAATCCACAGCTGCAGGACCTCGTGACGAAAGCCCGAGATCTCCTAATTTCTTTCGAGAATATCATGTCGCGTTTGACTGCAGCCAACAACTATACCCCCCCGCCGACTCTGCGTAGTGCACTGCCCGAGATTTACGCCACTTTCTACAACGCGTTCCTTGCGTGGAAGTCTCGGGACTCAGAGTCTCTTGTTCAGTTAATGCTCTTACAGTTTGTTGAGCTGGACATGATTTTGCAGACGGTCCAGGAAAGCACCGAAGACGCGGCCGCAGAGCAATACCGAGAGAGCATTAAGAGCAATCAAGTTCAGCTTATTGTGCGGATCAAGAAGCTTGCGGGACAGGAAAAGGGCAAGAAGATGATCGGCGATGCCGTTCGCAAGGCACGCAAGGCACGAGCTGCAAAGAAGCCCACTGGCGATATGAAGCCTCGTGTCGCCGAAAACGTGCCCGGAGAGGCTTCCGCTACTGCCGAAAGCCTTGTGTCGCCAGATTCGCAGACCTTGACACCGCCGGCAACGCCGGCCAAAGGTCATACCAAACCACAGCCCATCGAGATCAAGCCTGGGTTCGGCGGCCTGTTGCCCGATAACAGGATTGTCGTCCACGAGCTTGCCATTAACCGAGAATACCGCATCCCTTCAAGCGAATACCGGGAACACCACGCCGCCGTCCAGATACCCCTATTCGCGGGAATGAGAGCAAGCATTGAGGAAGACAATATGGACGCTAGCTTTGCATATTTTGTCATCATGATGAGGTATCTCAAGGACAATCTGCAGCGGCTCGTCAAGCCCGGTGCCTACATGCACACGACAATTAGTGAGATACTGGATGTCGAGGTGGCCGAGCGGCAGTTCCAGATGGGAAGCTTCTCATATGAGAAGTTTTTTACTTCCATGGCAAACCTCTTGCCCAAGTTGTGCGCGCCATTCCGCGACGACGAGGCCAAGGATTTGGTGGAAAACAAACTTCAAAACGGGAGCTTGGTTGATCGGGTGGAAGCATTGACAGAATTTGTCGATTTCATGTTGTGCGACTACGTCAACTACATGTTCTCCACTGCAGCTCCTCAGTTGATTGAGTCTGCAACAGGGTATGAGAGGAAGAGATTTACCGGGGCGCTTGAGAGCGGTGCACACGATTTGAGCGCGGCCGAGACGGCGTGGCGTTCTGCACGCTCCAAGGTTCTGGCGGAGGCTCGAAAGAGAGATCCGGAGGGCATCAATCACCCCAAGAATCGGCCAACGGACGACAAGATTTACGCACAGCTGCTCGTCGACAGTTTCACGCAGCCGGCTCCAATCGCCGTTGACAAAGTACCAGAGATGTTGGGCTTGGACTACAAGCGCATGGTGCGGTTGTCCCTGGCCTCGCAGCGAATTGTCACCACTGGGGCCATCTTACTGCAATGCAAGAACCTCCTGAAGCGAGACGTCCGCACGCCGTGGAAGACGGAGGCGACACGGATCACAGCGGTGCTTGAGGCAGATCACGACAATGTTGAATCGACAGTACAGGGTGTCATGGCGGCACTCGAGGCAGGTCGGTCTATGCCGGCAGCGACCAAGACGCACCTGAAAGCCCTCGTTACCAAGGTGCTGAAGGCTAGCCAAGATTCGATGAAGAAGAGCATCGAGCCGACAGAGCCTGTTCTGCGGCTTCTCCTGGCCAGGCTCAGGGGCCACATGAACGCCAGGTTGACTGCTGGATCAGCAAAGGAGAAGCTCAACGCGGCTACGACTGCGCATGAGAAGCTGGCGGGTCTTGGCCTGGCGGAGTTCGCAGTGCAGGTTCGGGAGATGCTGGACGAGATATCCAAGGTCGGAGCCGTCGACAGAGCGGCCCACGGATCATGGTGGAACGAAGTGGCGGCCAAGGTGGCGGCGGAAGGAGGAGCGACGGGCGCCAGCGCCAGCGCCAGCGCCGGCAGTCCGGCATAAGGTTGCAAGGCACAAGGCTGCAAGACGAAGAGCACGTGTGTATGCATGGTACGATATACGAGTAGAGGAGGAGGCATTCTTGAGGACTTTTTCTCTTGACGACGTAATGATGTACTTGTTCGGGATCGAATGGGGGCAGGCGTTACGGTGTGGGATTGGCTGCTTTCGAGATCGTTTTTTCATGGCACGGTTAGGACGCATTGGGTATCTTGTGAATTAGCGCGCTCACAGTGTTGGGAGGGAATTTGTCTGGAGGCAAGGCAAGAGAAGGGAAGCACTATAGGTAGGCATCGATCGTGTCTGGCGATGTGTATACCAAGCGAACATTAGAGGCTTTGGGATGCCACAGCGGGAGAGGACTTTATACATTGAGCGTTGCAGAGGAAGAGCAACAATGGTTCATATTACAGCTATATATATACCTATTCGATTCGTTCTTACTTCACTTGAGACTGTGATATGTTCCGGATTAATTGAACTTAGGGAATGCCGTTCATTCGTACCTCAAAGCTTACAGATATCTACCTACCCTATATGGGGGCAGCCGTACCGAGGTCATCTCGCTTGTCATCGGCGTTGAGCATTACTACTTTTTTTTTCTCTTCGAGGGAACTTATGATTGAGCACAAGCCACCACAGCCTCGTACTGGGAGCAGTTAGCCCCGTTTTCTGCCTAAACAGGCTAATTCCCGCGCCGAACCGTCCGAGTTGACAGGCTGTGACCTCCTGAGTCTGTCCCGTCCTCGTACAGAGATTTATCTACAAAGTATTCCAACCAGACCAGCGTGAAGAAGGAATCGGTAGCGACGATGTACTGAGGCGATTGTCACCTGCCTCCTCAACCTCATCCCCAGCTCTATAGTCCTTTTCCATCGTCTGCGTTCAGTCTGCCCCGGGCGGACCGATCAAACAGGATGAACCCGATCGGGCAGCTGGCCGGACGGACGTTTGGTCCTGCGGCGCGCGGTCTGGTCCGCGGCTGCTGTGTATCTGTACCACTACTGTCACCACTTCTTGTAACACCAACATCATCGTCATCTTTTGGCTCATCGACGCCGGCTTGTTTTTCTTCTTCATCATCCTTGTACAACATTGGCTTCAGACGCCACTTCTCGAATACGTCTGTCTTCAAGGCAGCAGCTTCCACCACGTCTACGTCTAATGCTCTCTGGTCCTCGGCTCCCAATGTTGGACGGATTGCTCGCGATGCCTTCATTGCGAGGTAAGTTTGTCTGGTCTGCTTTCTTTTGGTTTACAAGGTCCCCCTTCGTTGGATGGCCATCTTTTCTACCTGTTGGGGCTTTTCTATTTCCCCGGGGTACACTCATCTCGGATAACAAAGGTCTAGTAGACCTTGATTTACTCCGTACTTTACCTTACTCTTTGGTAATGAAACAGCAACGATGCAAGAAACGGGTGTTCCTGGGCTGCCTGTACCGGAAGGTATTAGTGGCCTGCGCGCACCCGTGGACCAAGTCGAGCGTAGCGGCGCCTTGCTTGTGGTGGGCAGCGCAGCGCACTCCACGCTTACCTCACTCAATGAGTGGACAGGAGTGGACAGCCCCAGAACACCAGAGAGCTACCTACCAGCTTGACCCATGCAGGGACCTTTTGTGTGCCCCTCGTTGCCCCTCACCTCGGAGCATCACCATTGATCCACCCCGGAACTCTCTCCTTCACCTTGATCCAAACCCACCACCATACCACCAATACGGATATCTGCCTCAGTAAGGTACCTGAGAGTCTACTACCACGCGCCAGTCGTCCCATTTGCCGCTTGCCGCTTTGCCCATAATCCCAAGTAGGAAGGCACTCTCTTGTGGAGCTGGCACAGCTTCTACTCTAATCGTATCCATTACACTACTCTTCTTTTTTTCCTCCGCCTCCCTCCTATTACCACTACGACCACCTTACTCTTCTTTCCTCTCCTTCCGTCCTCCAATTTTCCTATTGTTCCCCTTGTCTTACTACTCCTCTTTGCAGCCTACCTTTGACTCCCCCAAGGGTACGAAACTGACATAAAGCTCGCCTCGCGAACAAATAGCTACCGCCGACCTTCTTCCTTCCCCGCACCCGTTTCCCACCGCAACTACTGCTCGACAATCACCACATCCGACAAGGCACTGTACGCCAGCAGAGTCGGCAACATGGCTGATCGCGAAGTTCTCCCCGAGTCGATTCGGCCCTCCCACTACGTTCTGTCCCTCCGTGACCTCAACTTCAAGGACTGGACTTACAAGGGAACCGTGACGTAAGGATACACCCCTACCCCTCACCCCGCCCGAGCTCCGAGCTTCAGCTTCAACTTCAGCACGAGCTGCAACCAGCACACCAAAGACGTGCCCGAGATGCTGACCTCTTGCTCGCGCCCCACAGCATCGACGCCGAGGTTGTCAAGCCTACCAAGGAAATCGTCCTCAACGCCCTCGAAATCAAGCTGCTCAGCGCAAAGATCGCTGTCGGCCACACCAAGTCGACGCAATCATGGGAGTCCACCAACTTCAGCTATGGCGAGAAGCAGCAGCGCGCTACCGTCACCTTTGACGAGGAGATTCCCCAGGCGCAAAAGGCTGTTCTAACCATTGAGTTTGAGGGCATTATCAACAACGAGATGGCTGGTTTCTACCGCAGCAAGTACAAGCCCGCCGCCGAGCCCGCCAAGTCTGTTCCCCGCGACGACGAGTGGCACTACATGCAGCAGTACAAGCCCGCCGCCGAGCCCGCCAAGTCTGTTCCCCGCGACGACGAGTGGCACTACATGTTCAGCACACAGTTCGAGTCTTGCGACGCCCGTCGGGCCTTCCCCTGTTTCGACGAGCCTAACCTCAAGGCCACCTTTGACTTTGAGATTGAGATCCCCGACGATCAGGTCGCCCTTAGCAACATGCCCGTCAAGGACACCAAGAAGACCAAGGAGGGCTGGCAGCTGGTTTCCTTTGAGACCAGCCCCAAGATGTCCACATACCTCCTTGCCTGGGCCGTTGGTGACTTCGAGTACGTCGAGGAGTTCACCGAGCGCCGCTACAACGGCAAGCAGCTGCCCGTCCGTGTCTACACCACCCGTGGCCTGAAGGAGCAGGGTCGTTATGCTCTGTGGCACGCGCCCCGCATCATCGACTTCTTCTCCGACATCTTCGGCATCGAGTACCCCTTGCCCAAGGCCGACTTGTTGGCCGTCCACGAGTTCACTCACGGAGCCATGGAGAACTGGGGTCTCGTCACCTACCGCACTACCGCCGTGCTCTTCGACGAGAAGACGTCCGAGGCCAGGTACCGCAACCGTGTCGCTTACGTTGTCGCTCACGAGCTGGCTCACCAGTGGTTCGGCAACCTAGTCACCATGGACTGGTGGGATGAGCTGTGGTTGAACGAGGGTTTCGCCACCTGGGTTGGATGGCATGCGACAGACTACCTGCACCCCGAATGGCAGGTTTGGTCTCAGTTTGTCAACGAGGGTATGGAGATGGCCTTCAAGCTTGATGGCATCAGAGCCAGTCACGCCATCCACGTGCCTGTCAAGGACGCCCTTGACGTCAACCAGATTTTCGACCACATCAGCTACCTCAAGGGTTGCTCGGCTATTCGCATGCTCGCCAACCACCTTGGTGTCGAGACCTTCCTCAAGGGTGTCTCCAACTACCTGAAGGCCCACCAGTACGGCAACGCCAAGACCAAGGCGTTGTGGGATGCCCTCACTGAGGCGTCCGGTAAGGACGTCAACAAGCTCATGGGCCCCTGGATTTCCAAGATTGGCCACCCCGTTCTGACCGTCGCCGAGGAGCCCGGCCAGATCTCTGTCAAGCAGTCTCGTTTCCTTTCCACTGGCGACGTCAAGCCCGAGGACGACGAGACCACCTGGTGGATTCCCCTTGAGATTGAGGGCAAGGTCGGCACCAAGGGCGTCACCTCGCTGTCTCTCGAGAAGAAGGAGGACACAATCCGTGATATCGATACGGACTTTTACAAGCTCAACTCTGGATCTTCCGGTTTCTACCGTGTCAACTATCCCCCTGAGCGTCTTCTGAAGCTCGGACAGCAGCTTGATCGCCTCACCACCGAGGACAAGATTGCTATCATCGGCTCCTCCGCCGACCTTGCCTTCTCTGGCTACGGCACCACCGCGGCTCTTCTGTCCTTCGTCCAAGGCTTCGCCAAGGAGGACAACTACCTCGTGTGGAGTCAGGTCCTTGACTCTATCGCACTTGTCAAGTCCATCTTCAGCGATGACGAGACAATCAAGAAGGGTCTGGAGACTTTCACATTGAAGCTTATCAACGACGTCGTGGCCAAGATGGGCTGGGAATTCCCCGAGGGCGAGAGCTACCTTGACGGACTTCTCCGCAAGAGAGTCCTCTTGACTGCTGGTGTCAACGGCCATGCTGGGTAAATATGATCCACCATTGGTAAACCTGTACAAGTACTAACAATCATAGTGTCACCGAGGAGGCCACCAAGCGCTTCAACGCCTGGGTTGAGTCACCCGAGTCCAACCCCCTGCACCCTGCTCTCCGCACGCCCGTCTTCCGCGTCGCCATCAAGAACGACACGGCCCGTGCCGTCGAGGCCTTGAAGAAGGAGTGGTTCACCACCCCCGCCATCGACGGCAAGGAGATCTGCCTCTCCAACCTTGGTTTCGTCCGCGATGAGGACATCATCAAGAACAACCTGCTTCCCTTCCTCTTCAACAAGTCCCCGCCCGCCCCGGCTTCGGACTCCGTCCCGTCCGCCGACATGCACTCCCTCGGCTCCGCCCTCGCCGGCAACTCGGTCGCCCGCCAGATCCAGTGGGACTACGTCAAGAACAACTGGGAGGCCTGCCTCGCCAAGCTCGGCAACCCCATTGTCGTTGACCGCTTCATCCAGGTCTCCCTGGGCAAGTTCACCGACTTTGAGTCCGTCAAGGACATCGAGGCCTTCTTCGCCGACAAGGACACGAGCGCTTTCGCCCGTACCCTCGAGACCGTCAAGGACAAGGTCCGCGGCCGCGCCGCGTACCGCGAGCGTGACGCTGCTAAGCTGAAGGAGTGGCTCGTCGCCAACAAGTATGCGTGAATCGATGGGGATGAATTGGCGACACCTGGAGGAGTACAGAAAGGGAATATTCCGTCCAAGTTGTAGTCGGTTAGCTGCAGAATGCTAGTTTTTGTAGAAAAACAAAAGCACAGAAAATCAATCATTATTTACGTTATCACGTCTGTGGCCCTGCGTTTGTCTGTCTATTGATGTGATACTATGACATGAAGAAAAAGGTCTTGGTTCCGTCTCGATTGCATTTGAATGCAATTTAATGACCACGCATCTGTGCGGTGTATATATCCCAACCAGCCAGTATGGCCAAGGAACCACCTTCTGACTGGACCGCTTCATCGGCTATGGATGTTTACGAATTGCAGCGAACTGAAAGACTTGCCCAACGACCAGCGGAATTCCAGAGCAATGACCTCATCTTCAGACCTCCCCGCCTTCGTTTTCAACATCGGGAAGCCATACGAGGGGGAGCAAAAATGTAATTTGGGCAATATCGCACGTTTCATTATTTATACATTCAAGACGCCCAGGAAAAGCGCCAGTCGTGGCTACAGCTAGCTAGGTAGCCTGCTTTCCTTGCGTCTTGTCCCTCGAAACCTAATGTACGCTTTTGCAAAGAAAACCTCAAAAGAAAAACTTTGGAAGAAGAACAAAAACACAAATAGCCCTTCCATCCATCATGAAACCCACTCTTCGGAGAGGAACTTCCACAAGAGGGCTTAGATTAGCCCAATCAACACCCCGTTCAAACGCCGAAACCCGTGCAAAAATCGTGCATATCTTTTCATTCCATACACATCCGCCTCCCTCCCTTCTTTCTGGTTCGGTCATTTTCAGTCCAATTGTGGCCGTTTCGCACTGGAAGAGATTTGGATTCTGGTTTTCGAATCGTAGACTAGTCAAACATGTACACGTGTCGTGCAGGCCAGGTAGGTGTCGCATCAGCCTTGAAACGCGGCGCGGCGGAGATTCTGCATCATCCTCTCGACGATGGCCGTTGAGTCCGTAGGCACATCGGGCAGAGGAACGTCGTCCTCGGGAGTTTGATGGGGCGGGGGTAACGACGGCTGCGCCTGCATTTGATGTTGTTGTTGCGGCGGTGGTGGCGGCTGCTGCTGATTCTGCTGTTGATAATGCTGTTGGTATTGCTGTGGCGGAGGATGCTGGTGGTACTCCTGGTGATGTGGAGGCTGCCACTGTCCCGGCGGGGGCGCCCAGGCTTGGGCCTGCTGTGTCTGCTGCTGCTGCTGCGTCGGTCCCCAGTTTGAACCATGACTCTGGTAGCCTGGCATGGCAGCTGTCTGCAGCGGAACCGGCGACGGTACGGACTGATGGGAAGGGGCTGTAGGCGTCGGCGGATTCACGCGCGGGGTGAGGGCAAATTGGGCCAAGAGCTCCGCTGGATTGAGATGCTCAGTCCGTGCTCGGCTCGTGGGAGGGAACGGCTGGGCCGATGGCGTATTGTAAGCCTGCGATTGAGACTGCGTTGGCTGTCGGGGGAACGCCGTAGTCATCGATTGATTCGTAAAGGGCATTCGAGAGGTTGAAGCCGGCACTGGCGTGTGCGGTACCGACACGGGAGCTTGAGCTGCAGGAGGTGCCGTCTCTGTCAATGGGCCAGCTGGTTTTGACGGTTGAGAAGCCGTTTGCGCGGTAGAGCCAGTGATGGCTGCCATCGATGGTTCGTGGGTTGCATCCTTCCCCGGGCGAGAAGCCGGGGGTGGATTCGTACCTTGCGCAGACGCTCCGGTCGATTTCGAACTGGTCTTGGATGGAGTAGCAGCCAAAGGCATCTTGCCCATGGCTGCGAGATACTTGGCCGGGAGGGGAACCGGCGTCTGCTTCTCGGGGATCTATCATTGAGTCAGCTTGAGCTTATTCTACTTGGGGAAATGTCATGTATTAGGTGGTCATACCTTGTACTGCACCTTCGGCGCAGCGGGCTTTGCTGCAGGCTGAGATTTCGTCTGGGTAGATTGAGGCTGGCTAGCAGGAGACTGCTGTGGAGTCTGCTGAGAGACAGGCTGTTGCGAGGGTTGATATTGTGCTGGTTGAGGCTGAGGATGCTGCTGTTGTGGCTGGTTCGCCCAACCTCCATACTGCGGCCGGATCGCTGGGTGTAGCGGCGCCGACTGTGGCTGCTGCGGCTGCCAGCCATGACTTTGGCCATGCGAGCTGGGTCGAGAGTTGCCTGGTGCAGGAGATGGAGATATCGATGAGTAAGATGGCGTCCTGGCGTGATTCTGGGGGACCTGCGGCGCTGGTGAAGAATAAGGGGCCGCTGTTTTGACACCATACATGCCAATAGAACCTTGAGGCATAACATTTGTGAGTGTGTTGTGGTATGGGCCGCCGTAAGCAGGTCCCTGCGGTCCCGTGTTTGGAGCAGGTGTCGGTGTGCCTCCCTGAATGGAGCCTTGCCGGTTTTTGAAAAAGGCTTCTGGAGACGTCCTCATGAGATGGGCTCGGAGGTTACCTTCATATCCGTTGGTGAATCCTCCCCATGGAGCATAAGGAGTTCGGTACGTCTTCGAGTCTCTATGGAGTGTGTGAGTATTATTGACAAAGTCACTGGGGCTGGGGGAATCTGACCTGTTGTGGTGAACCTGGAAGAATGCATATTTCATAGCAACAGAAGGCGTTGGTGCGGCCGAGTATCTCCGATGGTTCTGCTGAGTTGAGCCTTGCGAAGTACTGTGTGGTAAAGGAGGTCTGGAGTTTTGCGAAGGCGCCGACCACGTTTGTTGCGTGGGCCGCGCGCTACCTGCGGGCTGCGGTCCCGGGGTGCTGTAAGGGCTCGGCCGTTGCATCGAGTTCGGAGCCGCGTAGTAACCCTGCCCAGCTGGAGCGGGACGAGGCACATATTGTTGATGTGCGTCGGGAGCAAACTTCTGTTGAACAAATTGAGTCCCCGGGATCGGGTATCGAGGATCGGCTCCGAAGTGGAGCTGCTGTCCTCCGGGAGTCGGGGGCGCAGAAGCCTTGGGTGTGAATTTTTGCGTGGTGAAAGAACCGGTACCAGCATAGTTGGTTTCGACAGGTTTCCTGGGTTTGTATACGTATGGCTTCTCCGACTTCGGCCCATTCTGAACAGTGACTCCAGGCGTAAACACTGGCAATGGGGCTGGTTGTGGTGGAACAACCGACACCCTGCGATGTGACGTGCTTGCGGAAACAGGCTTGGGAGGCTTGGGGATGGTGTCAAGAAAGTTGCTCTTGGGATTGTGCAGCTGCTTGGCGGGATCATCAGAGTACTGTGCCTTCGCCTCCGTCGACGTCTTGCCGAGATAGTGCCAGATTTGACTGTCCTTCGACAGATCAACCTTGGTCTGGTTTGGATTAGTGCACTCGTTGCATGGATGGAACTCTGCCCATGTGTAGCCTTCAACAAAGGGAGCATCTTTCCGGGGAATCTCATCAGCAGGACGCTTCGCATTGAGTCGTTCCTTTGCCTTCTGCGATGATGGCATCGGGATAGCCTTGGAAGACGCCTTCGGAAGGTGGTAGTCAGATGGGTCGGGCAGTAGAAGCCACTTCCACTCAACCTCGAGACAATCACTGCAGCACGTCAGAATTTGTTCATCAAAGTTGTCGACAGAGACATACCCATTAGGAATGATATCAAGGAGGAACATCTGCTCATCGGCGCGATTCTCAACCACAACACCAGCAAAGATGTCGCCCTTGAAGTACTGCAACTGGCAGATATCGCCCTTGGCGAGTGCTGCGGCAGCCTCGCGAATCCGCACATCATCCTCCAAGGAGTCACCGGTATGTTTCCTATCACGCTTGGTACGATGGAAGCGACAGCTGAACTCGAACGCTTGCTCCTTGTACTCGGTTCCATCTTCGCCAAAGACTGGGACTTCGGCTTCTTCGACAAAGACACCCGCGGCAGCCGCGCATGTGGCGTGGTAGGCCCGGGCACATTTCTTCTGGGAGCACTGGAAGCAGGCACCCTTCTTGGACCGACAATAGAGACACTTGAGATCCAGGCGTTCCTTGTTGATGTTGGCAACATTCGCAATGACCTCCTTGTCGTCGACGGTATCGATGTACGTCTCGGGCAGGTATAATGCGCACATACGATGGGCCTTGCGGCCATCGTCTGTTGGCAGAACTTCTGCACCAGGGATATCGCTGGGGCAAAGGCAGCACGTCGGCTCTGCGCGCGTCTTGACCTTGAGACGAATCCGCTTGGTCTTTGCCCTGCCTTCTTTGTCTCCAGCAGCGCGCTTTCGTTTGCGAGCCGACTTGACAATGCCGTTACTACCAGGAGGAGACGGAAGGCCGGTAGCGTCGTCTTCATCCTCGTCCTCGTCATCCTCTTCGTCTTCTTCGTCAGTTTCCTCGTACTCGGGTGTCGGTTCGCCACGGAGTTTCCGTTCGATATCATATACGTCAACCCACACGCTGTCTTGCGCCTGTGCGCACTCGCAACGTTTGGCGATCTTGCCCATGGGAAGCCAAGAGTCGAGCGCAAAGTTGACAGCCTCGGCGCAGTTGTAGCCCAAGTTGTATCCAGAGTGGTAACCGTAGGGATAGGTAACGACAAATTCACCCGGGTACGAAACGCACTTATTAACGGTGATATTGTAGTGCTGCTTGAGGTGCGATGGGGAAATCAAGAATCCCTTGTGACGGAGGAACTGGTCGCAAGCCTTGGCGTCCGTGGGCCAAATGTTCTTCATGGCAGCCTCGAAACGGCGGGCGTCAGCTTGTGAAATGCTGTACCATTGTTTAGGGGCGCCAAAGTGGAGATAGTTGATGCTGTAAAGATCAACGTCCTCCAAATGCCATGCGAAAGTGGCCTTCCACATGCCCAAGTAGAGGTAGGCCGTGTTAACACCGGGAACCTTTGTCCCAAGAACATCCAGCAGGTTGGGAAGTTTGTTCAAGTTCCACATTTCTGTCGATTCGTCGAAGAGAGTCCCCATGAGATCTGCGCCGTACAACGGCGGGGCGTACGTGAGGGTTTTCCAGTATATCCTCTCGAGCTCCTCACAGCGCTCAGGGGTATAGTCAGAGACATCCATCTGATAGTCAAAGTCCTCGAATGCCTTTTCGTCAATCATGGCGGACCCTTCTCTCTTGCTGTACTTCCGACGGGCCGAAACAGTCTGGGTCTTTGGTTTTGCTTGTCTTCCGCCACCCATCCGACCCATTCTGCCAACGGTTGGTGGCTCATCTTCGTCAACATCCATTCCCGGGTCCTCAACGGAGTCGACCACTTCTTCTTTCTTGACCTTGACCTTGGTGTCCGCATCCGCAGCCGGCTTAGGGGAAACGGGCGTCATCGGTCGCTTCTCTTCCTCCTGTTCTTCTTCGGCATCGTCCTCATCATCCTGGTTCTTGCCCTTGGCCTTACCCCGGCGCGGTCGACCTCGGCCCCGCTTTCTAGACCCGGCCGACGTTGATTTCGCTTCTGTACGAGGTTTGGGGGCGGATCGGGTTTTCGGCTTTTCGACGTTGGCTCGGCGCTCGCCTCGCCGCGCTGGGGGCTGATGTTCGCTCTGGTCGCAAAGTTGTCGCCACTGCGGGAGGTTATAGGATCTTTGATGAAGAATATTGACTTGACGATAGGTTCCATTCGATCCCATGATGTCTTGCTTAATTGGTTCTCTGACTCGGATCTGCTTCACCAGGTCGTCGAGTCGGGGGAGGTTTTCTTTCCACTCGGGGGGAGGGATGATCTTGACGATACCGGACTTCATTCCATAATGATCGACTTTGGTCATCTACAGTCACAGTCACAGTCAGCCGACGGAAAGACACGGAGACAAAGGGCACGAAAGGAAGTGGCATGGGCGTACGAATAGCTTGAAGTCCTTGAATTGATGCATCGTGGGCCTAAAGACAGGAACAGTCCCGGACCAGTGGTCGGGAAGGACCTCGCCAATGTCGTCCTCGAGCGGCGGCGCCTCATCTTGGGTCGCAGGAGCAGCAGATGGGTCAACGGCATCGTCGTCGAGATCGCTGAGCTCAGAGTCGCTGGCTTCCGACTTGGGCGCATTGTTGCTGTCGGGGGGTGAGTGGAGGAAGGCGGGCTTTGCACATTCAATCTGGCCAAGGGTCGGCTCCTCGTCGTGATCACCAGTCGTGGATTGCGCCGGCACAGGTGCAGGCTCCGAGACTGGAGCGCTGACAGCGTCGGTCGACATCGTGGAGGGGACTACATGCGACCGTTGATGCGCTGGAATTTTTCTGCCTCGCACGTCGTCAAGAATGGTCGTGTCGGGAGAGTGCGCAGGCTTGGTGTGTTCAAGTCGCCGAAAATATGAGGTGCAGACGTCTGGTTGAGTGCGGAGAACAGATTCGTTCGGTTCTTTTGGTTATCAGATCCTGCGGGGGGTTGGCCACTGTAGAGTATTCGTAGAGGGAGCGGTAGGACTGAGGAAACTGCGTCTGGCTGGGCTGGCTCGCTAAATGGGCCGATTTTTGGCGAATCTGGGCCGATGAACCAGGGCTGGCGCAGGCAGGGCGGAAGTTGCACCTCCCAAGGTTGACGGTTACTGTTAGGTAAGGAAGGAAAGGCAGGTACGGTCGGCAGTCGTGTACCGCACCTGACAAAATAAATCAGCCTACTCAAGACGAGGGCTTTTACATAAGGTAAGAAATAAGGTATTCGTCGACTGATGAAAATCTTCAAGGTATTGAGGGTACTCAAAAGGGTCGTGGCCTCTGCTCCTTTTGCCTTTCTTTTCTTTCGTTAAAGAGCCAAAAACCAGAGGTGTCGGGTAGAGAAAGAGCTGTACCATCGGGCAGATGCGGCTGCGGCTGTGGTTGCTGTTACTTGCGCTTGCTGCTTACCTTACTGTGGGGGAAAGAACGGGTGGTTCAGGTACGGAAAGTGCGCGGGCACCTCACCTTCCAATTTTCAGCATCCGACGGGGCAGGCAGGTGGGCAGTGCTGGCGACCCCCTTCCCTCTTTTGCCTTCGTGCCCTCCAAGTTCCGTCTCTTCCCCTTGACTTCCAGTTCCTCGCTTCCAAGGTCCACACTGATTAGATCTGCGCTAGTCCCGACTGGGGAGGTTCCCCTGTGCCTTAGGCACGCGAGGCAAATGCAGAATCCGGCACCGGAGTGCAGGGAGATGACGTCGCCACGTGAGGGCAGGTCGAATTTGCAACCACAGCGAAATTGTTCTAGCCTACGCATTTGATTGCGAGTTATGCACGCAACTCGGCTCAGAACTACCATCATATGGGCGAATTGCCGGCTATGAATGCACTGTCAGGTTCAATATCTCGATGGCTTCATCCAGAAATGCGCAACTCATTAAAGCATCCAATGGTCTCGGATCCTGTGGAGCTGGTTTACTTTGTAGTCAAAGCTGTCGCCCTTTTGTGTCTCGGCGTGAATTGCTTCTTCTCCCTGACATTTACCGTTGTAAATGCTGTAAATCCGCACAGAAGGTTGCGGGTCCCTGCCATTGACTGGTCTTTGGTGTTGGAGATGCCGTCGCTCCCGGCAGGGCGTAATAGTGAATCGTGTCAGGGGAACATCGCGCCAGGAACGCAATCGTGAATCGTTTCCCCTACTGGAAAGCTTCGACCAATGGAGAGAAGCATCAAGATCTGATAATCTCGCATGGCATTTGGAAGCTCCAAAGTTTCTGGGGGGTGGTGTGACCCATCCAGCCCTACCGGTCGAGAGCATCCGTCGGCCGGCAGCGGATCGTCCGATGATCCAATCTACCGAGTACCCTGGCCTGGCTGCTCGGCGGAGGAAGCAACCTGAGGTAAGGTAGGGGAGAGGGGCTGCCGGGAGGAATCGCTGACTCCCGTACGCATCACTGCCCGCGATAGCTTGACTTCTACCGAAAGTTCCCCAGTGAGCTTGGTCAGTCGAAGGTCTTTCTATGTTGATATGATAGTGGCATCGAGTCTTGTCGGGGGTGATTAACGTGACCAAGTCCCCAAGTATCTGTTCCTATGGGTATTATCGTGTGAACCCCTTATCGGACTGCGCCCGCCTAAGGTAGAGTCCAGCATCATCAGTCGACTCCGCACTCTCCACGGTGCGTGAGGGGCGAGGAAGCTGGAGCCGCGAAGATCAGAGTTGCAGAACCCCCCACATACGTCCCCAACCATGGACGATGGGGTTGACTCGACTCCGAGAGGGACGCGGACTTGGGCCTCATCGAACGTGGTCTTTGATCCTACACCTGCTTCGCCACAACGAGACGCCGACTAGATATATCCATGGTGGCCAGATTTCCTGTGATATTCGTCAATAATGTGTTCTCGTGATGGAGGTCATCTCTTGCCTTGAGATTCCAGACTTCAAGCACTACTCGTGGGTGCTGACGCTGGATGTGCTCCATTGCCTTTGAGTGACCCTTTTTGGCCCCTTATCAATTTCTCATCATGAGCCATCAAGGTTCCCATCACTGAGCAACATAGATTTGACCAGTTATCACTAAGGGTGATGGTTACCCCAGCTGCAAAGGGTCTCACACCTAGTCGAATGTTGAGAGTGACAAAGTTGAATTTGGTTCGGCAAGAAAACGTGAGGGGATATTGTATGCAAAGCACGTCTGAGGGAAACAATGCACTGAGTACCCGTACCGAGGTAGATAGGTAGATATGCTGCTGTGGCTGTCGTGGGTCTCACTCCATGCCTATGAACCCCCAACGGCATCACACCTTCCCATCACCTTGCCTGAGATGAGGTGAGGTGCCCTTATCTTAGACAGTCTTCAGTGACACTGGAGCCGTAACTGGCCCAGCAACGTGCACGTCTCACGGCAGAGGTAGGGACAGTAGACAGTGCTCAACTGATGTAGCGCGCCAACAAAGCTTCTCTCATTCACCTCTGATGTCTGCCTCGGCAAATAAATCACACAATAGTACCACCTGGAATCAGATAAGCTCTTCTGTCCACCTTTTGACGCCAATAAATTCATAGCCCTTTTCATTACGTGATGGAGAAAAATGACGTGTCTGATATACCGTCATAAAAGTAAATAAAGAATCCCGCCACTGGCTAAATGCAACTGCCAGAAGAATGTACAATATGATCGTGCTTCGTTAAAAAAAAAAAAAAAAAAAAAAAGGTTCTATGCGTCTCTTTCTCTCCCCAAACCCCTCGATCCTCCCTTCGGCGGGTCTCCTGTACAACGTTGCCGATACGCCATGCGAGAAGTTAAGAACTTTATAGAAGAGATATATGTGAATAGAGAGTGCCCCTCTTAGCGGTCGTGAAGAACGTATCCCATTAAAAATCTGGAATTGGTTTACGCGGTGCGGAGATGGTTCGATCCAAGGCCGATCAACTCGAACATGATTGGGATGAGGCCGACGCCCAGCCAAGCAATACCTGTCGGCATCTGTCAGCAAATGTGGAGCAAGGTCGGATCTTGCGGAAGAGGGATGGAGCTTTACCTGTATAAACAACCAGCTTGGTCACCACCTCAACATCGTAACGCACTCGTGGGCGGATGAGTCGAAGGAACATTTCCTTCTCACTCATCTCATCTTGTTGGCCGACCCTCAGCTCCACCTCTCCCTTCTCCTCGCTCGGGCTCGCCAGCACGCTCCCCGTACCCATCATGCGCTCAAAGTCGTTCAGCGAGTTGCCGTGGTGGCCTTGAACACCAGACGTTGCTCCCTTCCCTTCCCAGTCGCTGCTCTTCTCTCGAAGCTCGTGCATGCTGCCCTTGCTCTTGATGCTGCCATTGCTGCCGATGCTCTCCCGGCGTCGTCGCTCGCGGTATGCAAGTGTCTCATACGCATCGGCGGCACTCTGTGGTCCGATCGATACAGAGCGACCACGCGTTGTCGGGTGACGAATGGACTGGACTACACGGGGCAAATCTCTGACGTTGGGAATAAGCGTATCCATCCTCGAACCCGGGTCAATGGACTTGTACATGGACGCTGGCGTAAAGAAACGTCTGGGAAGATTCCACTCCACCTTCTCCAGGAGACGGAAAAGGTGAGGCAGAACTCTGAGCATGGTAGGTTTCATGACCTCTCGCCATAACAGGATGACAACTACGCCGAATACAACGCGGGCTAGTACAATGTGCCAGCCCAACGCATTGAGATCAATGGACTCAACAGTATGGGCAGAACCTCCGAACGAATCGATTGAAGTCCGCCCATACATCCATGTTCCGATCTCCAGGCCAATCACGACTCCCGCAAAGGCTACGCTGTCGTCGAAGCAAGGGCAGTCGTCCGCCGGCTCGGGGTGTATCCTTACGAGGACAATGACGACGAGAGCAGCGATAACGGGCGCCCACCATGAGCTACTATGCATATAGGCGTCCAGCGGCGGGCCGTAGTGGAACTCGACAAGAGAGATGGCAGCACCCAAGACCGAGCCCACGATTACGTCGATGAAGCCATGCATACCACAGTACAGCCGACCGAGAATGATAGAAATGGCGTAAAAGTACGACAGGCCCTCGAGGACGGTCTTGGTGGTCTCTGGCATGGCGTTCTCAGGACTCCGGAGGAGCAACACTGCGTACACAGCCACTGACACGGCGTTGGCGCTATGGGTCGAAGGGAAGCCATACTCCAACGCAGCAGATCCGGACATGGTGATTCGATGCAGTGGCGGTGACAGCGGTCTGGGTAGAGAGAAGAAGTCCTTGATAAAGCCGGTGAAGAAGACACCCTCGGCCAGGATGTGGATAACACTGTGAGATAGCAGCTTGTTAGATAGTTTCTATACAACTCTGCGCGGCGAATTCTGCTTACCCTTTGCCAAAGGAGGCGTACCCGCACCAGAAGAGCATGGGTAGACCGATCATGAAGAATGTATGAGTACCGAGGTTGGCCGTGATCGCAAAGTAACTATCGAGCCACGGGGTGCGCATCGTTTCCTGCAGATAGGCCAGGTAAGGTGTTTCCCATCGGATCAGTGGCAACAGCGACTGCCGCAGTCGATATCGCCATGGCGGCAGCGCTCTCTTGTCTGTGAATAGGCATGGTCAGCTCAAGGCTTGGAGGCTTGCGTACGGGCAAGGTATATGGGGGCACTTGTCGATGCGCCAGGCTCAAGACAAGAGTGACAGCGCGAAAGGCAGTGCCGGGAGAGTGTAGCAGCGTACAATGATCGAGACTTCTCAGGCCCGCATCAGGGGCGTCGCTGGGGCTCTTGACTACGATCAGAGGCGGGGCGGGGGCCTCGGCGACACCAGCTGGGTCGGCAAGCTTTGGATTCGCAAGGGTAGCGTCCGGCAGGGGATTCGGCGCAGATGCGGCGCCATTGGTATGGCTAGTCATCGAGCGGTGTCTGAGGTCGTGGTCGTGAGGCATACGGCCATTCGTATTATCGTAGTGTGATTTGGTTCTCTTCGAGTTGTGTTCGGTCTACGTGGTGCGTATTCGCGGGTAGAGTCGCAGGTTCGGAGGGGGCGAGGGAAGTGTTCGGTGTAAGGCGTTTAAGGTGGAGGGGAAGCACATGCGCATGCAATTGCTCGAAGGGTTGGCGAGCGACTGGGCATCTGGGGGCGGTTAATTCGCGAGAAGGCCGAGGAGCGAGCGATGCGCTTGCTGGGGGGGAGAGAGAGGAGGGATCGCCAACAACTAGAAGATTGTGAGTATGTCGCAGGAATCGAGGTTTGGCGTCAAGGGTTGTGGGAGGGAAACGATGGGAGTGCAGGGGAAATTTGCAGGTGCAGCAAATGGATGGTAGCGGGACTGCGATGTTGCGTTCGCGCCACAAACGGGCGTGGGAACCTGTAACTGGAACTCGAACTGGAACCTGCTGTAGTGGTGTGTTGTGTTGTGTTGGGCAAGGTACATTTACTTGGCTTACTTTGTGGTTCTCCTCGGACGATGTACCTTTCTCTTGAGGGGTTACTCTGGGGACGCCGGATGAGGCCCTTGAGATAATCTAAAGTATATTCTTCAATACTTGACTACCTTGGGAGCCAACAAGAGCAGAGAGGTCCTCTTGGACGGCGCAACGGGTAGAGTAAGGTAAAGAAAGAAGGAAGGAAAAAAGAGACAATGAATCTGGCACGGAAGGGTCCCGCGCTAAGGTAGCGCTACGTTGTGTCAGGCGTTACGAACACCTCATGGAAAGATGGAAGCATCTCAGATGGATCGGTACCTGACAGCAGTACACAGTACAGTGACAGACAAAAGACACCAGTCACCACCGGCCATCCCTAGGTAGGTAGCCCTTGGACTTGCGCCCAAGACTGCTCGCCCTCGGTATCGACAACGGCGGGGGCGCTTGCCTTAGCTCTCCCCAGCTTCCAAGTACCTTTGGCCTTCCACTTTCACAGGCTTCGGGTACTTATGGAATGTACCTTACCTACCTACCTACTACCATGTGGACGTCGAGATTTCCCGTTCCCCGACCTTGTACCACCAGCACCCGACTTGCCTTACATGGATCGCACAAGTAGGTACCTTCAGTACGATGGAAGTATTACACTCGTCCCCCTCACAAAGATCTTTCAACATACAACTCGACATACAATACCTCACAAAGGCTTCGAGAGAATCCACAGACAAAAGGGCACGAGATCATGGACCTCGACTCGGTCTTTCTCGTCTTCTTCTTCTTCTTCTCTTCATGCACCAGAAGGAGTGGAGTCCACTGGTGGCACGTCGTCAACGGACGGACATCTGTCTCACCATCAAAGAGCTTGAACATGAGATGACGAAGAAATGTATGAATAGAGAAAATGGGGCGGGAGCGAGCAAAGTAACCACCAAGCCTCGGGATCAGATTCTCGCTTTTCTTCCCTCCTTCCAAGCAATGCCATCCAGCAGCCAAAGTGTCAGACAAGAAAGAGCCACCAGGACCACCCCGAATAATGCCATTGTTACGCGCACACAGACACCAACGGCCGCCCAAGCTAACCTCTTCTCAAACAAGCATCTCCCCAGAATCAACAGCTTTCGCTCTCGTCTCATCCTGTCTTGGTCTAATCCTCTATGCGCCAACTACCGTCTTTCGCCAGAGAGGGGGGATTTCAGATGCCCAAGACCATTCCGCATTTGCATTGAACGAGTCCGAGGGCCCCTTCTTTCTGCCTTTCGAGAACACGATACTCTGACCTCACTGGCCTTTGCTTGTCGTCACTCTCGTCGCTCTCCTCTCGTCACTACCAAGAGACTTTACTGTAAGTGCCCTCTTGTGCCTCAGGTTGCTTTGAGTACCTACCTACCGAGCCGAGTAGTGTACGATAAGGTACCTAGGCGGGCGGGGGCCGGCAACTGTGTGCCTCTTCTAGAAAGGTTACACGGAGAATGCCATGCAGAATACAACGACACCCCCACCAGAATTCTACTGCACAGTAGACTCAGGCATCTATCATCCTAGACATTCTACATTCACCGGTCCAAAGCTTGAGAGCTTGCAGAGCTCCAGAGCTCCCTTTCTACACACCTACCTCATCTCACCTCACCCAACCAATAAGCTCAAGCACCCAATCCTCGTTGACGAGCACCATCGTACTCAAACACCCGTCACGCCGGAAGAAGATACAGACATTAGCAAATACGGGTTCTACAACAGCTACCTTAGGTCATGACAATTAACCCCATCAAAATGTCCGGCGCCCTTCTTCCCCTCCGAGCCCGGCACTGCCTCATCACCGGCGCCTACGGAGGCATCGGCGCCGCGATTGCCTCCCGCTTCGCCGCCGAGGGCGCCCTGGTGACCCTCCTCGGCCGCAAGGAAAACAAGCTGCGTGACCTCTGCGCTCAGCTCCCGCCCTTCCGGGATCACCGCCTCGCCCCTCTGACCTCCTCTGCCTCTGCCTCCGCCTCGCCGTCGCCCTCCGAGGCTAAACCAACCCATTCTTACGCCGTCATGGACGTCTCCGCTGACGCTCGTGATGAGGCTGTCCTCGATGATATCTGGGTTTGTCTTTTCTCCCAAACCCATCTTCCACACCTCCACCTACCATCAGCAACACATCAAAATACTACATTGAGAGAAACGAGGCTACCTAGCTATCGCACCATGAATAAGTAGACACATTGACTAACATGGACTTCCCCGTTCCCCTTCTTCAAGAAACGTACGGGCCAGATAGACGTCCTTGTCAACGCCGCGGGTATTGCGCAATTCCAGCTGTTGCAAAACACCTCCCCACAGGCCGCAAGAGAGCTCATCGACACAAACCTCATGGGCACAATCTTCATGTCTAGGTACATGGCCCAACGCATGAAGCGCAGACGCGCAGACAGGGATGGTAAGTCATGGCACATCGCTACAACCATGCGTATTCTCTTTTCCCACACGACCCATTGTTGCCACACACGCGCGGTCGATCCGATCGCAACAACCACCTGCACCGCACAGATGCGCCAGCCTCATGCCAGCGATGTGCTGCACACACACACACACACACACACACACACACACACACACACACACACACACGCATCATATACACGCACGCACTGCATCAACAGCCCCGCTAACCACGCGATCCACTCTCTCCAGCCTGCATTATCAACGTTGCTAGCTTGCTGGCCGAAAAAGGCAGCCCTGGCACCAGCGTCTACGCTGCATCAAAGGCCGGTATTATTGGTAGGTTCTTCTTTTTATTAGTCTCTGCTTAGTCTCTCATACATCGCGGGGTCGCCGTGGCTGTATCCTCTCTAGCCCATTCCTCCCGATTTAGTGAAGCAAGTCTAACACCTCCGTTCTCCTCTTCTGAAGGCCTCACCCACGCCCTGTCGGTCGAGCTAGGGCCATTGCGCATCAGGACCAACGCCATCGTTCCTGGCTACATAGAAACAAACATGCTTGCCGGTAAGAAACCCTCCGTTCATCTTCCACTGGTAGGGCCGACCTTAGAGGACCCCATACACCAAATATCCTTGGTTAGGTAGGCCAACAGCTAATATACAAATCATCACAGCAATGTCGAGGGAGCCTCTCGAGAAGAGGATACCATTGGGTCGCTTGGGGCGGCCTGACGAGGTCGCCGATGCTGCCGTCTTTCTTGCTCAAAACACCTACGCCAACAACTGCATCCTCAACTTGGATGGCGGGCTCAGTGCTGTCTGAGCTGGCGCGCAGCTCCCATTTTTACATAGAAGGGACAGACACCCTTGACTTGGAAGAAAGTGGACCCATGCACAATCAGTCGTCGTCAATGACAATGGCTCCGCCGGTAGAATCGTCCACAATGACCACATCGTCGCTGCCGCTCGTGGTAGCGACAACCTTGGCCTTCTTGGCTTCAATGAGCTCGTCTCCGTCGTCCGGCCGGGGCCGCTTGAGGTTAGATGTCCCCTCCGATACCTCACCAGCAGGCTTGCCATTTAGCTCACTCGTGCCGTTGGATTCGGCGGATGCCTCCTTCTTGGGCTTGCGAGGGATCTCGGGCTTCTTGTCCGCAACCAAGCCCTGGATGGGCTTATCAGTCAGGGGCTCCTTCCTATGTGGTTGTTAGTTTATGGTTTGATACTAGATCTCGAGTAGATGAACGTACGATTCCTGGATGCTGATGACGACATTGACAAAGGGTTCGTCATCGTCTTCATCAATAATTGTGAGGAAAGAGTCCTCCTTGATCCCAAGCTCGCTGAGCTTCTTGGAGAGGTTCTCCGTCTCATCCGGGTCGTAGAGCGGCCCGACGTCATTATTCAGGGCGAACTCCTTATCACCGTAGCCAAGCTCCAGGCGCACAAAGTCTTCGACAAGGTCCTTGAGCGTCGCTCGGGACATGTCGACAGTGACGCTCGTCTGATATACGCTGCATACCGGGCAATCTGGGTTAGGGGCGCGGTACTTGCTGGAGTTGAGCAGACGGGCAGGGTTGTGAGGAGAGATGAACACCTAGGCAGACAAATTAGACTACCGATTCCTGGCCAAGACCCAAAAAGTTTCGACCTTACCTCCTTGGTCTGAGTGAAATCGCCTCTCAGCACCTTGAATGACTGCAAGACACACAGGCCGGCGACAATGGCATTGGTTGTCGCAATGGCAGGAATGATGTTACCAGCCATTTGCTTAATATCGAATCGCGACTTTCTCTCGATGCCGAAGATGGATGAGCGAATATTTGCGCTCGAGGTCACAAAGTCCAACGTGTCCTCGTCGTCCTTGTCGAAGGTGATCAGGGGCTCAGGTCCAGATGCGTCCTCTTTGTGCGCCTTTTTCAGCTCCTGCATCCGTTTGCTCAGACGGTCCAGGCTGTCGACGAAGACTGCAAAGTTCTCCTCCAACGTCCATACTTGTTGTCCTCCCTGCAAGATAGCCTCCTTCGAGGCGAGGGCTGCGGCTGACTGCTCTGACAAAGTCTTATAGTCGAGAGCCTCAGGTTTCCGTCTGGACTTCCACATATCCTCCATGGACGCGAGTCGCACAATGTCGGCGTTGAAGACCTTATCGAAGAGCAGCTGCGGGAAGGCATCAGTGCCCAATGATTCGCGAATCGTTCTCAAGGCCGCAGCCTCCTTCTTCAACTCTTCAATTTCCTTGGCATTGTCGGCATCGGCCGAGTTGTCGAACGCGGACTCGTCTTCGCTCGCGCCAAAGATCTCGTTGAGAAGATAGCTCTTGCCCCACACGATGCAGTGGATGGGCTGGCTAGGGGTGCTTCGAATGGTGCAGACCGGGTAAGACTTGGGCGTCTCCTTGGGCGTGCAGTCGTAACATGCGGTAACACCCTTCTTGATGACTTGAACGTTGCCGTTGAATCCCGTCGTGCCGCTCTCGATGAGAGGTACATCCGCGGCCAAGCACATCCTGTTAACGTGCCGTCTGGCCTCTAGGTTATCCAGCGCATTGAAGACAATGTTGAAATCGCGGAACCACTTGACGTTGAATTGGGCATCCTTGATGTTGGCATGATGCGCGACGATCTTGACCTTGGGATTGAAGGGCTGCGCCGCATCCTTGGCCACCTTTTGTAAGTCAGTATTGCAATACTCTCCACATCTACATCACTGCCTCTGGTACCATACCAATGCCTTGGACTTCTTGATGTGCTCGTGTCGGAAGAGGAATTGTCGGTTGAGGTTGCTCAAATCGATGGTGTCGAGGTCGACGACGTGAATTTCACCAAAACCCGTGAGCACGATGTTCTTGAGTAGTTCGCATCCGATACCGCCAGCTCCAACCATAAGAACGCGCGCCTGCGTGTTGTAAGTTAGCTCCATTGACTCTTCAATTGCATCGAAACTCATCATCGAAGAAGAAGTTGGCTGCTTCTGGAACAGGCAAAGGGGACGCCGTTGGATGAAAGCCGCGATGCTGAGTGAGTCGCGTGGTCTGATGCGCCGGGGCTCTGACGAGGGTTGCGACGTACCTTCTTCACATTGGCGTTCAATGAGCCGCCGAGCGATTGCTGGAAGAATCGATCACGCTTCTGCACGGTGGGAGGTCGCTGCTGCTGTTGCTGCGTCGGCTTTTGTTGCTGTTGCTGCTGCGTCGTTTGCGCGGGTGGTTGAGCGGCGGGGATGGCTTCCGTTTGTGCTGGTTGCTGCTGTTGCTGTTGCTGTGGTGCTGATGCTGGTGTAGGCGCCGTCGCGGTGGCGGGCACTGTCGCCTCTGCCGCGGTTGCTGCAGGTGCAGCTCCTGCTTCCGCGGTGGAATCCATCGGGGCTTTCGTTCGATCGCAGTGTTGTTGAGGTGTCCGTTCTGCGTGCGTCGACGTGTCAATGGGTTGGGAAGGGGAAAGATTGGTGCGATCGCGTGGTTTTGGGAAGAGGAAGTTGAGGGTGGAAATAAGCCGCGCCAGGTGGGATGGAATGATGGCGGCGGGTGGTTTCAGCACGGGAGCAAGGCTGCGAAGAGGAAGGTTCCAAGGTTGAGGTTTTCCCTGAGGTCAGCGGAAGGAGCGATCGCCTAGCACAAGGTTCCAGCCAATACCGGCAGCCGGTGACGAGATCCCAGCAGGGATTGGAGCTGTTGGTTCCTGGGGAACTTCCGCGCTCGAGTCATGATTGGCAGATAAAGGCGGGTTTCTCTCGCTTGCCAGTGGAAGCTCGCTGGAGCACGCTGTAAACTCAGCGGTCTAATGCACCCTCCAGTCACCGTGAAACACTCGACGCATGCTTATAGCCAGGTACCTTACCTAAAGTACCTCACCTTTTCCATTACCTCCGCAACCTTGGAAAGTAGGTAAGGTAGGGTACCATAGGGTAACTGCTTACACCGTACCTAGGTAGGTACCTCACCAAACACCGGCCGACCTCCCTTGCCCAGCGAAGGTTCGTTGGGCCTCCACCGGTTCCTCGAGTCCTCTCTGCTGCGTATCCGTGGTAGGGCCGCTTCTCATCCCCTTTCACGTGGAAAGCAGCCGGTTGGGAGCTCACCTCAGCCACGGGGTTCACAGGTATCCTTGAAGTGACGAGATCGCAGGTCACTCACTCGGAGGGGTCGTCTGGGATTATCGCCGCTTGTGATCCCGCCTTTTGATCCAACAAAAAACAACCGGGTCGGTGCGATATGGGTCTCTTCTTTACCGCCTAGTCCAAAGTCTTAGTCCTGCGATTCTTGCCCTCATCTTCGTCCAAGCTCTGTGAAAGATCCTACTGCATTGCCGCCGGCTAGAAGCATCTGAAAGGTGCAGTCAAGCCGAGTTCTAGGGTCGTATTCCTGCGGCTCTCTCCAAGCAGATAATACCGCCTGCAAGCATCTCACCGCGGGGCACTGCACACTAACCGAATCATGTCCGACGACGAGCCCGACCTCGAACTCCTGGCCCTCCTCCGCCAGCGGTTCCAGGGGAAGCTCAATATTGACGATGAGCCCGAGACGGGCGTTCTCGACGGCGCCGAGTTCGTCTACGACAACTCCATCGACGTCGCCATCGACATGAGGGCCACAAAGAGGGCCGCCGCCACCATCTACGCCCAGATGGAACAGAAGAAGTACTCAACCTCCACCTGGGCAGAGCACGAGCTGCACCCAAAGACAAAGGACGAGAGCACCGCCGCCTTCATCTTCACCATGGACCTGCTCAACTTTTGCTTCTGGTCAGAGAAGCCCGAGGACGAGAGGTACGCGGTCGAGTATCGCGGCAAGACCTGGACGGGCTACTGGAGCATGGTCGCCTCGCTGCAGCGCGCCCTCGAGGAGGGCATCCCCATCACCAGCTCCGATTTTTGGCAGAGCGAGGACGAATGCAACTTGGAAGTTCTCAGACACGTCTTCCGCTCCAAGACGGAGGAGGAGATGCCCCTTCTCGAGAAACGCTTGGTGTGCTTGCGGGAAGCCGGTACTGTCTTGTATGAGAGGTACAGTTGCAGCGTGACGAAACTCATCGAGGCCGCCAAGGGATCGGCCGCACGGCTTGTGAACTTGCTCGCCCGCGATTTCGACTGTTTCCGCGATGAGCACAAATTCGACGGCCGTCGGAAGCCGGTGAGGATCCTCAAGAGAGCGCAGATCCTCGTGGCCGACATCTGGGCATGCTTTGGCGGTGAGGGCATCGGTGCTTTTAGGGATATCGACAAGATCACCATGTTCGCCGACTACCGGGTCCCGCAGATTCTCAGCACCATGGGTTGTTTGTATTATAGCCCTTCGCTGGCGACGGCTATCACTGATAAGCGGGTTATTGAGAGCGGATCGAGGTTGGAGTTGCAATTGAGAGGTGAGCCTTTACTACTATGCCACTTCTCCATGTGTCTTGCTAACTATGAAAACAGCGTGCAGTATTTGGTGCGTTGAGCTCATCAAACGGGAGATCCAGAGGGACCACCCCGGAACGAGCGTCAACGCCATTTTGATCGATTTCTTTTTGTATGATACCATGAAGGAGCTGGAGGCGGCTGGCACGGAGACGATAGGACATCACAGAACACGGAGTATTTGGTACTGAGGTAGAGCAGCTTGATCAAGGTATGGCCAAGATGGGGAGACGGGAGACCTTCAGCACCTCTGATAAGGGGTATAATTCATGTTCGCTGTTGTCCAGCATAGAACATTTCGTGTGATAATTTACAGCAAACCCCCGTGTCGCATATGCCTCGTGTTCTACTCCTCAAAGAACCGATCAGTTAAAGCCATCGAACCGCTAGAAACTCCAAACTCCGTCTGCTTATTCGCACATGGTTTTCGCGAGAAGGAGGTACCTCGACGGTCACCCGGTCAGCAACCCGTGCCTTCCCCCCTTGGTCACCCCCCAAAGGTCCACGAATACACTACCAAACTTTCATCCGATGCCATCCCGCCACGACCAGAGCCTTCCTATACCCCTTCGATCCCATTCCTGTCACCAGCACAGCAGGCGCCCCCTAGGTCGGGGGTCAGGTCAAACTGTGGCGTGGGTGGTGGAATGGTTAATGGCCAACAATTAAATCGCCAACCAGCCTACTCGACGACAGGCTCAGCGCATACGAGTACCGAGTTCGAATCCCAGCATGAGCACCCAGAAATTTCCCAGCATGAGCACCAAGAGATGTAGCCCCCAGTTCAGCACCGGGGGGGTGAACTCTTTTGACCTTTTTGATATTTGCAGATGCTTGCTGGGATCCTCTACAATTATGAGGCTCCGACCGCTGTCGAGTTCATAAGCTCGTCTAAGTGAGCCCGCTCCGAAGCGTGGCCCTTTTTCTCTTCCTTTAGAAGTACCGCAAGTACCTCGATTGGCGGGTTGAGACCTAGTCTCTCCGCGCGCTGCCACCGCTTCATGCGCTGGAGGCCGATGCAGGGCTGCAAGTCATATCAGTATCTCCGGCCGGCCAGCAAGCAATTGTAATCAGAATAACTTACACCATATTGAGAGCTAACGTCAAAGTATCGCAAAACCCTCTCAGAAAGACTCACATCACCTTGGTGCACCCTAGGCGCAATGCGCTGAGCCTCGATCGACTTCCAGTACTTGTTGATCTGGGCGTCGCTGATCTTCTCGGCCCTCACTTCGGCCTCTGACTTTTCGGGCACTTCTTCCTTTACCTCCGCCTCCGCAATCTCGGGCTGCGCGGGGTCCTCGATCTGGATCTCCTCGATATCCTTGTGCTCCTTGTTGCTTGGCTTGGCGATATCGGATCGGTCAATGGCAGAGGAAAGAGCCACTGTTTTCTTGGTGTCCTTTGGCACGGGCTTCGACACTCTGTTGGAGAAGCTGATGGTCGACTGTCCTCGCGCCGGGCCAGGTCTGGCGCGGCCTCCTCCTGTTGATCGCCTGGTAGTTGGCATTGTGTGAATCGTCGCAAGTACGTAGGTAGGCTGGCAGGGGTCTAAATGGGTGGCTATGAGAACGCCAAGTTTGCGTGACTGATTTACGAAAAATCGAAATATTGGTAACGTCAATCTGATGAATTCGAGATATCACTGATCGAAGGTGAATGCCTCAGATAATGTCACCAATGGGTGTTGTCGCAATGTCATCTGTGAACCAGCGCTGGGGTGTAATGAATGACGAAAGAGGTAGGAAGGTGGCAGGGGCTTTAATTTGGCGGGGCAACGCGAGGTAGGAGCCAAAACACGTGATTCACTGTGCCTAATAAGCGATACGCACTGCTATTGACACTGTTCTCATCATCATCGTGATTGTTCGTTGTTCATTTCGACATGTCTCTATCGTCTGTCTTCGAATATGCCACAGAAAGTTTCATATTCCAGGGTTTCTTGAATACACGCCGACTCTTCCTTGACTTTTTGGTTTCCATACTCCTTTATGCACCGGTAGCTTCTCTATAGAATGAAATGCTCCTGTTGGCGCCCGCCGTACAGAAAGACTCGTTCTTTCCAGTCTTCGGGAGCCACTTGACAGCCCACAAAGCCTTGTCTGTCTCGCTATGCGTCGCGACACAGGCGCTACGCTCCACTGACCAGACCTTGACCTTTCCGTCCATCGCTCCGCTAAGTAGGTATTCGCCCGTGTCGTTCCAGTCAACAGATGTGATCCATGAAGAGTGACCAGTCATGTTGCTGACTTGCTCGCCATTCTTGATGTCGTAGAGAGCAATGACGGATGAGTCGCCAGCAGCAGCGAGTCTGGTGTTTCCAGGGGAGAATGCGACAGAGCGGACGGATTTGACCAGGCCTGGGGCGATTTCTTTAGCAAACAATTATTACGAGTAGAACGTTCGGTGAGGGTATTACCTGGTAGTGAGAACAACAACTTTCCGTTGTCATTGTTGAAGACGTAGACAGCTCCGTTCTGGTGCCCACTGGCCGTGTACCGCCCATCACGACTCAAGTCGACCGACATACCAAAGCTTCCCTGGCCAGGGCTTCCGGTCTCGTACTCTCTGATCTTGGGCGTGCCCTCTTCGCCTACGTCCCACACATTCACCCGGCCGTCGTACGTCGTACCCGCCAGGAATTTTCCATCCTCGCTGAGCGCAATGGCCCAGACCTCGCCGGCCTTGGCCGCCTTGTTCGTGATCTCCGAGTGGAGCTTCCACTCGCTCGTGTCCTTGTTGATGACCCAGATCTTCACCTCACCGGCGAATCCTGCGCTCGCGGCGACCAGACCATTTCGGGAGGTGCAAATGTGGTGGCAGCCCAGCTTGTGTGCACCGCTGATGGACTGCGTGATGGGGATCGTGGGGTCGGCGGTGTCGTGGATGTGGAGGGTCGATGAGCCGCTTGCAGATAATACAGCCCTTGAAGTAGTGGCCAAACTGAAGATGTCGGTTATGTGGGCTAACGTTCCTGCATGTTAGCAAGACGAAGCTCTGGGGACGGTGGTTCGGAGGTCCTCAAGCTCTAGCTGGTAGGTAGCTCACCATTATCCACAGTGTGTGTGGTCAAATATTGTTTCGACTGGCAGAGTTAGCTCTCGTTTCGCTTACGAACAGACAATTGAGGTCGTACCATGATTCCCAGCCCATGCGAAGCTCGTACCGCTGTAGTTGTTCCGCGGTTGTGAGTAGGAAGGTAATGGACGCGATGTGGTCGGGAAGGTGGGGGCTGACATCACACATTTGCGAGAAAAGACCCCTGCAAAGAGCAGCTGGGGCACGGCAGGAGGGGCAATGGAGGGGCACCAGCAAGTACCCTTGCTCAGTTTACCTCAGCACCCCGACCTTATTCAACTTCATTCTTTTTTCATCTTCTGATTATGCATCTCATGGAACACTTATTGCGGAATGGTTCTGGCCTATCGTCAATGAGAATCTATGATGACCAGAAAGATCTACATGCCTTCAAGAAACAGTGCTGCCCACTTACATTACTCCTGTTTCTAGACTTTAATGGCCCTTTGTATAAGTCAAAATGCCTTCGAATTCTTTATTCGCGTCAAAGAGCTATCTAGCAACGTCATTTCAAACAACAAGCTCTAGTCCTAAACTTACCGGGTTACTCCATGAGTTCAACTCACCTCGTCGAAGCAATCGCTTCCTGCTCACGGAAGAACTCAACCATTGTGACGTTCTGACAGTAAAGAGCCAACTCATACGGCGTTAAGCCACCAATGTAGGGCTCGCCAGACTCCTTCGCTCCGCCCAAGGTCGTTCTGGACCGCAAGTCAGCCCCTGCTCTGATCAGCTCCCTTGCAGTAGGTATCATGGCCAGGTCCTGCTTCTGCTGAGACAGTCGTCGAGGGTCCTCCGGATCAGGATGCCATCTCCGCGCGTAGCACGCCATGTGGAGAGGCGTCCATCCCCGAGGGCCAAGGGCATTGGCGTCTGCGCCTTTCTTGAGAAGGAGCTCGACGGTCACGCTCGCTCGCACGCTCCATCTACATACGACATGCAGAGGCGTGATCCCGTTGGCGTCTGTGGTGTTTGGGTCGGCGCCGTGGGAGAGCAACCACTTGATTGCCTGGTGTCGCCGGGTGACGTCGCCATACGCCGCCGCGAGCAAGGGTGTGCCGAAGTTGTACGTCTTTGACCTCTGCAGCATGGGGAAGTTGCTTCCAAAGGTGCTTTCTACGCGTCCATAGTTCATCATGTCTATTGGGGTCCCAGCCTTCTCAAAGGCGTAGTTGACTGATGCGCCGGCCTCGACGGCCGCTTCCAACGCACGGAGGTTGCCGTTGAAGCTGGCCCATCGAAGAGCATACCAGTCATCCTCTTGTCCACTTCGCTGGTACAGCACACCCCTCAACATTTGGTACAGTGCCCTACATGTGATGGTTAAATTCTTGAGGTCGGTAATGCCTTCAAGAACGTCCGGTTGAGTCGGCTTGTTTGGGTCTTCGTAGAAGTAGTTATCCACTATTTCCAGGTCGTCTGAGTCGGAGTCGGCCTCGGCTTCGAGAGCACCGTGAAGTCTTATATGTTTTGCCGGCTGTGGCTTCGGTCGCGGGCCAATGGCTTTCACGATCTGCAGGACGAGCTCCGTTGGGATAGGAATGCCTGCCAGGCCGGCGGTCTTAGAGTCATCTCGAGGCGGCTGTGGTGATGTCATTTCGACAACTTGATTCAGTCTCAAAGTCGTACTTACTAGGTGGGTTTGCCGTTCTATCCACGTCTATGCAACCCCTGTTGGTTGTATCTGACGAGTGAGTTTGTGTCTACTTACGAGTTGTGGCTGACTTCAGAAGAGTCAGGTATTGTAACATATAGTTTGGTATTCCGATGCGCAGACAGTTCGCGCTCTTGTCTGCAGATTGACTTCTCACAGAGGATCTTAGACCATATCTTTGCTCACCGTAGTTGATTATGATTAATCAGGTTGCACGGCTTCATTGTCGCTTTGATTTGGTTCTTGTTGTCTCAAATACAATGTGTTATTCACACCGAACAATGAAGGACTTGTCCCAGTACTATCAAACCGAGACTCCATCTTTGTCTGAGGTTACAACCCCTAATTGCGTTGAACATGTCTTTATTGATCCTATTAGCGAATCAGGACCTGATGGTTGGTTCTTGAAGCCGGATTATTAAGAAGGGGAGGCCAGAGAGAAGCAAAGGCCTGACAGCAAGACTAAAGTCAATACGTCAACGTCGTGGCGGAACAGATGTAAAAGTTCGCTTAGGAAGTAAGCCTCTATGGGCGCCAAACCTTGGAAGATCAAGTAGCATCATCAAATGAGTGTAGTAGACGATGGAAATGAGCCTGACTTGTGTCTATCACCGAGATCAATGTCGATGGCCCCGTCTCAGCGGACCCTGCCATCGAAACCCGTGGAACCAGTTTTTCCTTGTTGTCACTGAGTTCTGGTTTTGGTATCCAAAAGCCGTGCCCGCTCGAGACATTCCTCTACGGTGACCTTGGTCTACAGACGAGATGTACGTTCATAGGGATGTTGTTTTGCCAACATTTCCCACCATTATCGGAGTTCCGACTGTTTGTACCCGAGTACGCCATAAAATGTTGATCAAGTAATGTTTGCCATGTACCTGGTGATAGGCTCCGTCGAACGCCTGCTTTTTGCCCACGTTCCCGGCGGCATGTAGATAAAACTGAGCTTGCCACATTGAAATCCATCGTAAAGGTGCGTTCTCCCGTGGTCTCGTCGCTTCTACGCATAAATTCAAGTGGTTAAAGCATTATCCTCTTGTGGGCGAGTCTCAGGTATGATGAACACATTCGCAACCTCCGGACGAACTCTGAGGAACTTTACAGGCCCCTTGATGACCAGCCCACAATTCCACGTCGGTCGGGGCGGACGTAGAGGCGAGCCTTGCTTCAAAGCTTCAGCGGCATTTCACTCTATTTAATGACCAGTAAACGCCGGTTTGATGACAGCTGGGCACGTCGGAAGAAGGTGATGGATTGTCCCAAACGCCAAAGTATGCTAACAAATTGTACACTTGAATATACACGTCTCGAAATGTTACACGGCCATTGGGCGATTTAAACGAACTTCCCTGAGGGGTTCTCATCTTTCCACATATCCTTGATCTCTGCACAATGGTTGTCAGTTTGACGTGCACGAAGAAAGGTTCTTGCAAGGGAGACGTACTGCTCAGGCAGTGTGGGCATACCATGTGCTGCCTCTTGATCTGGCCGCAGCCTGGGCACTTGCACAGAGACTTGACATCCTGCAACGCCTTGCCTGCCATCTGCCTGTGTCTCTTCTTCGAGTGAGAGGTCTTCTTCTTGGGTACCGCTCGCAGGATGGACTCCCAGATGCCGCCGAGCCAGGCGGGGATGTTGAGGTTGAAAGCCGGGAGCGCGAAGGAGAGCGCCGGGAGGAACGAGTTGGTGACTTGGCGTGTGTAGAGGGAGAGGATCCTTGGTGACTGAGCGAAGGCTGGCGCGGAGATGCGGGGGAAGAGGGAGGTCATGCGCAAAGGCTGCGCGCCCATGGCGATGGCTGCCATTTTTCTTGGATGATGATCGATCGATTCGAGCTCTGATGGAGGGGTTGTCGGGGATTCAGGGACTGCCGAAAGTAGAACCGGGTTCTTTGTAGACGACGGTATCGATTCGGACCGAAAGTTGTTTTGCCGCCGGGTACCTATCGAGGGTTCGTGGCTGCGTGGATGGCCTGTCGCAAAAATGTGTATCCACGTTGAAGCTGCTGCTACACCACTGTCGTGCACATCGCGAGGCTCAAGCTTGTTCCATTCCGAGCCGGAAAAAAAAACGGCTTGCGACCGGGGAGCTGTCAATTGAGATCTGCCAGCCAATCACAGCTTTGAGAGTGCACAGACCGCCATCAGCCAATCAATGCGATGGAGACCCCTTTTCCCCTTTCCCTCCCACACCCCCTGCACCTACCTCCCTGCAGGGAAATTATTTGTTTGCTGGAGTGGAAGGAGCAACCTATTAGCTGCAGCCAACGGCGACAGCCAGTGCCTGGCAGACAGGACACGGGGGGCGCTGGGGGGTGGACGGGGACGGGTAGCAAGCAAGTGCCAGCAAGAGAGGAAATTACCCTTGGTTGGGCCAAATCATTTGGTTGACTTTCCCACCTGGGCTCATTCTCATTCACCGGCTTCTGTCCTTCAGAAACATCCGCCAACCTCGTGATCCTCTTTTTCCTCTCTCCCTGCCCATCGCCTTCTCCAACTCCGTCTCTCCTCCCCCCCTTGACGAGGCCGCAATTCCAAGTTCGAGTAACAGATACCCTTCTTGGAATACAGAAACGTATCACAACTTCACTCCTTAACAGCACACACTCACGCGCACCGTTCACTCTCGCTCCCTTGCGGAAAAGCTATCACAATGGCGCAGCCTCAAACCATCTTCCCCCAGACCCATGTCGGTTTCGACAGCATCACGTCCCAGATTGAGAAGAAGCTCCTGAAGAGAGGCTTCCAGTTCAACGTCATCTGCGTCGGTAAGTTGTTCCCCCGCAACCCCAGATCACAATCACTGGCCTAGCAAGCTGGATTGTCCCCCTACGTCGCGTTGGCAGTCGACTAATTGCATCTCGTGTTTCCATGATTTAGGCCAGACTGGTCTGGGCAAGTCCACCCTGATCAACACCATCTTCGCCTCCCACCTCATCGACTCCAAGGGTCGTTTGATGCCCGATGAGCCCGTCCGCTCTACCACCGAGATCCAGGCCGTCTCCCACATGATCGAGGAGAATGGCGTCCGTCTGCGCCTCAACATCGTCGACACCCCCGGATACGGCGACCTCGTCAACAACGACCGCTGCTGGGATCCCATCGTCAAGTACATCAAGGACCAACACTCCGCTTACTTGCGAAAGGAGCTCACCGCTCAGCGAGAGCGTTACATTCAAGACACCCGCATCCACGCCTGCCTCTTCTTCATCCAACCCTCGGGCCACTCCCTGAAGCCCATCGACATTGTCGTCCTGAAGAAGCTGTCCGATGTCGTCAACGTCGTCCCCGTTATCGCCAAGTCCGATACCCTGACTCTCGAGGAGCGTCAGGAGTTCAAGGAGCGTATCAAGGAGGAGTTCGCTTTCCACAACCTCAAGATGTACCCGTACGACAACGACGAGTTTGACGACGAGGAGCGCAGCTTGAACACCCAGATCAAGGTCAGTCTTGCCATTTGGCTCGCGCACATTCCGATTGCTAATAGACCCCACAGGATCTCGTTCCCTTCGCCGTCGTCGGCTCCGAAAAGTCCATCATTGTCAACGGCAAGCAGGTTCGCGGTCGCCAGAACCGGTGGGGTGTCATCAACGTTGAGGACGAGAACCACTGCGAATTCGTCTACCTGAGAAATTTCCTTCTCCGCACCCATCTCCAGGATCTCATCGAGACCACCTCGCAGATCCACTACGAGACTTTCCGTGCCAAGCAATTGCTTGCGCTCAAGGAGAGCAGCGCGCACGGTGGCGGTAGCAGACCCATCAGCCCTGCTGCTGACCGTGAGCTCAGCCGGAACTCTCAACGAATGACCATGAACGGATACTAGTTTCCGGATATCCCACCCCACCTACTCGAGGCGCCTGACGGCCATGATATTCTTGGGCAGCTGGGCTTCTGACGACTTTCAATCTCATGGTGTTATGCGCAGACCAACAAAAAGAACAGGCACGGTACGGCCTCGACAGCATGCAGATGCTGCATCGACCAGTAATGCAGAGGGGAGGTAGCAGCCGCTACGTCCATGGTAAAACTTGGCGGAAGTGATTTCGCATGGGAGGCTCGAACATGCTTGCGTGGCGCACGGATATAGGCCCATACCCCCTTCTCTAGACTTCATGGTCGTTGTTTAAGTACTCGTGCTGGCGAAAATAGTCCAATATTCCCCCTTTCCGCCTCATCAGCTGGACGCACTTCTACTGTTTTCTTATTTCGGCTTTTTTAAAGCAGCATTTCAACCTCGGCTTCACTTGTACCCCCATTTTCTTCTTACACTTTAATCCATTCGTACTCTGATAGAGAGTTCGTTTCGATACCTCGTGGAATACAACCGACATGGCTTATGACTTGCGGGCTTTGATGTTTCTTGTGATGTGTATTCCTCTGTCCTAAGTACGGTAATACATAGCCAGAGGTTTCTGCCACGTGTAGATGTGGCTCTATGGATTGCTTTTATACGCTCTCATGTGTGTATATATGCTCACAAAGACCGCCCGTGCTATGAAGAAGATCCACAGACCATTTGTGAACTCTTAAAGGATATTCAGTTTCCAACGCCCCGTCACCGTGTCATCCGATCCGACATCTCTTTCCGTCTCCTTCCTTTGGGCGCCCTCGTTATCGTCATCGTCTCTCTACTGAGAAGGGTTGTAGACAAAGTCCTCGAGAGACTTGTACGCCTTCTCGAGGTCGTCGTTGACAATGATCAGGTCGTGAACGCCGGGGGTCTTGGAGTAGGCCAGCTCGAGCTTGGCTTGCGCGAGACGCTTCTGGATGCTCTCTTCCTTTTCGGTGCCGCGGCCGCGGAGGCGCTTCTCGAGTTCTTCTTCTGAGGGGGGCGCGATGAAGACGTAGCGGGCGGGGAAGTTTGACGTCTTGATCTGCTTGACTCCCTAGATTGTGTGTCGTGTCAGCGCTGCGCACCTTGTCAGGGGGGGTAAGCGAGGTGTTGCGTACCTCCATCTCGATATCGAGAACGACGAGCTTGCCCTTGGCGGACTGCTCCTCGATGGTGGCCTTTGAGGTGCCGTACGAGTTGCTGCCAAAGGTCGCGTGCTCGACGAAGCCGTCCTTTGCGACGAGGTCGTCAAAGGCGTCCTTTGTGACAAAGTGGTAGTCGACGCCGTCCGCCTCGCCGGGCCGCGGGCCGCGGGTGGTGTGGGAGACGGAGAGGGCGAAGGAGTCTGGGTGGCGCTCGAAGAGGAGCTTGTAGAGGGTTCCCTTGCCGACGCCCGAGGGGCCGGAGATGACGATTGGTCTGCGGTCGGAGGGGAGGACTGTCATTTTTGGAAGAGTTAGTCCTTTTTTTTGTGATTTTGCGATTCTCTTTCTTGTACGTCTGGGGAGGGAATGTTCTTGGGCCGGTTTGGCAGAGGGAGAGAGAGGTTGAAGGGGCAGAGGTGAATTGGGCCGTGATTCGGAGGTTTGGGTGAGGAAGTGGCAATGTATGGGAGGACGGTGGTGAAGCTTACCTGGCGCCATTGTGCTTGCGAAACGAAACGGTTGACTTTTGGGTATGAATCTTGTCAATGGAGGTTGTCGTGAGAAGGCGTGGGTAGAGGGTCGGAGGCGGGGCAACATTAGATGGAGTATCGGTCAAGGCTTCAAGGGAGCAAGAACTCGCTAGCCTCGAAAGTTTCAGTAGGTCTACTACGGGCACGGCGGCGACGGTCGGAGGAGGGGAGGAAGGGGGGCAGAGGAGGGGCAGACTGGATGAGAGCGGGTTGGGACGGGCGGTCTGGACAGTCACAAGCCTCAGGGTCGGGAAAGGTGGAGGAAGGGGGTTGACGGGACTGGACCGGACACAGACAGGCACGGCGGGAGTTGGGGGACGCGGTGACACTCGCTGTACGCAGTACGGTACACTGAGGTGAGGTGGTGACTGCGCGGCAGGGTAAGGTATCCAATGGTGGTGGGGGGAAGCTCCTGCCGGCAGAATTGGGGGTGGCATATGCCGCTGAAGAGTCAACGTTGGGCGCCCCATGAGTCAGCGGGGCGGTGTGTTGGTGCCCGTTGGGGGCATGGCGGCAGGGTTCACTTTTGTCTCTGATTTGCTCCCTTGCATTTGGTCGTTGCTTTTGCCCTGACGAAGTAGCGGTATGGTAACATGGTAACTACGTGAACAGTCAACACTGCTTTTCAGAAGCTCGAGCCTTATCTTGAATGTGTTGCATAAGCTGAGCAGCTTCCATAAATGCTATACTTGATATACATGCTTTCAATGGACTGTCAGCGCTAAGTTGTCGTTGAATTCAGTGTGAGATGATGATCAAGTTCTGGTCTCAACTAAGCAGGCAAGGGAGTTTTGACTACCGTTATGATTTCCCTTCAGCTTCCAAGTATGAGTGTATATCATCAGTGAGATATTACTTTTTCTACATTATTCATTCAGTCAACTCTCGCAAACTCATTGATAATCCATCTCGATACATGCTGTTCTTGGCATCTTCCATATTACGGCCAGGATACCCGGATTGGCACTCAACTCATAGAAATCGTGGTAGGATGGTCGTAAATCCAGGCTTAGTTTACAACGTAGGAAAAAAGACGAAATGAATATCTGGACTCAATTAGATGAGTTTCCACGACCTTTGATCGGCAAGTACAACATCAAGCCATCGACGGTATTAAGAATCTCGAAGAGGACATGTACTTCATGTATCCTAACTTTGACCGGCGCAGCATTTTCATTGATGTTCAAGCAAGAACACCTACAGTCAAGTTGCTGCTTTTGCTTGGTGTGGTTACCATAACATGATGCTCTCCCAGTATCGTCCTCAAGTAGTAACCTAACTCACCGGTCCCAAATGCCCATGTCTATCGGAAGCAGGTCATATCTAGACTCTCACACACTATGTGAACTCCTTCAAATAGCTCATCCAGAGCTAGCTTAAAAATTCTAGGGCGATGTAGCAAGCGTCGAAGACCTCTGTCTTTTCACTCCCTTCTCGAAGCAGGGAGTCGAAAAACTACCTGCCATGGATACCGTCTCTTCGATCTGCCACCTTCGGAGACCACAAGACGATGTGAACTAGGTCGGAATGCCTCGTGTCAGCTACTCAAGAACTTTCTAAGCTTGCTGCCGGTCGTAAAAGGAAACATCATTATCAACGCTACTCACGCAGGAGCCTGTCGGCCTCAATCGGTCGTCGCTACATTGCTGTTTCACAACGTATCTCAGTGGAAAGGCAACTTCGAAGCCGTGGAATTGTTTACAGACGGACCTACATTGGAACCGCAAATAAAGCTTTCGTGAAAAACATGATCCATCAGAGAAGAAATCTAATTGTGCTGTCACCTCCTCGCAAACTCTAATATGTCTACCTTTTGAGAAGACGCGATCTGCGCCTTCGTCACCCCTGGATCACAATTTGAAGCGTCATACATAGCTCAGAGGTATGATGCCACACAGAAAACAAATCATTTGTGTGTATAGATCTCAGAATGAAAAGATCGAAATATGCAAAGGAGTCAGAGGACTACACCCTGTCGAACAGGTAGGCTTGAGATTCCCCTTGAAATGGACTACGGGCTATACAGGAGATGTATAAACTATGACACTGTTCTAGATCTTACTATGTATCACAAAAGGTAGTTTGGCTCTCGTTAGAGTGCCTTGATAAGTGATTGAATTCCTCAAGTTCGAAGATATTCTCGAGAGCGAAAAAAACAGCAATGTTTTGCGCCAGCTCTCTAGCCCTCATCTCCGATCCATGCCATCCACTGTCTGATCAATCTATGACAGAATTCTATGTTTGTGTATCTGTTTGATGGACGGGAGCGTCTCGGGAAACGGCAAGGGAAACAGCAACGGGATCGTCACCTACATCCTTCCATCTTCCGAGATAGCCGATTCGCATGCTCCATGTACACACAGCAAGTATCTCCCGGCCACAAATAGGAAACAGTCAATAGAGCTGAAGATTCACCTTCATTCGGCACGATGAACCACGTAATACAAAAGTGTCTCAGTTCTTGGCAGCAAATCACAATCAACCTGAAAGCGTACGAACTAGCAATCGAGGGCATTCAGAGCGTGGCGCAGCCCCTGTGAGCACGGCAACGATCCCGTCCAAGCGACCCCGCATGATAGATGGGGCCAGACTTTATTCACATGTTTCCTCGTTGATCTGGATGGCGGCTGTTGATCTCTCAGTGCTTGGAAGTGCCGCATAATTGTGGTGGTTGGTTTGGGTGTTGCCGGCGAAATAGCAAGAATGTCGAGTTTGTGGATACGGCACTAGCCTGGAGCCCCAGGACTTGCATATCTCGTGATGGCGAAGCCTCTGAAGAGCTTCAATGAACCTGAGAATGCAACGTCGGTGGTGAGAGAATGCTTAAAATAGAAACACAGATCAAGATGACAGCGAGGCTTAGCCTACGGTAAGGCTTCGATTGCCGGCCCACGGCATTCTGGAGTACCCTGGGCCATCTGCCCGGCCACCAAATCCGGGGTCGACGCCACGTAGCCTGCGTTGGAATGCAAAAGGCTCGGTTGAAGATGCCGGCGTGGCCGGATAGCGCGGGCAAGAATGTAGTGGCGATGCCACAAACGGGGAGTGTGGGTCGGGAAGGTCGGCCGCCGGAGCCGATCACGGCACGGAACCAATATGCCGGGCGGGGCCGTGTCTACCGGTTGGTTGCCCCCCGTGCCCTCGCCCCCCTTGGTTAGTGAGTGAAATATTCCTCGCCCCGCCAAGAGTCCAATTAGATGGGGGCCGTTTGGTGAGTGAGCACGAGTGAGGTAATAATTTGCATGTGGGGGCCCAGCAGGGGGATGCGAGTCTATCACAATCAAGCACTTGTGCTGGACAGGACCCATTCACCCGGCCGAAATACGATGTGCTGGGCCGCTGGCAAGTGCAATCTTTTTGAACCCCATCGTAAAGAGCCAGTCACGGGGACGGCAGTCATGGGGCATCAAAAGTGGTTGACTTCTAGCGGAGTACCACTTGCGAGAGGATTTCCTTTCGTGTTCAACGGGCCCAGCGGCTCCACGGCACGCGGGACACCCGCGTTTTCCCATACCATGCCGTGACATGCGATGCACCGCCCGCAGCCGCCGTAGTCTCGTGCCTTGCAGCTGGTAGGGCGCTACCAACGACACTAGTCGACGGGGGCAGAAGGGAGGCAAACGAACGGGGTGATTTGTGTTCCTGGATCTCGTATGGTAGGTAGCACGAACTTTCGGCGCAGAACAACTGCTAAGGTACGGTGGCTTGTGAAAGACCAGCGCTGAGAAACCATTTTGCGCATCGACAAGGCTTCGTCATCTCCACCAACACAGCCTAGAAAATCAGCCGCAAGAAAGCTAAGCCCAAAATTCCAATTGGTGGTTGGACCAGTCGCCAGCTAGGCCAGCCAGATCGGGAGGTTGTCGGGTTCACGTGGTTGGTAGTGCGTGGAACAAAGAACCAAGTTGGGGTGCTGACCAAAGGCAAAATGGTCTCAAAACAATCGTCTCTGGGTTCCCGAGTGTCTTCTTTGGGGAAGAGAGTTACAGAGACAGCGGTTTGCCCGAGCGTTGAGGCGGTTTTGGCTCGCAACAAAGGCAGATGTACCAGGCGGACCCTGGAAAAGTAGCGTAGAGATGACACCATGCTGAGGTGAAAACATCGGATATGTTCAGTGGTGGAAGGGGAGAAGAATGCGAAAGTTCAGAATTGGCCGTGGTTCGTTCTGTCAATCAATCCACTTCGCCCGTTCCCCGTGTCTCAGAGTCTCCAGTTGGCTAGTCGGGGCGCATTGTCCTAGGAAAGCTTGAACGAGTATGTCTCACACGGTTTCGAAGGCGACTGTCTTTTCCGGGAGATGTCTTTCTGAGTGGTGACGATGAAAGCAGACTCGGACCTGTCAGTGAAAACAACAACAGCTTACACGACCAGCAGAGATTATTGAAAGACGGTGCCTCTCGAGCGCATGTCGTCTGTTCGTAAGAGGAAGGCCCAAGAGATGGGGCCCTGCGGCATGGGAAAGGACCCCGGCGGCCCTGCAGATAAACGAGCCCGAGGACCAACAAGGAGATTAGTTTAGGCTGGGAAAGTAATGAGAAGCCAAGCTTTAGCACATGCAGAGGGGAGAAAGCGGGCGACTAGTCAGCGCCCCTCGCTCTCGTCCACTGATTTGCTCGTTGAGTTGTTGCGAATTGCCCATGTCTGTTCAGTCTACGCCCGGATCAGCGAGTTGTCCGGGCCATCCCATGTTCTCTTCTTTCTTTCGCTTATTTCGCGTTTGGGACTTTTGACTGTGGAGAGAGGGGCGGTCTCTGACGCTTCCCAGCCCTGTAGGTGTGTGAGAGAAGGGCCTTGCTTCAGGAACTGTGATGCCGAGAGGCTGTGTGTGTATGTGTGACCTCGCGAGGAGAGAGTTTGTATGGCGGGTGTGGCTGGACGACAACAAACGGAAAGAAAGGCAATTAGTAAAGCAGACTCTACTACGTAGGCCAAAGTCGCGAGCTAATGACGGCGATCTGGCGAAAAGTGTGGCTGTAAAGATAGGACCGTTGGTCTGGAAAAGTCGAAGACGGGGGCTAAGGCCGCCTGCGAGACGGAAACCAATTCGACTTGTTTTTGACTCGCAACAGGGGGGGTGCAGAGGCAAAGGAGCCAATAGATGGGCTGGACAGGTGAGCAGAGATGAGACGGTGATGTGAGAGCAAGCCTCAAGGTCCGAGAGACTTGGAGAGAAGTGCCGACGGACTCGAGATGGGACGGAGCGACATCATGGTCGTTGTTGTTCTTTCCTTTTCTTTGCTTGTGGCGGTACCCGACGGAGTATACTTGTTTACCGTTCTTACCGTGAGGTGAGCCCTAAGGCAAAGAAAGTATCACGGTGGAGGTACGGAATAGAAAAGGTACATCGAGGTCGAGGGTGGGAAGGAAGAAGGTGCAAAGATGAGGTGGGAGAGATTGTGTGACGCTAGGCCGAGATGAGACAAAAGCAGTGAGCATCGTATCCAGCAGGCGGGAGCCAAGGTGCCTTTTCCATTTTTAATTTACATGTCACGACTTCCCTAAGTTCCCTCGCTGTGTCAAGTTTCGCCGTTGCTCCTCCTCCTTTTTACTATTACCTGCCTCCTCTTATTAGCCCAGAGCCTGTCTGTCGCACCTGGTCTCGTTTCTCTTTTCTCTCCACGAATCCGACTGGAGACCTCTCACAGCATTCAGCCGCGCAGTCTGCAACACTCGCTCGACAGAGTCGCGCCTGTATTGTTCGTCTGTGTAAAAGGAAGAAAAGCACCGTACACACAAACACACACAACACAGCACCCTCCTCCAACCACTTCACACACCTCGTTCCTCTTTTCGTTTCTCGTCACTCTCTCAAAACCACATCCACAAATCCACAGAAGAATTGTTTCCTTTTTGGACCCTTTTTAGTGTCTCAATTCTCTTTTTCTTGCCTTGCCTTGGCTCACCACAAATACCCACATTCATCTTCTCGACGCTCTCTTGGATTTCGTCCCACCTTTTAGACTAAAGGCACGACCAAACGAAGAATAACGACTTCACCAAATACTTCTACGACTACACACGTCTAATACCCGACGCCTACCAACCCAACACTACTACTTGGAAATAATCCTGCCAGTATTGCAGCCATGCTTGTAAGTTGTAGCCCTTTTTAGTCTTCTATTCCTCCTCCACGACGCTTCCATTGGATCGTTTGGTCCAACCGACCGTTCCGGCCGTTGTGGCAATCCATCGCGCGGCGTCGATCAGGGCGCAAAGAGACAAGCCAAGTTCCTCTCCTGTTGGTTCATGTGGAGAGACATCCCCATGAGCCATCATCGGAATCCTGCACATTCGCGACGCCACATTCTGTCGATCCCCCTCCCCCTCATGTTCCTGCTCTGTCCCTTCTCCAAGACATGCTGCAACACCAACATCACCGTGTAACTCTAATCTAATTCGGCGCCAACCTGCAGGTCCAAACTGCTCTCGTCGCATTGAGTGCGACTCTGGCTGCCGCTGTCAAGCCTCTCACCGTCAAGGGCAATGCCTTCGTCACTGAGGGCGGCGAAAAGTTCCAGATCGTTGGTGTCGACTACCAGATTGGCGGCAGCGCCGGCTACGACCCTTCTCACGGTCGCGACCCCCTCAGCGATGGTGACATTTGCCTGCGCGATGCTGCCCTTCTCCAGCGCCTGGGCGCCAACGCCATCCGCGTCTACAACCTCGACCCCAACTTGAACCATGATGCTTGCGCTTCCGTCTTTAACGCAGCTGGCATGTACATGATTCTCGACGTCAACTCTCCCCTCGTCGGCGAGAGCATCACGAGCTTCGAGCCCTGGACCAGCTACTACGCTGCCTACCTCAACCGCACCTTCGCCATCGTCGAGGCTTTCAAGAGCTACCCCAACACCCTCGCCTTCTTCTCCGGCAACGAGGTCATGAATAACGTTCAGACGGCCGAGTTCGTTCCCCAGTACCTCCGCGCCGTCACTCGCGACTTGAAGAACTACATCGCCAAGCACTCCGACCGCGCCATCCCCGTCGGTTACTCCGCTGCCGACGTGCGCGAGATCCTCGTCGACTCCTGGAACTACCTGCAGTGTGCTGAGAACGGAGACGCCAAGGACCCCAGCCGCATCGACCTCTTCGGCCTCAACTCCTACTCGTGGTGCGGTGATTCCAGCTTCAAGACCTCCACCTACGACCAGCTCGTCTCTAGTCTGAAGGACACCTCTGTGCCCGTCTTCTTCTCCGAGTTTGGCTGCAACCAGGTCACTCCTCGCCCCTTCACCGAGATTGGCTCCATCTACGGCTCCGACATGAACTCCGTCTTCTCCGGAGGTCTCGTCTACGAGTACAGCCAGGAGGACAACAACTATGGTCTCGTCAAGGTCAATGACGATAAGTCCGTCAAGCTGCTCATTGACTACCAGAACCTTGCCACGCAGTACAAGAAGGTCGACTTCAAGACCCTGCAGGCCACTAAGGCTCCTTCCTCCTCTCCCGACCCTCCCAAGTGCGCCTCGTCCCTGATCAAGGAGAAGGGATTTAACAACAACTTCACCCTGCCGGACGTTCCCCCTGGTGGCCAGGACCTCATCGACAACGGTATCAAGAACAAGCCCTCTGGCAAGATCATCTCCATCTCCGACTGGACCGTCAAGCACAAGGTCTACGATGTTGATGGAAAGACGGAGATCACTGGCCTCGCCGTCTCTCCCCTTGCCGACTCCGACTCCAACACTCCCGGCACTAACACTGGCGGTACCACTATTCCTGCTGCCACCGGCACCTCCACCCCTACCGGCACTTCCACCCCTTCGTCGAGCACCACCCCCAATGCCGGCATCGCGGTGCGCCCCGAGGTTGCCGCTCTCGCTGCACCTCTGCTTGCTCTTTTGTTCTTGTAAAAGCTCTGGAAGCGTACGCTGGATGTTGTATGTGGCTCATTAGGAAGGTTTGGAGGTAATGACTTGGTTTCTTTCTGGCATCATAGATTCCCCGCGGTTTGTTTATAAACCTCAATTGATACTTATTAAGACTTGAGTTGTGGCGTGTCAAATGTGATGAGTGCCTATGCAAGCTAGACCCTTCCAATTGGTGTAAATTGACACAGGTGATGATTCGCAATAGTATCGTCATATATAAACCACGTACTCACGGGATATGATTGGTAGGGGAGCGTCAAGATGCTGGTGGACGCTGGGCTCACGTGCAAAAGCTGTGCGACCCGGACATGGAGGGCATCAATTTATGTTAACCTGTGCTGTCGACCCTTGAACGTCATGGAAAAGGAGGAAAGTCGAGCTTGAAACCCCTGAGTTCCGTTCCGCTCCGTCACGTTCTTTCAGCCCCGGACGTATTCGTGAGTGTAGGGCTTGAGCGAGATGGTCAGTGAGCCTTTGTAGGAATAGCGAGAAGACCGGAAGGGGGGGGAGGGGGGGAGGTGCGTTCAGGAAGGAACATGAGACTTAGTACTTCAAAGACATGAGCATGTGAAGAACTTTGACCTTGAGCAAGCGTATCCAAGATGGATAGCGTGTACGATCAAGATCCGGTTGATCCCATTGTAAGGTGCCTGCCCGTGGCTTTGTTAATCTTCCTAAGAGCAGTGAAAGTTTTCAACAGACTGGAATAGTCTTGTTCTTTTTATACTACCTTGGCTGTGGAGGGATGTCATCTCGGCCTTGCGAAACTAAATGGCGTCCTTCTTAGACTTCGCAGCGAAAGTGACAAAAGCTCCCTGCAGGTCGGAACGTATCTCATCTTTATAGATTAATCTGGCTCTTCAACAAAATCAAGTAAGCAGCCTCCTCTCAGCCTGACTATACTGGGACTTATTGATAACAATAATCACCCCAAGTAAGAGGAACAGAGGCTAACAATGTAATCACAAGCAAGAACGTGTATCGCTTTTATATCTTACCATAGCTCTAAGATTATCGCTGCTAATCCTCTCTATTTTAAAAGGTAATTAAAAGGCTCTATGGACGTAACACTCATCTGTTCTAGACCGAGACATTGCTCACATTCGCAGACTACCCTGAGGAACAAGCAACATGTATCAAGATACTAGCTTATAGCATATAGTGCTCCAGTATTTGCTTTGAGATAGAAGATAGAAGAAGTATTCAACTGTACCTTTTGATTTTAACAGCCCAAAACTCAAGGGTAAAAAGGAAATCTGTTTATTGACAAGGGCCCTTTGCCACCTTCTCTCCCCAGTGCTGCCTCTTTATCAAGGTCCCTACGCGCTGTCACCAACCATGCTCCACTGGAACGTGTGTAAAAGCGAGTGACACAAGAGTGAAGGGATAGAGTGTGGCACCGGGTCGTGTAAAGAGTGTATATCGTCGAAATCAAAGTAGATTGGTGCTATGCTCAACGGCAAAACAAGTAACAATAAAGCATCGGACCATCTCACAGCAACAAGTATCTACAGATACAGATGCCTACAAACAGCATTTACCTCCTTGGCCACGAACTTGATTCAGAGCAAGGACGGCCTTAGGTCGACCGTGGCTCTCCAAGGTAACTGGGCCGATAATCAATCAACTCATCCAACACCATCGTTGCCCTTGGAAGGGCTGATCTCACGTCTAAACCGTACACTCCAACTTTTCCTCCTTCCTTTTCGTATTCAAGAGTTTTCCCTCCGCGTCATCCTCGACCGTGAACATACTTAAAGTTCCCCCAACTCATGGTCGTCTTAGTTCGAACTAATCATGTCCGTTGTATAGCTGGGAATTCTCCATATTGTGCAGAAGCTGAAATTCCTTCCTTCCTTGCCTTACGTAAAGCGAGTTATGAGACAAACGTAAGGAACAGAGCGTGAGTGGGCATCTATAGTACGTCAAGGACTATATACATACGTCTATGAAGAGGACTGAATAAGCTGGGGGGCTTGTAAGGAACCACAACCACCAGCCATTCCACGAACGCAATAAAACGAGCTTGGGATGCCGTTTCCCTTTGCAAAAGACCATACATGCTACGTCGCTGTATTCAAAGAACCCAAGAAAGGGATACGTGCCTTTCTATCTATATATATTAATGAGACAGAAGATAGACTCTCCCTCTCTTTATGTGATGGGTATGATCAGTCGACTAGCTTGACACAGGAATATCAATAGCCTTTAACATTATCTTATATTGACGACCAAACACACACACACACACACACACACACACACACACACACACACACACACACACACACACAGATGAACATCACTTTAATCACTTCAAGTCACACCAACATTGAAACAAGAAACAAGCATTGAACCTCTAGTCAAGATCACATTACAGAGCGTCTAATTATTTGCTCATCTGATCGTCGACCATGCCCTCCATACATACGATACAAGGACCCGGCCCTCGACCTTCCTGTCAAGAGCATTTGTTGCACCAGCCGTCATAAACACCGTAAACTTTGCAAGCGTACAAGAAAGTGGGCAAGATGCCATTCCAAGTACCAGGCAAAAACTTTCCTTTCGTCTAAACCCGTGATACCAGAACTATGGCTCTCCAAGTCCACCCCCCCAAACACACATATTTCATTTCATTTATACCGTTTAACCTCTGAACTCCTCAGCACCGCTGGCCTCCCATCTGCCGGGGACGAGGGCCAGGGGCACGATACCGGAGACGTGCATCTCAGGGCCGAAGATCTTGGCGTTCAGGCCAAGTTCTTGGGTGGCAGCCTTCATGTTCTTGAGACCCTCCTGGTAGTTGGGGCCGGCACGACGGACCCAGATCTGGACCTTGTGCTCGTTGAGCTGCTTGGCGTAGTCGCGGAGGGCGCGGATGACACCCTTGAATGTGCTGGCGACGTTGGTGAAGTTGGCAATACCACCACCGATGAAGAGGACCTTGCCCTCGTCGGTCAGGGGAGCGCGGAGCATGAGGTCGAGGACGGTGCGGGCGTAGTGGTAGGTCTGAGACTCGGTGGGAGCACCGGAGTACTCACCGTAGTTGGCGAGCTCGTCGGCAAAACCGGAAGAGGCAATGGCATCGGCGTAGACGACGGAAGCACCACCACCAGCGACCAGAGTCCAGATACGTCCGTTGGGGTTGAGGACGGTAAGCTTCAGGGAGGCACCGGTCTTGGCGTCAAGGTCGGCAATGTAGGCCTCCTCCTTGGTCAGCTCACGACCGAAGGGAGCGGGGAACTCCATCGGCGGGCCGGCATCGATGTTGACCTTCTCGCCGTTGGCGGCGGCGACGTTGGTCAGGCCGAGAGCAGCAGGGGAGCGGGCAATAGCCCACTTGACACCGCACTCGAAGTCGGCAGTCTGGTCAAGCTTGGCAGCAAGATCGAGGAAGTGCACAGAGGCGGAGGTGGCATCCTCGTTGGGGATGACAACGAGGGGGTTGATCTCGAGGTAGGTGAACTGGCACTCGACGTAGACGGCGTACAACCGGGTGATGAAGTCAACCAGCACGTTGTGAACACCCTTGGGGACCTTCTTCAACAGAGACGCGGCGATCTCGTCGTTGGAAGGGTATTGTGAAAGGTCGACGGGAATCAAGAGCTTCTCAGCCTTGGCGTCAACATCACCGACATCAACACCGCCCTCGTGGGTGAAGAGAATCCAGTCGCCCTATCGGAAATCCATGATTAGCATCGACGATTTTATGTGAGGTTTTCGACAGATGAGGCATAAGGGCCGTCGTGTGCATATGGCAACTTCTGCAAGAGGCATGGGTGGACGGGGTGGACGGGCCACAGGCCTCGTCTCGTGGCATCCGTTCGTCCGGTTCGGGAGAAAAATTACCGGAAAGGGCAGTCCAGCGGCCGGAATCCACTTATTTGACCCATGGATAGGAAATGGCATAAAGCATGCAAATTCCCTTTCCACGGTTGCCAAACAAAGTTTTCTTCCAGTTATTCTCACTTTCAACCGTCGATGAGTTTCACATTTGTAGTGTGATGATGCGTTGGTGTTTTCACACCCGCGCGACTCATTGATGGATGGACTGCCCACTCCGGCCCCGCCAACGAATTGGAGAAGACGGCCCGCCACGCCATGCCTCGCCACGAATAATCTGCTGCCGCCGCTGCTGCTGCCACAGAGCAACCGCCAGTTCAAAAGGGAAGGAAATCTGCGACAAAACTTACATCTCTGACAGACATGATGTTGATGTAGTACTCGGTGTCTTGGGGGTGAGGAACGAAGGGCTCGACGAGGAATTGGCGCAGGACACCAGTGACGGTCTCGACCTTCTGCTCCTTACCAGCACGCTCGGCGATCCAGGCGCGAGCCTCGGGCCAGGTCTTGTTGAGGGCCAGGAGACCGCTCTTGCCACGGCGCTTGATCAATTGATCGGGCTTGGCGACGAACTTGACACCGGGCTGGAGAACCCAGGGGTAGGTGACCTCGGCCTGGTTGAGGACATCCTCGACGTTGGCATCCTCGGGGAAGTGCAGAGAGCACAACCTGGGGGGAGGGTTGTGCTTGGTGGGGACGGGAAGAGGAGAGGCCTTGATGACGGGAGCGCGGGTGAGGTGGTAGTTGAGGATGGCCTTGCCGTCGGCCTCGAGGATGGACTTGGCGGACATTCTGGCGGTTGTGAGGTAAGAAAGAGGTGAGTTTTCTTGAGACTTCTTTTCCCTGCTTTATTTGGCCTGAATTGGGAGCGGACTGGTCAGCGATTGCTTTTGGAAAACCAAGTATATTTGTGTGGCTCGGAGTTGGAGTTTGGAGTTCCGCTACCCGTCAGCCGGCAGTAGACTTTCTTTCAGCTGGCTGAGCTTCTGGGAAGGAGCTCCGTGGGCGGCAAGTGTCACCACGGCAAGCAAGCGGAAGGCTCAAGATGTTCGCGCCGAGCTCTGGAAGAGGGGCATTCACGATCCAACTGGAGACTCAACTGGGATGGGGGGAAAGACGAGGCGACAAGATTGAGCTTTGGAGGAGTGTTTGGCTGCAGTGAGAACGTACCGAGAGAGAGAGGGAGCAAGTGCAACCAGGCGACGAAGTCGAAGTCTGGGGACGAAGTTGTGGTGAAGACCTGAAATCAAGTGAATGTCAGGAATCGGAGGTCGAATCGAAGTCGAGTCGAGTCAAGTCAAGCAGAGCGGTGTGTGAGGGAAGAAAGAAGCGGCGAGGTTGAAGGAGAAGTATGGATTGGGGAGTGGGAGGAATGGAGTGGAAGGAGAGAAGCTGTGCTGGTGCGTGGAGAGAGAGGGAGAAGATCGTCAGCCTTTCAAAATTTTGGATTCTGTCGAAGCTCCCAGGGATTATTTGTTGCTGGGACTTCGGGGAGAGGAAGAGCAGGAAGAGCGGACGAAGGAGGGGAGGGTGGGTGTGTGTGTTTGTGTGAGTGACGGTGGTGTGGTGGGAGGGGGAGGGGTGAGAAAGTGACGGGAGAGGGACGGCAGGTACATCTTGGGGCAACGAAGCGCGCCCAGGTACCGACCGGGATCGTGTTTTGGTGGCTTTGAAAATCGGTGGATTTTCACCTATGCACCTTGAGGGAGCTAAGGGACCACGCCAAAAAGTTTTGGGGTGGTGCGTGTTGTGGTTGTGCGGTGCAGTGAGGTGCATTGGAACCAGAGACCTGTGAGAATCTCTCGCAAGCTCTCCGGGAGAGGGAAAAACAAAAAGAACTGGGGGGAGGGGAAAGTATTTTTGGGGACCGGGTGTATTTTTGAGAGGGGGGTGGGAATTTGGGAAGCTCCAGCCCAGCTGTCCATGCACGCTACCCCTCGATGGCGGTGGCAGAACACACGACACCTTACAGGGGGCACACTCGACATATCCGCAAAAAGCAAGAACGACTGCGAGGGAAAACGGGTGGGAAAGTGCAAGTGCCAAGGTACTGAACCGGGAGGGAAGGGACAACGGACAGCACAGGTAAGTACCTGTAACTGTACCTGCTCTATCTGCCCTAGACCTTTCCCACTCCTTCTTCTGTTTGAACTCACCTCGAAATTGGCGACAATCTTGCAGGTTGAATTGCAACAAGGTATGCAATAAAGGGATGGAGGGGTTGAGAAGGAAATGCTGGCAAGGCAGGGCAGGGCAGGGGAATTCGACCAAGATGGAACCTAACGAAAAAAAAAAAGTCTGGGGAGGGGGAATTTGGGAAAGGTGGATGAAAAAAAAGAGACAGGCAGTGGTTGTTGAGAGGTTTAAGTGGATCTCGTCTCGTACCTTTTGGAAAGTCACTCTGAGGTGCTCACTCACTGACGATATTGCAGGCTCTGAAAGACCAAGGAAGACCGCGTGAGAATCTCGAAATGGGCAAAGAGAAACCTAACGAAATGGACGGCAACAATTATCGATTTTTGCCTCTAAGGCGGCGCAAGAGCGGCATTTTTACAGCTACACGCAGCACACAGTCGTGGCAGTACTCCGTACCTTACACAGCAAGTGTTGGACCACAACCTCTCCCGCCCTTTCCCGGATGATGGATCGATGCAACCCCAGCGCCAGAATGTCCGCCGAAAATCGCAGGGACCGCCATTTTTACATACTACTATGTACACCTACCGGAGTAGGTGCTGCATTGTTGTGCTCATCAACCTGACCTTCACTGATTCCAACATGGTCCATCAACATGGTGCAGGCAGGTGCACCACAGCCGAACGGGAAAGGGCGGAAGACAGACTGCTGGCTGCTGGATGGGGCTTGGGGAACGTTGCCGGTGCGGTGCGAAGCGGTACGACGCATCATCCTCGTCGCTTACACCGGCTGTGGTCTTCCAATGCTTCCAGACGATTCTCCATTCTCGTGGGTTGGGGTTACCTACCCGTACCTTACCTTACCTTTGGGAGATTGGAGGTGGTCTGTTTCTGTTTCTGTACGTCCCCCGTATCCGATCGAGATCAGGATCAGGCCCTTGCCCAAAACGAACCGAGAGAAGCAAAGAAAAAAAAAAAGCCGTTGCTTATCCACCCGGTAGCCAGCGGGAGACTGAGAGTTGCGTTTCCAGTACTACCGATTCGGGCGCACTCGAGCGCCGCGGGATGACTTTGTGATTTCGGACGTTTCTCATCTCGTGCGTGGGACAACGGACGGTAGCCCGGATGTCAGGTCAGATCCCCCCAAATTCGGTGTCAGTCAAAGTACGGAGACACAATTTGGTCCAGGAACCGGGCATTGGCGCCGTAATTAGCCATGGCGCTGGGATTGGCACCTGGGACGACGACCAAGCACAGTCATCAAATCAACCTCGAGTGAGACGTTGGACTGCCTGGTCAGACGGCACATCGACCCCTACCCGTTCTTCGCTCCTATTGCCCACCTAGCAATGCTTAGGTTCGCTCAGCATGACCTGCCTGGCCCTGTCAATTTCCAACACCAGATCCCCAAGCCACGACACGGAGCCATTAGCGATGGCCATTCGTGCTCCCGTACGAGTGTGAGTGGGAAGAAGCCAGAACAACTGCTATTACTCGCGCATCCACACGCAGTACACACACTCGGGTATCTTCAAGATGAAGGTGCGCAATGCCCGGTGGTCGGCGGAGTGACGATGGGGAGGACCGAAAACCGGCGGAGGTGGATGCGGCATGCCGGGTTTCGGGGAATGCGAGCATGGGTGCTGAAATGCCCGTTTGGGTCTTTTTTTCTCAGTCTTTCTCTGCTTGTCCTAGTCGCGCGAGTCTTTTGAGTGCTTTTCTCTCTGTTTTTCATCTCCGTCGCCGTCGCCGGTCTGTTTCGGCCGTGGTTTCTTCGCGGCGCTTCGCATTTACGACTATCGCCGCCTTGTTCCGTCTGTCATCTGCATTGTCCTTGATTTTCGAAATCTGAATTTTCTCTCAAGCGGGTATCTTGCTGCTGCTTCTCTTCCCTCTTTGGTCGGATAGAGTAAGGTAGTGCATCATCCCAAGTGGCCTTGTACCCGTACATACCTGGATCTGGATGGATGCACAACATCGTCTCTTCCCCATTTCTCATTCTCACGCACACAAAATCCCACACAGGCTTCGAAATAATACCTCGATTGCCTTGGCTGACAGCAACCACCCACCCTCCGTTCGCATGCAGCGATGGCAGGAATACGGGCAAGGAGGGGAGGCTGTTTTAGTGACCGCCTCGCCCCCACTCAGACAGGCGAGCCTTCCAGTGCCTCTACCTGACGGTGTAAGCCCTGATGTTGGTTGTGTGGTTGTGTAGTGCCAGCGGCTTCTGGATAGGCGTGTGCGTGTAACCCAGTCGTGTTCAGGTTTGATTACAATCCTAGAAGCCATCCCGGCGGCCAAGTTGGCGAATGTCGATCCTCCCTGACAATCCAGTCCGAGGCCATTGGGCGAGACTCGAGATGCGGTCAAACCAAAGTGCAGGCTGCTGCATTCCCGAAAGCCCTGGTGCGTCAAGGTACGATAAGAAAGAGAGAGCTATGGGCGTCTCCCGACAAGAGGTATTGTTGGCGGTCAAGCGCCAAAGCCAGCCGAGCCGACTTGGTCTCAACTTGGACTGGTCGGGGCGGGGGGAGCTCCCGGGACTTGGAACCTCCAATTGGGAGCAGAGAGAGACACAACCGCCATTCGATATTGACACTGACATTGCGGTGACCGGCGGGCGGACACCGCCCGCCTCACTGGTTGAGTTCCCTCTGAGATCGAGTGTCTGTCTGTCGGATGATGGATCTGGATCTTATCGTTGTTGCGTCTGTTCTGTCTGTTCCATCTGTTTCTGCCCAATGTTTCTGAGAGGTGCGAGTTGCAAAGACTGTGAGAGTCAGGGCTTGTGCAGGTACGCAGGCCAGCCCGTCCGCGGATGGAGCTGGTACCGGTACCTGGTCTATCCGCAGTTGCAGCGTCCGTCTGGGCTCAAGCTCAGGTCCAGCCCAGGGCAGTAAGTGCCAGGCCAGGCAGACGTGGGACAAGGCAGCTTCCTTTGGGGCAGAGAGAGAGAGCATGAGCATGAGCATTTAGGTGAGGTGAGCTCCAATTTTGGCAAGGTGCTTGGCCACTAGCAGTCTAGCGCCCCCCAGGTACGGCCTTGCTGCCCTGTGCAAGTCTTCTTTTCAACCCTGTCCATGGGGTGCGAGTACCTTAGCTCTGATTTCCTACCGGGACCTTTTTTCTGGGACCTTGCGGTACGTAGTCCGTAAGGTAAGGTACCCAGTGAGGTGAGGCTGTGTGGGGTCCGCCAGAAACAAGCGGGGGCCAAGGGTCCTTGCCCGTTTGCCTGGTTGGTGCTTGAGCTGCGTGCCTTGGGCGGTCCCCATCGCATCTCCCTTTTTTCGCCTTTTCCCTTCCCTGCCCGCTGGCCAATTCAACACTTCAACAATCCACGGGCCAATCATTTGGCGGTATTGGTCGGGAACTTCCCCAACTCTTTCGGCCGTCGCATGACGGAAGTCTCCATTTTCTCAATTCCCATTCCCCATCACCCCTCCATTCCACGCACCACCAACGCACTACGCACCACTCAAACCCAAGAAAAAAAAGTCTCAGGCTTCTCTCTCTTAGAGTCTCAATGGCCCGACTTTGGCAGAGTTGTGTGTCACTGCGCCGTCAAGCCGTCCCAAGAAAATCCACCGGGCCCTGTACCTGACCCGACGCAGTGCCGGCCATACTGATCGCCCGTACCTTGCTCAGGTACTTGCCCATGTCGAGGACCCCTCCGCAAGGTAAGGTACCTTGGCTCATCCGTACTCTTCACCACCTTACCTTACAATGGAAGTCCACAACCACCACAGAGTCAAGTCAACCCATCCGTTGCTTCTGGTTCAATACTTTCTGCCCGCCCGTTCTGTTCCTGCCGCTGCAAAGCATTGTTTGGCATTGTTGGTGACCAGCCATTATTGGGATTGGGATTGGCCCATTTTCTTTCCTTCTCATCAAGAGCCAAGGTACCTAATCTGGTCTCGTCTCGATAAGGGCGTGTACAGACAGATACGGATAGCTTGCTTACCTTACCTTACCTTACCTTAAGTTGGGTAATGGAAGGTACTCTACGTGGTCGTGTGTGCTTGGGCAAGTGCCAAGTATCAGAGGTACCTACTTACCTCTTCGCAAAAGTTGACTTTGACTCGAACGCGGACCTGTCCCTTCCTCTCTTGTTGCTCATTGCGTTGCTCCCTCGGATACTTGGGACGCAAGCCCGCCAAAACAATCCCTGTTCACCATCACCTCACACAAACGCAAGACGCACCCGCGCACCGCCATGTACCTTACTTCGTCCGCACCACGCACTACTGTACATACGCACAGCACACCGTTCGTTCGTTCCTCCCACTCCCTTGCCGATTCCCGCTGGAGAGAATCCGACGTACACTACACTAGCAAGAAGCAAAGAAAGGACAGAGAGGACCATGGTTCATGGTCCATGGAAAAAAATACTTGAGGAAATACTAATTCCACCTCACCAAAAACTCACACACCCTGCTGGTGGCCCGTCTCCGTGCTCCTCAACTACTTACGATACCCGACCTCCGTCCTCCTTCTTCTCCTCCGACCCTCGCTCACTCTCACTCGACTCTCTCTCTCGCTTTTCCTCTCCTTCCCTCCTTCTTCTCACCCTCTTGCTGCTCTTGAGAAGCTTCCTCTTCTCTCTCTCCCTCTCTCTTACCCCCACGCCAATCCCCTTTCTCACCAAAGGATCTCTCCTCCGTCAGCTCGACAAAAAAAGAAGCTGGACTTTGCCGTTGTGCGCCGCTGCTTGATCCCATCAATACCTACACCCATACCAGGGTAGACAGACAACAGCATCACCGCCTAGGTCAGTTACCGCTCCCCGAATCCTACCCACCCCGGTCATGTCAATCCTGCCCCTCCGACGCCTCTTTCCCACCTCCGAACGCTTCACACACACCTCATGTCACTTCCACACCCGCTCGCCGCCGCACATCGCATCAGACACGACCCAGGACCAAAAAAAAAAAAGTCTCTCCCACCAAGGAGCTGGGGCTACGCCAGCTACAAAGGTCCACTTAATGTCTGGTGGTGTCCCCAGCTGCCGATGAGCATGTAGCCTCGCAGATCCAACGATTTCAGCTTCCCTGAGCGAACTGTCGTCTCTCCGAGTCCCTCCTGAAATCTCACCTTCTCCCCACCATAATTCCGACTCGTTTGTTTTCCACCAAACTTCCTCTTACTACTCATCCTCCTCCTCCTCCACCTTCAACCTTTCCAATCCTTACTTTGGACATCTTTCTCCTTCATCTCTCTCGCGGGCAGACATCCATAGACTTGTTTCTGGCGCCCATTGTCTGTTTCGAACAAGCTTGCTGACCTTGTTACCCCTCGCCAGAATCTTTTTTCTTCTTCCCTTGTTGAGACTCTCATCCTCCCCGACGAAGCTCGACTTTCTTCACAATGCCTTCGGCCACCACCCCCGCTAACGGTGCCAATGGCGCCAAGGCAGCCAGCGGCCTGTCTGCCAACGACAACATCACACGCTTCTCGGCTCCCAGCCGTCCTTTGAGCCCTCTCCCCGAACACGCTCTGTTCAACGACAAGACTAGATGCTTCGTCTACGGTCTGCAGCCCCGCGCCGTCCAGGGTATGCTCGACTTCGACTTCATCTGCAAGCGCAAGACCCCCTCCGTCGCCGGTATCATCTACACTTTCGGTGGTCAGTTCGTCTCCAAGATGTACTGGGGAACCAGCGAGACTCTCCTGCCCGTCTACCAGGAGGTCCCCAAGGCCATTGCCAAGCACCCCGACGTCGACGTTGTCGTCAACTTCGCCTCCTCCCGAAGTGTCTACACCTCCACCATGGAGTTGATGGAGTTCCCCCAGATCAAGACCATTGCCATCATTGCTGAGGGTGTCCCCGAGCGCGTAAGTCTTCTCCTCTTCCCCTCTGGAATCCTACCCCGCTAACAAAAACTCAAGCGCGCTCGTGAGATCGCCCACAAGGCTCAGCAGAAGGGCATCACCATCATTGGCCCCGCCACTGTTGGTGGTATCAAGCCTGGCTGCTTCAAGATCGGTAACACTGGTGGCATGATGGACAACATTGTTGCCTCCAAGCTGTACCGCAAGGGTTCCGTTGGTTACGTCTCCAAGTCTGGTGGTATGTCCAACGAGCTCAACAACATTATCGCCAACAACACCGACGGTGTCTACGAGGGTGTGGCCATTGGTGGTGACCGATACCCCGGAACCACCTTCATCGACCATTTGCTCAGATACCAGGCCGACCCCGACTGCAAGATTCTCGTCCTGCTCGGTGAGGTTGGTGGTGTTGAGGAGTACAAGGTCATCAAGGCCGTTGAGGACGGTGTCATTACCAAGCCCATCGTTGCCTGGGCCATTGGTACCTGCGCCAGCATGTTCAAGACTGAGGTTCAGTTCGGTCACGCCGGTGCCTTCGCCAACTCCACCCTGGAGACGGCCAAGACCAAGAACGAGAAGATGAAGGAGGCTGGCTTCTACGTCCCCGAGACCTTCGAGGAGATGCCCCAGGTCCTCAAGGCTCTCTACGACTCCCTCGTCAAGAACGGCACCATCAAGCCCCAGCCTGAGCCCGTCGTTCCCAAGATCCCCATCGACTACTCTTGGGCCCAGGAGCTCGGTCTCATCCGTAAGCCCGCTGCCTTCATCTCCACCATTTCCGACGACCGTGGCCAGGAGCTCCTGTACGCTGGCATGCCCATCTCCGACGTTTTCAAGGAAGAGATTGGCATCGGTGGTGTCATGTCCCTTCTGTGGTTCCGTCGCCGCCTTCCCCCCTACGCCTCCAAGTTCCTCGAGATGGTTCTCATGCTCACTGCCGACCACGGCCCTGCCGTGTCCGGTGCCATGAACACCATCATCACCACCCGTGCCGGCAAGGACCTTATCTCCTCCCTTGTCGCTGGTCTCCTGACCATCGGTTCCCGCTTCGGTGGTGCCCTTGACGGTGCCGCCGAGGAGTTCACCAAGGCCTTCGACAAGGGCCTGAGCCCCCGTGAGTTCGTCGACAACATGCGCAAGGCGAACAAGCTCATCCCCGGTATCGGTCACCGTGTCAAGTCCCGCAACAACCCCGATCTCCGTGTCGAGCTTGTCAAGGAGTACGTCAAGGCCAAGTTCCCCACCCACAAGCTTCTCGACTACGCCCTGGCTGTCGAGACCGTCACCACCTCCAAGAAGGACAACCTCATTCTCAACGTCGATGGCTGCATTGCTGTCTGCTTCGTTGACCTGATGCGCAACTGCGGTGCCTTCTCCTCCGAAGAGGCCGAGGACTACCTCAAGATGGGTGTCCTCAACGGTCTGTTCGTTCTCGGCCGTTCCATCGGTCTTATTGCCCACTACCTCGACCAGAAGAGACTCCGCACTGGTCTGTACCGTCACCCGTGGGACGACATTACCTACATCCTTCCTCAGCTCGGCGGCGGCGGCGCACCAGGCGCCGAGGGCAGAGTCGAGGTGCAGATGTAAGGGTTTAACGATTAGCGGCGGAAGGTTACGGTTTGCCACGGGATGTGGCTATAGAAATGGAGTCTATGATTTTAACGTCATGCGAGGGATGATGGTGTGCTAAATGGCGTCTTGTACGACAAGCTATATACGTGTAGTGCTGCGCAGTCCTCCGGGATATACTAATGGTTTTGCCCGATTACCTTCGTTGCTACTACTTTGAGAGTGCTGTGAGCTGTGACTACTTACCTTCATTGTCGACCACGACGTCGGGTATTTCCGAGACACTAAGGTCGCGCTTGTGCCCCAGCGGCGGGAGCGGCAATCTCTGAAGGGATTGGACGGCGGGCCGACACCAGTTCAGATGGAGCCTTGGGATAAGCTTAAATTGAGCATGCTGGTTGGGTCGTTCGGGCCGCAATGGTAACCCGGGCCGGAAGGTGTCGGCTTTAGACTTGTTACGCAATTCTTGGGCTGCGTGAGAACCGGCAGCTTTCGTCGACAACCTTTGAGGTAACTTTGTGTCATCTTAGGAGAATTCAGTGTTCTCAATGAATCTCTTGATTTGATGTAAGAATTGCTGAAGGAACAGTGAGGGCTTGACGGTACTAGACTATCTAGTTCTGTGTCGTCAAAGATAACCCAAATCTTCTCAGATGGGCGGTTTAGACCAAGGGCGCTTCAATTTGCTCTCGTGAGGTATGTGTCTGGGTAGTCCATTGCGAGAGGCGAGAGAGGAGTTCCTATACAAACCTTGGGGTGGGGTGAAGGAACTTTGTGGTCTGCCTATCACTCCTTCATGACCGAAATGAATTGTAGATAATAAGTCCGACTTGTGAAAGTCAAATAGCTTGGAAGAAACCAAAATGACCGGACAATGCTAGCGAGTGTACTGATCATGGCCATTGGCCCCCTGGCATGGGATGGCATTCACCCAGTCGGAACGACCATGAAGTAGAATCACGTTTTCAATCATGAACATTTACTAAAGCATTTGGTCCCACGAGAGACAACGAGCTCGTTGAACACATAAACTTGACATGAAGGGATGTTTCGTGAGAGAGTTTCCCTCTTGTTTCCGCCGTACGCATGATTGAAGGACTGTACAGTTTCTACGATTTCCTGTTTTGGACCATCCATAGCAAACTGAAAAGGCCAGTCCAGATGCCGGCTGGGTCTTGTTGATTTCACACATCTGTATTCCGCAGCCTTGTGAATTGGCCAATACTTTGCGAGCGTATCGAACGCAGGGGCGCAAGTGTGCGATCTTCCTAAACGAGCGTCTTCACTGCGATTTTACGTCCCTGCAAGGCGATGATGGATTTGCAAGCCGAGGTTGGGCTAGTAGTTAAGTTTCCCGATCATATGGCCTATGGCCAATGATCGTGAGAATCATAGGCTTCACTGCAATTTCAACCCCCTCCAGGGCGATGATAATAGGCGTATGCCAAGGCAACCTCAGTCTCTCAGTCATATTAGGCCTAAGGTAGTAGAAAGTGGTGTCCGGTCGAGTTACTCAGGCAAGCCACCATGACGCTGCGATTCCGCCCATTCACAGCAATACTAACCCGCTCCGAGGGAAGAGTCGCAGACCAGTGCGCGGGCCATAGTTTGCGCATCTTTTTTGCGATTTTGAGTCCCTCCTGGAAGTATGTCAATAGTCGAGACTGAGACAATTGCAGTCTCTAACACCTGATACCACCTAGGCCAATGACGAGCTTAAAGCAAGCGTGGCGTACGCGAGTGTACCAGGGCGAACCACGGATAATACTCGAGGATTGCGTTGGCGAACCACCCCACGCCTCCATTTTCAGCGCGATAAATCACCTTGCGCAACCTCGATTGCACCAGACCCATGAGCTTTGGTCTGGTGCAGTTGCCTTCTTCACTGCAATGTACATCCACCCTAAGCGGGTAGATCACAAGTATTCGTAAAGGCTGAGCCAGCGTCACGTTCTCACTCACCTAGGCCAATGAGGACGAGCATAGTAGTAGTGCACGCAAGTTTCTGGGGCGAACTGGTACTCAAGGAGTGTGTTGGCGAACCGTTTTACTTGTCTAATGCTCATGTAGGCCTGATGGAGACCCGAAGAGCTGTCCTCCTCTTCAATCGCTAACTTCTTCCATTAATCATGCCTGGCTGAGGATGACGTATGTAAGACCGTCAGGCTTACTGAGATGAGACTTGGAAAGTGCTCGAGCGCGTTCGTCCTTTATTGAAGTAGCAATTCTCGCTGGGTGCATAGATGAAAAGTTATTACAGAAGTCCGAAGTTTCTGGATAGGCCCTTAGACAGTGGCCGACGCCTTCTGCACTGCAATTGGACCCCGTCCGCTGCACTGCAATCTGAACTCCCTCCGAGGGAAGGATCGCATACCAGCGGACCAGACACAGCTTGCGCCGCTCACCCATATCCCTCAGCAAGACAGGAGTGAGATTCACTGCGATTTTGACTCCTACAAGTGGAGACCACCTCAAGTTGACCGCGCCCCGGCAACTTCCGCCCGTGACTTACGCACGGACCATCGAAATTCCAACGCCAGCTTAATGATTTTTGGATCCCTCAATCGCATCGCCAGGAAGGCTATTGAGTACCGGGTCGGTTCCCTGAAATCCCACGACGTCGCGACGGAAAGACTGCTCTAGCAGAGGCTCAATTGTACGGTATATCTCGGCTTCCAAAGCATGTGTCAAGAGCTGCAAAAATAGGCGCTAACATCAATTCCTCAACAGAAACAAGCCGTCACCTATCCCTAATCGAACGAGCAACGAGCACACGACAACCCACGTCGCAAGCACTCTTCCCTCGACGACGAAGCCAAACCCATACCTACGCGTCTTGTCCTAATCTCGATCAACACACCGCCGCCACGACCACCCGCCCAACATGACCTTCTTCCGCATCACCCTCCACCGCTCCGCCATCGGCCTGCCAAAGAGCACCCGCGGCGTCCTCGAGGCCCTCGGCCTCCGCCGCCGCTCCCAGACCGTCTTCCACCCCGTCAGCCCCCAGTTCGCCGGTATGATCATAAAGGTCAAGGAGCTCGTCAAAGTCCAGGAGGTCGACCGCGCCATGAGCCAGCACGAGATGCGTGACCTGCGGAGGCCGGACCCAGGTTTCTACGTCGAGAAGGCTGTTGCGCGGTAAAAAGGGAACTATAGGAAGCGGTGAAGTAAGAGACGGGTTGAGGCCCAGGAGGATTTTCCAAACATAGAGGACGGGAGGCGAAGAGAGGATAGGTGTTCGGGGTTGCCAGAGGAGATAGGTTCTTCGAGCATGATTGGGCTGGAAAGCAACAGCTCGGGCGCGGCAGAGGCCAAAATCGTGTATCATCACCACGGAGAAAAGTGTACAAAATTACGGCGGACTGTACAACAAACATACGTAGACGAGGATGTCTGCATCAAGTTACTTGGAATCAAACAAAAGTTCACTCAAGACCAGATACTGGTGATTCGGGCTCGTCTCCTTGATTGGCACATGATTCGCTTGTCGCAAACAACCTGCATGACTACTGAAGATTGCAAGGAAAGAGGCGAGTCAGATGGACGAGCGACCATATTAGTATACTTGCCTCCCAAGGGGGCAAGGGTTAAGAAAGGATGGTTTTGCGAATGGAAAACAATGATTACTATCTGTCTCAACTCTCATACCGGTTGAGTATGCCTGATACTAGCAGGCAATACAAAGATGCTGGATGTCCATTTTCCACACCTCCAACTAAACCCCTCACCAAGCCTGTATGACCAGGTGCTGGGATTCCAATAACGCAAAGAAAAAGTCAAGATGAAACGTCAAACTGTCTGCCGTTTAGTCGGCTAACCGTTTGACTCAGATGCAAGATGAGGCCTGGCCGCCTAGAAGCTCCGAGCCTTGTCGATATACTCCTGAGAAGGAGTCTCATATTCGCTGACAAAGTAGTTCTTTGCGTTCTTGCCGAGCCAGACGGTGAGCTTGGAGAGTTCCTCACGCAGACGCGCCACGGATTGCTGGTCCATGTTTGTCTGAGCAACGAGCTCGGGAAGAGACACTGTCTTGAATCAGTACTAACCCAGACTATGCGTCTCGAATAGACTTACCCATCAGGCGGCACAAGTGTTCAGGTCCATAGGTATCGCAGACAGACTTGTGCTTGTCTTCCTCGCCAGCCTTCTCCCACACCTTGCGAATCTCATGGTACTGGGGGCGCTCAAATCTATAGAGAGATCAGTAGAGTTCGAGATACCAAGCCCAAGCAGAAAACTTACCGGTACAGTAAGATACGGCTCAAAGACTTCTCAAAGTACTCGCGAAGTCCTGCAACAACTTCTTCAAGAATGTCCATGTTTGCTGAACCATCTTCCCTATTCGGGCGCTCGTAGTTGAGGTAGTCGCTCAAAATGTCGTCAACGGGGTGAGGGTGAGGAAGCGGGACCAGCTGATTGTTCTTGGTGATGTTCTCCCAGTCGTCAACAAGCATCGCCTTGATATGATCAGGGATGGGAAGCTTGATGGACGGGCGTGCATGAAATCCATCCTCCTGGTGTGTGATATTAGTATTTGTGTCGACTAGTAGGCATGGCGCAACAGAGAAAGGAAAAAAAGAAAAGAAAAAGCCTCCAGGCCGCTGGGCTGTCGAAGTTGTAATGGTTTCTCTCGATGGCAGTCCTCCTCAATCCACACATGCGGAAGCTTCCCACTGGGGCAAGCATTGCGTTTGTGTTAACTCACAGTCGGAAGTTCTTCCTCGCTCATTTCCGGAGAGTGAGCAGATGACGACTTCGTCCGGGCAGGCTGTTCTCGCTTGAGAGATGTGACGCTCGTATCGTAGCGATTGTCATAGTTGGGCTTGCCGTCCTTTGTGACATAGGGTCTGGCGCGGGGAGCAGGCGAGAGGGCCAGGTTATCCGCCCTCAGCAAGCGCGGTTCCTTCCAGGCCGCCGCTTGATCGTGCTGAGGTCGCCGACGCAATGGTTCGGCTGGCCGAGATTTGCGAGACGCGAAAGCCATGATGAATGAGCAGAGTGTGTGGAGAAATCGGGTAGCGTTTGACGAGGAGACTGGAGTGGTTTTGCGAGCAAGAAAGATGAGAAAGAGAAGCCGGAGTTAGGGGATGGTTCGATGAAGAAAGGGCGGGAATTCGGTGGTAGAAGATCGGAGGCTCTTCATTTTGCTGCGGGAAGGAGCAGTCTGGGGTTGCTCCTGCCAGACAGGCGACACCAGCAGGACGTTTCTGATGCTGGTGTGTCGGGCCAACCACGGCCTACTGCAGCCTGCGTCGAACATTATGGCGGAACTCGAGGAGTACCTCCACACTGTTCTCACGCTTTCTCTTGTTTGTGCCGCAGGGCCTCTGCAAAAGCTCTTCGACGACGTACTTGGCATCTTCCGACTCGCCATCTTGGAAGCTTCGTAGATCATGCTGGTTCTCGATGTTGGCATTCGCGGGACGCTCCCCAAGGAATTCTATACTGGGGTCGCTGGTTATGCTGGTCCTATCATCGTCATCGTCGCTGCCAACGCTCTCATAGCTAGAAAGGCTGACCAGGTCGATGATGTCGGCAGGTTCCACGTCGCCATCGGAATCTGAGGCTCGCCCGACTGTCTGATCTTCGTCTCCCTCATCTTCGTCGTCGGCTTGGTAGAACTCGTCTTCATTTTCCTCGTACACGGGTGAAGCCCAGCGAACCTTCTTGCATGGGCGAACAGATGCCTCGTCGTAGCCATCGAAGTCATCTTCACTACACATGTACTTCCGACGTCTATTGGGTAGGAAAGCGTCATCTTCTTCGCCAGATTCGAGTCGCTGTCGGAACAGGTTGTTCCGAAACTGCCTCTCGCTCAGAGTATCATCGTAGTCCCTGAAACCTTCATCTTCCTCAAATTCGAATCGGTTCACGTCCATCTCCTGTTCGTCGACTTCGTCGTCTTCATCCTCGTACTTGAATTGGTTCTGGTCCATGCCCGCCTCCTCCTCATCATACTCGTCCCTGAAGTAGTATCGTGGCAGACCAGAGTTATCGTCCCCGTCCTCGTCCTCGTCCGAATAGAGTCGACGCCTTTTATGATGCTGTTCGAACGCCTCATCTTCCTCATCGTCGTTTGGCTCCGGTTGACGTCTTTTGCGTTGCTGATAGCGCTGATTTGGGCGATGATTGATCACGTCGGCGTCGCCATACAGATAGTCGTCTGAGGCTGGAGCCGGTGTCTCGTGATTGCCATAGTCGAAGCCACTGGCGTAATCGCTCTTGATCTCGATGTAATCGCCTTGAGATGCTTCAACATCTTGTCGATATTCGCGTTCGTTGGCATCCATTGCTCGACCAACAGGGTTGTTGTGACGGTATTGAGCAAGTTGACGGGCGTAGTCTAATCGAGACATGAATCCGCGTTGGGGCGGAGAGGCGTAGTTGGGCCGAGGGCCAGAATACTGCGCAGCCTGCTGCGACAGAACCCAGTCGTACACCCGAGCAAAGCTATCCCAAGCCGGGGAGCTCATATTGTATCTTGGGTAGGGTAGTGATGATTGTTGATGGAGTTTGGGATCGTGTATCCTGAAATTTTCGAGGCAAGACACGAGACGTTGTGTCGAGTATGAATGTGATGAATGCGAAAAGGGGGAGTTTTCTGGGAAAGGATGGGAAATCGAACCGGCGATTTGCAAAGAGAAGTGTGGGATGTGGGAGGAATGTGAGGAATTGGTGGAAGGTGTGGTATTGAAGAAGAGTTTGACCAGCGAAGACTTTTCGGGGCAGGAAGGTGAGAATTCCTTTCCGGCAGGTGCCTCGATGGACTCTGATTCACACAACGCTCCTTCCTTCAATCAGATAAGTACCAGCCGCCCGGCGGTGAAGGGGTCGGGAAGTATTCGGTGACCAGCTTTGCTGATGGCCCCACATTGATGAGGGCATTCACCCCCCTATCGTTTCCTTCCTCCTTCCCGTCTTTTGGACTTTGTTTCAAGCTCACTTCACAATGAGTTTCTACTTGGACACCAACATAATGGTATGTCGAGAGAAATCAAAGAGTGAACAAACGCAAGACAGAAAGCAAGACACAAAGAAACTCGGTTTTGGCACTCACCTGCTCGAGGTCAAAATCTCTCGCCCGGCGAGGGCCACGGCCAGTGGCAGCGACACCCGCAGTTCGCTCCTCACTACCGCGAGCTGAGTCGGTCCCATTGACACGAAGATTGCCCTTCTTGGGGGGTTTGGCACTGCTCTTCTGGCGTAGGTCCTTCATCTGGGCGTGCAGCTGGCTGGCAAGCTCCTTATTCTCCTCCGTGAACTTGCGGATGCGATCGATAGAAACCCAGTCGTCCCAAGTGTTCTTCCAGCCCTTGTAGTGAATGCGATACTGGAAGCCTTCGCCACTCTCGGCAGGCTGGATGTCGAGAATCTTGGCCTCATATAGCATCTCACCATGGAAACAGAGAACCTTCTCATCCTTGGAGAAGGGCTGGGGCGGTTGGCGTGCGGGCGCCATGATTGGATGAGACGGCTGTAGGTTGGCGTATCTACTCAGTAGGCTCCAGCAAAGAATATCGACAGCAGGGTTCTGGCGATAACCTGGATGTCGTTGAAGGGTTGATGGGCCAAAGGGGCAATGAGGTTAAATTCTCGGACAGTGCGCTGAAGATCGAGACACAGTCACTTTCAGGACCAGTCGGCGCAATTTCGAGGCTACTGACACAGTACGAATCGTGAGCAGTCGTGACACCTCGCTCAATCCGGATGACAGTGTTGATCAAGTCGCTAACACGGTATTAAGCTGGAGGACTGGTTAGTTTCTGGGCAAGATTGACAGCGAGTATGAAAAGGATGTGAATCTGAATCTTACTGCAATTCGTATGTCTCCTTAACAGCGACTTGCCCAGTGTTGCTTTCGTCGTGGGTAGAGCCGTCTTCGCAAGGTACAACCGTGATGGATGAGGTGAAGATGGCAAGGTGTGTCGAATCTTCCTACGGAGTGAAACGCGCTGCGGCTCATTAACGCGTCCCGCAAGAACTACCGCGTCTTCCATGCCTGCCCCAACCCAAGCGCCACCTGCCATGTCTACCTTACTTACCTTACCTTATTGTCTACCCAACTACCTTACCTCACAGGCTCACATATCTGACTTTCCAGCTGAGCTTACTCTCCCCTGCTTTTTTGTTAGAAACTACGGATACTTTCTGTCAAATAACTTATCGTCGAGGGCTGTTGCGACTATAACGGCCACTTGCTGGACTCATAGTCTTCCAAGCAGCTCATCTTACAAGCGCAACCCATCATGGCGCCCACCGAAGCCGCCATCCTGCACAACTACCTGACTGTCCCGGCGCAGCTGCCCTCAGCCATCACGCTCGAAGAATTCACCGAGCTGTTCCCTAAACCGCATCGCGCAAACCCGCAAATCCGCTCCTTGTACCGTGATCTGCAACACCAAAGGAGGGCACTCGTTGACACGGTCACGGAAAACGTTGAGAACGAGGAGAAGAACGGGAGGATCATCAAGCGCGAGATTGCGCGTGCCCAGAAACGTGCGAAAACCGAGGATGCCGATCAGGAGCTTGAGATTGAGAGAGCGGTATGTTCTTGTGTTTTTGCTACATAGTATCATTGTAAACCAGAGTCTCTAACACAAAGGTTGAAGCTATTTGGCGCGGCTGGGGCGCAAGATCCCAAACACACAATTAACTCCATCGTCCCAGAGATGGACACGGCGATAGCGGATCTCGAAGCAGAGATTCAGGAGCTAGAGGCTCAGGAAGAAAAACTCACCGAGTCGATCAAACAGACAGTCGGCAGCATGAGCGATCTCCGCTACGGACGCCTCGCCAACCCCAAGCTCGGAGAGGACGTCATTCAAGGTCTCAAGAGTGTCCAAGATGCATGCGACGGGAAAAGTTGATCAACTAAAGATTACTAATTTGGCCCTATCTAATCCAAACGACCAGGGATCTCAGTTGCATCGTTGCAACGGCCCGCGGATTTGTCTGGATATCCAAAACCATGCCAATGTGCCCTCCAGCCTCTCTTCAACTGCCTATCCTAAAGCCACGCCACCCCTTTACCGCGCAACACCACCAGCAGGGGCGGCAGCAGCGGGAGGAGCACCACCGGCAGCGGCAGCGGCGCGGTTGTCAAAGGTGTTGCCCATGCGGCGGTTCATCAGGGTACGGCTGCCAAAGGAGACGAGGATCATGAAGAGCCAGTTGGGGACCAGGTTGAAGGCCCAGAAGATGTAGCCAACGGGGACAGACAGGTTGTTCTTGGCGATCCAGCTGTTGAAGGGGTGGAAAATGTTATCCGTCAGGATCCACTCCTCCTTGGACTGCGCCTTCCACAGGTCGACAATGTCGTCCGAGGTGGTGGTGGTGATGTTCAGGCGCTTCCTGTAGACATCGACGTCCGCTCCAGGGGGCAACAGACCGATGGACCAGATGGAGGCGGTGCCGGCAGACCACGCGTTGCAGAGGACGGGCTGGTCGTCGCAGTTAAGGAGACCCAGGTGAGGGGATTCGGGTAGCTTGGCGAACTTGATGGTAGACTCGTTAAAGGCAGTCTCGATCTTATCGCAGTGGCCTGTAGGTAGAAATTAGCATATCTTGGTGCATGGAGCAATGTGACGCGCGGTTTGCGGAGCGTACCGAAGCAGGTCTTGTTACGACCAGTGATCAGAACCCACCACTCCTCAGGGGTAGTGGCATCAGCCTTGACGGGCTCGTAGAGAACATCCTTCCAGTTCTCGACGGTCAAGACGGAGATCTGCTTGTCGACGGCGGTCGCATCAGGCACGGCGGCCTCGGGGGTGGCCGCTTTCTCAGCGCTGGGCGCGGAGGCGCCAAAGGAGCTCAGGAAGTTCTGGAACTGTGCCTTGTACTGCTCAAAGGGCGACTCGGCCGCTGTCGCGAGCAGCGGGAGCGCAAGAAGGGTAGTGGCGGACACGCGCATGTTGATGATGGCTGTGTATGTGTGTGTATGTGTGATGGAAAAGTCGCTTCGCGTAGAGAGAAAGGAGGTGGTAGCTTGGGATGTCGTGATCAAGCGGCCAAGAGATGATGAGTGAGGGGAAGCGTATTTACAACAAGGGACCAAGGAGGGACGATAAGTACGGGTTGGCGAGGGTAAAGTATACAGGCAACCTGATTCCGGCGCGAAGTTTGGACACACGAAGAAAAAAGGACACAGAGTCTGGATGCGAGGGAAAAAAGTGGAAGAGGAGCCTAAGTACGGATACTGACACGGGTGCGAAATCAGGCAGTTTGGAGAGGGACCCTTTTGGGACTCGGGGAGAGCGTGTGGCTTCTCCTGAACCTTGTCCCTTTGGTGATCCAGCTGGAACAAAGGAGCTTTGGTCGCCTGGGGGATCCAGAAGAGCACTGAAACCCGCCCGCTCCCAGAAGCTCGGAAGCACGCACCATGCTGCGTAGAACGAGAGAGAGGTTCTTTCTCCATATAGTCTAACCGAAATAAGACTGGCGCTTGCTGCTGGTCAGCGTCATTTCGGGTCGCCCAGGTGGAACGGCGGTCCGGGGTACTTGCAGCAGCCACGTTTGGATGTCTCGCGTGCATCAGCCACACGAGGCTGATGCATACGGTACGGTACGTACTGGTCATTTGGAGGGGACCTGGACACGTCGAGAGCTCACATGCTGAAGGGCATTAGAAGCTCACATGCGCTTCGAGACAACATCCACCCTTGCGACATAGCATTGTGAGCGCAAAATTTCACAATGGTAAGCCTTCCAGTCCTGATTCTTTCTGACTTTACCTGACACAATAGTAGCCCCCCAAAGCCGCAGACCAGAAGCGAAAACGAGGTCGCCCCTCAAACGCGTCTAAGCCGGCCGACGCGTCGCCAGGTTCTCCCGAAGCTGTAGAGACAGAAGAAGCACCGGCACCAGGAAGGCGCGGTCGCCCAAGCAAACGAAAGGATGCCGAAGTGTCATCTCCCGCCGAGGAACCGAAAACCAAAAAGAGGGGCAGACCACCCCGCGAAGCAGCGGTAGAAACAGAAGTAGAAGAGGCGAATGAGGAGGAGCCCGAACCGGCGCAAACGAAAGCGAAATCGAAAAAGACCAACAAGAGCAGTTCAAAGGGCAGCGAGGAAGCGGCAGACGAAAATGGGTCAACAAGCCGAGGAGAAAAAGCCGCCTCACGAGGCAAACCAGGCCGAAAGCCAAGAGAGGAGGCGAACGAGGAGGTCCAGGACGAAGAAGAGGCCGGCGCAAGCAATGCGGCCAAGAAGAAGCGTGGACGGCAACCAGCAAAGCCTACGGAAGAGGAGGAGCCCGGGGAGGCTGTATCTCCAGAATCGGCACCCAAGAAGAAGCGAGGGCGACCGTCTTTAGACAAGAAACCAGCGGCCGAAGAATCATCACAAGCTGCCGAGGAGGACGCTGCGCCCAAGAAACGGGGAAGAAAGCCCAAGGAAAAGGCTCCCGAGGTTGAAGAGCCTGCACCTGAGGAGGAGGCGGAGGCTGCGACCGTTCCCAAGAGGAAACGTGGACGCAAGGCAAACGTCACAGTAGAAGAGGTGGAGGAATCACCAGTTGAAGAGGAACCGACGGCTATAAAAAAGAGACGCGGTCGCCCTGCAGCGCAAGCTGAACCGGATGCGCAGGAGGCGTCACAGTCAGAGCCGAAAGAAGGCCGGAGGCGCAAGGCGAAGCAGCCCGTACCAGCAGCAGAGACGATAGCCGAGAAGCCGACCAAGAAGCGGCGGAAGAAGGGCGAGGAGGAGGAGGAGGAAGAGGCGTCACCAGATACCCAACGTCGCCGGGCTGGCCGTCCTCGAACTTCAGATGCAGCATCCCCGCAGAATGAAACCTCGCAAGCGCGCAAATCCAAGAAGCGTCCAACGGAAGACGACGTAGCAGAAGCATCAGCACCCGCCAAGAAACGCCGTCGTCGCACGTCTGACGAAATCCAACAAGAGAAACAGCAACAACAGCAACCCAAACTCGAACCCCCAAAAACGGTCCGACGGGCCCCCAAACACCGTCACATCGCCGCCCGCGTCCGCCAGGTCCCCCGCTCCGTCATAGAAGACAAATGGTCCCCGCTCACGAACCCCTCCCTCTCCATCGTCTCCAACCTCCTCCGCCTCGCCGAGCGCCCCGTCCTCCAGCGCATCCCGGGCAGCGAGAAGCGCCGCGACCAGGCCGCCTCCGCCCTGCACCTCATCACGAACCGCCTCGTCAAGAAGCTCTCCCGCGGCCTGCCCTTCCCGCCGGCCTCGGCGCCACCCACGGGAGGCAAGAACAGTAGCAGGAAGCTGCTCGACACGGACGGCGGACGCGTCGAGGAGCTCAACTTTGAGCGCGTCATCGAGGGCGTCGCGGCGCTGGAGAGGCAGCTCGATCCCCTCCTCCACGCAGTCGACCTCCTCAAGACCGAAAAGGAGCGCGAGGAGAAGGCTCTGGAGGAGGACTACGATACCCTCCGCACACTCGAGGCGAACGCGCGCTCCGAGGCACGCAATTTCAAGGATAGTCTCCGCAAGACGCACGTCCTCGTACCGGAGGCCACGAAGCCCGGTGCCGCTTCCGCTGCCGCCGAGAACGTCCTCAAGCACGACGAGCAAGACTTCAACTTCATCGTCTCCGAAGAGGGTGCCGGAAGCGGCACGCCGCTGTTCAAGGACCTTGAGGACGACGAGCTGCGCGCCCTGGCGGGACAGGTCGGCAGCCACATGGAGAGCATGCGGGCCAACCTGCAGCAGATTGACGGCGTCGTGCCCCAGATCGTCAAGAGCAGGGCCGCGCTGCAGGATGTGCTGTTCAAGCACTTGGATCAGCAGAGTTTTGAGAATGTCTTGTTTGGATGAAAGACACGCCAGACATATTGCGAATCCCGTGTTGTGTAGTTCATGGATATTGGGGGAATTCGGGAAAGCCATTGGGAGTTCTGGACCGACTTGGTGTTAGGCTGGTGTTTACATCGTGGGACATCGATACTGTACATTGACTACGGGGGCGTTGGCTGGCTGTCTAGGTGATACCACGCAATTGATGATTCATGACCTTCAGTGCCTACCATTGACAAGACCAAACCGATAATTGTGATGTACTACACCATAATACCACCATGTGGCTTTCACTGAAGCCTCACCAGTTCGTTGAACGGATCTGGCACGAAGTGGACATGAAATCACTAGCCCGTCACCAGAACCAGTGTCACCGCAGCATCCAGGTCATCTTGAAGATATTGCCTTGGAACCTTTTGCCTATGAAGATCTATACACTTGGGGAAATTCAAACCTCGGCCCCATTCTATACCATACAAAAAGCTGGTCTCGTAGCCCATCTGAATGCTCTTGCCGAGACTTTCTCCAAGCCGCAAAACCACCGCCTGTGTTCATAACATTCCTTGCTCTTCCTGAGCGTCATCATAGTGTGCCAAATTCTGTTAAGGTGCCCTACTCCATCCTTCTTCGCCACGGAATTATACCGCACTACTGTCGATAACCGGACCTCTCCATTTCAGCAATGGCAATGATCGTATTGCGAGAGTTAAGTTTCGATTCGCTGTTCATCACCTGGAAATCAGAGTCAGTTTCAATGGATGATCGTACATCAAGGCAATTTCAACTTGTGAAGCGTAAAGACTCCACGGCTGTAGAATGCAAGATCAAGAAGCTCACCTGCGTCATTCTCATCGAGAGCTGTGGTGTAAGACAGACGACTGGCCGGAGTAGCCCATTGCTCAGTCGTGGCGGTGGTGGAGTCTCCCGCAGGAAGCATGATCATGTTGGCCGGTGTCACTGGCCGGATAGTCGGTGCTTCAGTACCACCCTTGTGGGCGTTCTTGCTCTCCAGAGCAACATTATTTTGGGCGGTGTTCGCGGTATCATTGGCAGATTCGTGTCTCGCGTGCTCGGTTTCGTGGAGTCGCGCAGGCAGAGTGTCGAGGGAGGACGCTGGCTGGTCCTCCAACTCAGCAATGGCAAGAGCTGGATTGATGGCCATCTTGGCACGCTCACTACCCTTCAAGGTTTCAATGCTACTTTGGAGGGCTTCCAGGTCTTTGTAACCTTCCTTGGTGGGCAGGATTTCGAGCTCGGGATATTCGAGTTGGGCAGACGACTTGACACCGGGCTTGGACGGCATCATCTTTCCCAAGCTGGTCTTCATGGCCTTTCCGAGCTTCTTCGACATGGACTGAGAAGACTTCTTGATCTCGACGACGCTGGGCATGGAAGTCTTGCCGGCGAGCTCAACATACTGCGCTGTCTCCGTGCCGGGGAATGTCGCAAAGTCCTTCGGCGTCATATCGTCATCAGGGCCCGCAGTACTAGTTCTCTTGGCTCTATCATGGGAGGGCCACTTGGCCCAAGAAGAAGGAGGCGTAGCAATCTTTTGGAAGCCCAGATTCTATTTGGTGCTTGTGACATCTTCGTTGTTCTCCGATTTCTTGGGAATGATGGTGCCAGAGAAAGACTGCCGAGAAGTGCTTGACTGGCTGGCGTTTCGTGTTGCGATGGAATCCTGGGCTTTGGCTTCTTCGTAGCGATATGCGACTACATCTCGCTCTGTAGGGAGAGAGAGGTGGTTCTCATTGACTGAGATTGTTCCCATGCTGGCTTTAGCCATGGCAGACTTCTTGGAATCTGTAGTGGACTTGGTCTCGCGCTGGTCGTGCTCAACTTTGAAAGCTCGCTGCCAGACCACGGTGGCGCTTTCAGTGAGCTTAGGTGCAGTGAATTCGGCGTCGCTCGGGACATGCTGGATCGAAGAAGTGATGCTGTGACTCGAGAGCCTCTCAGTGTTCTCCCGTGGCTTGAGCATCTGGTTCGCTACCGACGAGGAGCTCAACTGTGCGGGCTCCGTGGAAGACTGACTATGCGACTGCCATCGACCCTTAGTACTCGAGCTTCTACGAATGCCCAGGAATTGAAGGAATGAAGACTTCCGCGACGCTGCATAGCCGTTGCTAGGCATGTCGATCTGGGATTCACCGGAAATTCCTCCAATACCACCAAGTGAACCAGGCTTCTCGTTCTTCGGGTCAGGGGCGTTCTGCGTGGTGCCGTAGTTGGGATAGTTCTCGGTCTGGAAGCAAATACTATCGGCACCAGCTACTTCCTGGCCTGATAGGATAATAGAAGGTACAGCCGTGTCAGAGTCGGGGTTCTTGTCTAGGGCGGTACGATAACTCTCATCAGAACGCTGCTCCTTGAGATTGTATACTGTTGCTTTGTTAGTTGACGTACAAGCTTCCGCGGTCAATGTAAACCTACAGTCAAAGTTGGCGAGATCGAGATCAATAAGACTCTCAGCAAGGCTGTTGCGATCGTCGTCACCACTAACATCCTTGAATCCCGATGGGGAGGCGTTGCGTGTGTTCCGCATAGACGAGTATACAGAAGATGACGGATAGTGCGACAGCTCGTTCACAAGCAAGGGCGTTCTACCAACCAAAGTAGCCTTTACCTCCAAGTCGTTTTCCAAAGGCAAGTCAGCGTACGGCTTGTCACCAGAAACCTGTTGGAGGGGAAAGCTGATGGGGCTCGAGAGTTGACGGTCTGTTTCTTTCTCATCGCCAGCTCCGGTAGCAGAGCTGCGACTGAGCACTGTAGTTGCGGACTTCTTTTTGCCATCCAAGTCCTTAGCTGTGACGGAATCCTCCTGAGACGTGAGCTTCTCGGCGAGCAGCCAGGTCTCCCAGCCACTGCCATCCTGGGATTGTGCAGATTCCGATGTGCGTGGAGGCTGAGATATGCCGACGGACTCGGTTGCGAGCTTGCCATCGGGCTTCTCCATGTCGCAAAGAGTTGCGCTGTTGCTGGAAGAACCATCTTGAGACTGGGCCTCAGAAGCCTCTTTATCGTTAAAGGCAGCTGTGCTCTCGTCGTCCAGTGGAAGGGGGATATCCTGAGGTTGAAGAGAAGAGGCCATCTGACTTTCGCTTTGGGGGATACACTGGGAGAGTCTCCAAGTTCTGAAAGACTCGTCATCCTGATCGGCGCGACTCTGGCGAGCAGGGAGAATTGGGGCCGGGGGAGGCATATCAGGGAGTGACCCTCGCTCTCGAAGAACAAGACTTGTTGCCGTGACCTTCGTGGAGGTATCAGGCTTTGGGCAGCTGCTACGCCGGCGGTCTCCAGTGGTGATATCGATAGGATGAACCTTAACACCTTCGTTCGAAAGCTTGGCAGCAGGCGGCGGCTGCGGCAGAGACGTGATATCAACCACAGAAACATCGGTGGGAATCTCCACCTCTATTCCGCTCCGCGGTCGCGGTCCGCTCTGACGCTCGCTTTGGTGATCACCAGGAACTTCCACTACTGTCTCCAACCCACGGAATCTCTTACTTCCAGGCGTGACAGATCGCGAACTGTGCTCGCTCTCGAGGTCGGCTTGAATGCGCCTCATGTTGTTCTGTCTCACAGGGTAAGTATAAGCAGCCTGGTCGTATTGCGGGGAGCCATCTATCTCCGTAGCAGCAGGATTGGAAGAGGGCCTCTGAATGCTGATAATCGACACCCGCTTGTCACTGTCGGGACTGTCAGACCGCTTGTTGCTGTTGTTAGAGCGGCGTCGGCTGAGTCTGCTCCAGGGACCACTTCTTCTGGGTGCTTCGATTTGATCCTCGTGGTCCGACACATATTCGACCTCGGTGGGATCAGGAATGAAATCCAGTTCAGGAGAACGCATGTATGAGCGGTGAGAAGACGCAATGGAGCCTCCTGTGTTGGTTCCACTGAGCATGAGTTCCATGTTGTAGTTGCTTCCGGGCAGCTTGGCCGGAGGAGGCAGCTTGATCAATTCGACAAGGGACTGCTTCGGAATCTGGGCCGGGATTTTCTCCTTCGAGGTCGTGTTCTTGGATTTCGCATCGTTCGATTTCGCGTTCTTCGCCTTTTTGTCCTTCAACTGCGTGTCTTCGGGAGGACCCTCCTCCTTTGCCTTTGCGTCTTCATCTTGCCCCTTTTTCTTGGAGGGGATGCCGATGCAGCAGACGCGCACCATCTTGATGGATTTCCACTGAGGATGCTTGATTTCCTCTGTGTTTGCTTTGGTCTCCAAACGAGCGAAGAGGTGGTGATAGTCGGATGGCTGGCGAAAAATACTCGGTACCAATCCAAGAAACTGCTCGACCTGCCCAAGAGGAGAATGATGCAAATGAAAGTCTGATGAGCGAGGTTGGCTTGCAACAGGCCAAGGCCAAAAAGAGAGGTTGAGGGAGATGGGGGATTTGGCAAGAGGCTTCTTCTGTGGAGGGTAGAGGGCAGAGAGAAGGAAAGCAGAAGGCCCAGTCAAGTTGTGGTAGGTTGACCTGACGATGTCATCTTTCTACCAAGTGAAAACAGCAGGTGCCCCTGAGGGTTCCTTCTCGAGGATCTGTTGCCTTCACTGGCGGCAGTCACCAGAGACGACATCATCAAGCAACACGGGCACCCAGGTCAAGCAGCGGTCATCAAAGACCAGCAACTGCCTCCCTCAACAATGCCATGCGGCTTGTGAGAGCATGTGACAAAGGCAACGCCGCATGTGTGAACTGCGTGTGCTTGAAACTGAGGGCGAGCGCTTGCTTCGAGATCTCCATATACCCGCTGCCCATCTTCAACCCACCTGAAATAGCTATTGTTGAAGTAATTATCCATATTGGAGTGAGTTTCAAGTGTTGGTTATTGATACTGATAATTTGGCTTCAAGTTGATATTGTTCGAACAGATTCTACAACACGAGCCATTTGTGTTGTACATATTGACTAGTGTTGGCCTTTCTGAGCCCCTATCTGAAGCCTTCAAGACTGTCTTTGAGCATCGGCCGAAGCACCAGTTGGGAGCACTATCTCGGAGCATCATCTGAGAGAGCATCATTCTCAGGCACCTTTATGGGTTTTGCTTGTATCTGTATCTCAAATCATCCGCTTGGATGTGCAATTGCGAACGTGGTTTGCTGAAATACCAAGTCGATTCAGATCTACAAGCATTCGTGTAGAAGGAATCGAAATGGGTATTTTCAATAGGACTCTGCTTCGAACCTCTGACTGACTAGCTCTTGACGTAGCTATTGCTGTTGATCCGATCCTCCAAATGGCCTTTTGGTTATTGCTAATCAAACCCACTGAGAAGGTAGTATCAGCAGACCATAACCCTCGGGCTTACAATATCTTGTGCCACTTGGCATCGAAGAATTCAGGTTTCAACGTCCCTCTCGACCCATCTAGCAAACACCGTATCCTAAGTTCCCCAGAAGGTGTTCCACGGCTCATCGACATATTCTGTTCTGTGGCGGTTTTCCCTAAGCAGCTCTGCTGTGGCTAGATACGGAAAGGGAAGCTCGCGTTCTGGTACTGAACCATCGATACATCGATTCCAGACGGTTGAGACTGATGATGCCATGAGGTCGGGAATGGAGGCGCCGGACACGTGGGCTAGTGGAAGGCGGTCGCAAGCGGCCCGTTCAATGAGACATCCGTGGTTGTGCCCTATGAGGCCGCAAGTACGAACGGGTGGCGCAGCAGGTTTTCTTGGCTTGTGGGAATTTTCCACACGAGACATGGAAGTGATGAAGCTGGTATCCATCAAATATGCCGGTTTCAATGTTGCCCAGGTCTAGAATTCGTAGAAAATGCGCATTCGAGAATGGCTCTCGCTGACTTCAGCGTGCAACAATCTAATGTGTAGTCGAAAGGATGACCCGACCCGGTTGATTATGGGGACGGAGCTGCCGCATGATACTTGGCGACAGGGTTGGGAATTCGGGTGAGCGACCGATGCTGTGCAAACAAATGCAAGCGACCAAACTCAAAACAAGGACGTGGGTGTCAGACAGGAGGAACCCCTCCCAAGAATCCCAACTCTCCAGGAGGCAGTGCCTGCCAGCCAGCCAGGCAGGGAGCTACCGTGTTTGACGTTTTCTGACGAGTGTTCCGACTTGGTTCGCCTGGTCGGTCCTTTTTGATTAGCAGTATTTGACAGAGCATCAAGCCTTCGTATCAGGGAATGGGAACCGCAATTACGGCGCGGTTGCGACCAACATGAGGCAAATCAAGGAAGGCGATGCGATGGTGTGAAGCAGGCGGAAGTTGGAAGAAGCAATGAAGGGAGGCAAAACGGGTTGGCGTTGATGTGTCTTGGTCTAAGATCAGTGATCACCCAGGCGTTGAGCATGTGAGGTGAAGGGGAAGACGATCCCGTGTTGGTTTCTAGGATGGGTGTAAGACAAAATGGCGGGGCGAAATGCAATGGAATGGGCCGACGCCGATGCGTCCGAGTCTATAAGCCTCCGAGTCTCTGAGTCTCTGAGTCTCTGAGTCTCTGAGTCTCTGAGTCTCTGAGAGACATGTGGTCGTAGGTAGGAGGATATCGTGACATCTGAGGTACGACGAACATCTCAGTAAGGTACCTTATTCTGAGTGTTGCCTGAGGTGGCCCAGCACGTGCCCAGGTAACAATGGAAGTTCAGGCTCCGTCACGGGGAGAAACGTACTTACCTAGGGAAGGCGGAGGAAGGAGCAGAGGAGCTGATCCTGGGAGGAAGGCACCGAACGGCGAGGGGCAGGAACTGCCAGGAACCGAAGGAGCTGAAGTCACCGAATCGGGACCACCTTCCCGCCTTGACCCAGGTGTTAGACCGGGTGGGAGTCGTGCTGCCGTCGTCAGCGGGTGGCCTTATGTCCAGTATCCGTACAGGCTGACGTTGACAACTTCCATTGACAAGCAATCTGACAACCTGGAAGCTGGAGCATCCATCAATCAATCAATCGGCCAGTCACTTCTGACAATGGGCTCAGGCTCAGAACTCCAGAGTGGCAGAGTCCACCATCCGTGCCGAAACCACCGAAAGGATGCACGCGGCAGCGTACGAATGGCTCGAAGCCTCATCAGAAGTGACCAGATTCATCATCACTGTCCAGGGTCTTCAGGTGAAGATAATGTAAGCTCCAGGTGTGCAATTTCCAGCGCGAATTTTCTGCAAGATTAATCAAGTCAACGGCCCAGCAGGATCGCTGCCATCGCAAAGCTGCGCAATAATATGCAGATTGCCGTTGGTCAAGGTCAGGCCAGACCCAGAACCCAGACCCGGCCAGTCCAGGCTCCCCGAAAAGTTGGGAACTGCCGGGTAACGACTCGCCGGCTCATCTGACGGTTATTATTACCGCAGAGCTGAAAGGAAGAAAAAAGAACACCACCACCTTGCTGCCTGCATATCCGCACATACACAGAAGTGTCGGTTGCGCTGGAGACAGTACATCTCGACATAATCTCGACACAATCATTCTGTGACAGGGACTTCCGGGGCGAACCCTGAGGGGGGAGATTTGGTTGCTTCCACCCCTGCCGAGGAGGGGGCGAGGAGCCGTGGTCCGTGGCACCGTGGATTGACGACTTGGAGGCTGGACTTCTGGAGTCTTGTGTGCAACTTTACTCAGTTTTCCCGCAGGTTTTCCCAGATGAAGGTCTCCGCCGCCAATTCCGGGGGGAAGAGACTTGACGAGGATTGACAGACCAGCAGTGCGGTGCAAAATGCAACCGCGAGCGGCAACACTTGAGCGCCAGTCTCCAGAGGGGGGCGAGGGGATCGCCTCGGGGGTCTGAAACCCTTCTCTCGGGGGTTCAATGCTTGGCCAAGAGCCAAATGGCGAGGATTGCAACTGTACTCAAGCAGTGGACTGGGCTTTCAGTCACTGTGGCGGTTGCCCATGGGCAATGGTACGGAGTACCTGGATGATTCTGAACTTTGCTCCGTCTGATGATGCTCATTTCCATCAGATCATCCCGTCGTTTCGATCTCATGTTTGCTGGCCGGGTTGGCTGCCCTCCTTGTTACAGCAGGGCCATCCACGTCTTCTCGTCGGTCACACGAAAGCACCAGAGACATTGGGCATTGCGTTGTACCAGCTGAAGCCAGCTGCGGCAATAAGCTGAGCTTTGGAAACCCGAGTCTTTGTTCTACATTCCACGAAGCCCCGGAAGATGCAGAACGACTCAATCCTCGTGGCATCTGAGACGAAAACATTCCGCCGTAGTGAAGAACAAACCACGGGCCACGAACCAGGACGACAACTCACAAAGCTTGGACCCGGCGTTGCCAACTCCATCTTCGATTCTGATGGACGATCATGGAGAAGGCGGAAATTTTCTCTGCTCCACGTCGGCGCACACGTACCGCATGTCTTGGCACAGCTGGCCACAGCGGCAGATGGGAGATGGTTGATGGATCGTGGCCCTCTGTCTCCCGTCTAGAGTTGCATTGAGACAACGTGACGATGTGGGCTGGGAAACAGCATGGCGGCAGAGGCAGAGGCAGTCAGTCGGTCAGCGACAGTTTGGGGGCCAGACTATCAAGTACCAACTTCCAAAACTTCCAACAACTCTGGAACCGCATGGCGCGACAACGTCGCACACAATGGACCATTTCAGGGCTGCCGCGTCGATCCCATTCTCCCCCCGAAGAGACGCCACATTGATCCGACCCCCCTGATATTTGGCTCTCCGGAGTACAGATTACCGTAGTCGGATGCACAACAGAGATCAGTGACTGGAGAGGCTGTCAGCAAATCTAGGTCATCCGCTAAAGGGGGGACCGAGGGGCTGAGCGCAGACTCCCTGTTGGTCGGTGCCTCGATATGTTCCTGGCTAGAATCTGGTCTAAGGCAAGGTACCCGAGTCGACCAAGCGATTAAAAGCGCCTAATAATGAGAGGAAAAGAATTGAGGGGGGATGAGGCCACTGAGCCAACCGACATACTGCCGCTCCGACTCATTACTTTCTCCTCCGCTTCCAAGTTTCCGCCCCGATTCCCTAGCCACGGAGCCTGACACAAGATTGAGCACGACTGAAAGATGCCACTATCGACAGGCTTTATCGGACTATTCCCGACACATCTATGGCTACCAAAGTCCGTACACAGTATGATATATCGCGCAGAGAAAAGGGGTCAGGTTGCACGAGGGTTGGTTAATGCTCGTGCACTGTAACGCAAGCGGTGCATATCGAGATGTGCAGTCTTCTGTTACGTCACTCACTGCAAACAAACAATACATATGGCCTTTCGTAGGGCAGGGCTCCCGATAAGAGTTTGCGGTGAGAGGCGGGCCGGTGCCAGGTTGCAACTGTGCCCAAGTGCAGGACACATGCGAATAGGGGCGCAAAAAGGATCGACTGGCTACCGCTTCGTCGCAGATATTTCCAGTCGGCGGCAGTGTAAAGTCAGCCACAGCACGCGCGCGTGCGGCGCGCTCGCCATTCATCACGTATTCGGCACCGCAGCACACGAGTTCTCTCTCTTTCAGCGCGTCTATGGATAGTTCGTCTCACGTCTCTTCACGTCACATCAAAATGGGCAGGGTCAAAACGGTCAGCCTAAGGTTAAGTGAGTTTAAGGTCGGTCGCTAAAACGCCTCCATCGAGGTAGGTTGGTTGGTTTCGCAGCGGATCAGGACGCTACGGGCCTACGGGGAGACTCTCTCGAGAGGAGACCACACGTCAAGTAGACGGACCCCCCGGCTAAGCGGCAGTCTCTCATGGCGTTTTCATTTTTAGCCCTTTTGTGGCTCACTCTGGTTTGGCGCCGCCGGATCAGACTTAACCGCTGCATTTGTCAATGTGCCGTTGGCTGGCTGTTGGCGCTAGACTAGATCACAATGAAAGTTGAACGGTGAGTGGATAGAGAGCATGAGAAATGGCTGGGGTTTCATGTGAGGGGAAAGAACGGTAAGCTACGAATATTTGGAAACAGAATCTAACAGATTGATGCAACGGTCGGCTGGCTGAGCCTCTGAGGGAGGTAAATAATTTTTGAGACTTGCGTCGCCGTGTCTGCATGGCCGAAAATACGACACATGCCTTATGATGGTGTTATTGACCACACACGTAGTACCTAGGTACGCCGTACAGATACGGGCCGGAGCCAAGTGTCGGTCAGTCTGCTAGCGGTCTGTTGCACCTTTCACCGTCGACCGAAGCTTTGCATATGCGCACAGATTGGGTTGGACGCATAGGAGGGACGACTCGGCCGTGCATACGGACGGATGCTCGTATGTCTGAATGTCGTACGGCATACGATGGCCCATGGCCCTATTGCCAATTGGTGTACATAAAAAAAGGCACGAAGAGTCGTTCTTGTGTAGCGCAGGGCACAATGTCTGTGGTTCGGCACCGCGGACGGGACAGCGGCAACAGCCAACAGGGCATCTCCACCGTTTTATGGTCTCTCAATGAAAAGCAAATTGAGCATCCCGAGATACTGCGTACGGATGGACGTTGAAGTCTGAGTATGGGGGGCTGTCGGCTACCGACGTGTACGAATAGGCTGCGAAGCCGGCATGATGCAAGAAGTCAAGAACAAGCTCAACAACGAGGGAGAAAAAGCAGCCCGCGCGGGATCGATGATCAAGAAGCAATCAATCTCTCTACGGGTACGCTCTCCACCGATTGGATCCGCAAGAGATCTAGAAGTTGGTCACTGGTGAGAGGGCCGAGCCACTTCTGCACGGAAAACTGCCGTAGCCTGTTGGCATCTGCAGAGAAACTGTACAGATGGTGATGGAAGAAGCTTCCGTACGGCTCCGGAAAACAAGCAAGAGTTAGTAAATGCACGCTCTCTGATGCTTCTTCTTTTCAGCTAATACGTAGGAATACGGAGCACCGTGGACTGCGTACGAATAGTGTGCAGACAGACGACAGCGTATCCAGCTCCGTAGGTATGGAACCATAATAGAGTCCACAATCACATCTTTCATTAAATTGATCAGCAAGGCAAGGTACCTTATCGCAGGGACCCTCGCATCCTGGACAGTGACTTTAGGAGTCAGGGATGACGGGGCGCCTGTGGCCACGATCTTGACTGGGATTCGGGCTGATGTGGACGGTGTGGATCCGGACGATTGGCCACGCTTGTGTCTCATGTTTGGCGGTACCTGCATATGAGGAGCGGGATGACAGGGGTTGGGCCGACAGGGGTAAGCTGACCAAGAAGTGCGCTGACAACTGGCAAATCCAAGACGACAGGCAGGCGCGCACAGCAAGAGCATAGCAACGGCACGGGCTGACAGGTGGCAAGGTAGATAGCGCCCCCGAGGGCTTTCCCTGTTTGGGCAAAGGGGAAACACAACGTCGAGCGGTACGTATCTCTCAAGCCTCTTTGAAAAAACAAGGTCGGAAAAGGAGTCAACATCAACGGTCTCTCTTCTCTGCCTCACTTTGACGCTCTCACTTACACTTCAGTCGAGCATCACAGTTCTCACCGTCACGACTGTTCAGCTCTGACTTTCACGATTACACCTCAATACCCAGGTCCATCCCTCACGGCTACCGCTCATATTCCCTCACATATCGCCGTCGTCGTTGTCGAATACCACCCGGGCTGCCGTCATCACCGGCGCAGGTGGGGTCATCTCACTCCTGTCTTTTAATGAAGAGGACTCCGTCTGTGGGTTTGACGCTTGACTCCTCGAGATGGAAGACGAAAAATAAAGGCGGCTTCATCTCTTGCCCCCCATGCAAGAGTCGAGGGCTGTGCGGCAAGCGGTGCGGTGGCCGCTGGTTCGCCTCTGCTTAGCCCAGCTTCCTAAGGTGGGAAGCGGTTCTTCGTAACCCCCTGGATCATCGAGCAAGGGTCCTTGAGAACCCCCCGGCGCCGTCATCCTTTTTTCTTTCCCACCACATCCGTGGTTCTCCACTCCACTCCGTGCCTCCTCCCAACGACACACACTCACACTCACACACCACACCCTCACTCACTCTTACTCTCACCTTTACTCGCCCACTCACTCACTTTGCGCTTCTTTACTCACTCACTCTCAACTCTACGGAGTACCCTTCTCTTGCTTGGTGCCGGACTAGTCTCGCGCGTCCTGCCATCTCCTTCTCACCCTCACAGACGGTTCACCATGTCAAGTACGGAGTACACTTCCTTGGCATCCATGTCATCCCATGCGGGCCAAGCAAGCGTTTGGCCCCAGTCGGTCCACTCCTAATGCGGTGCGATGCGCCTATGCCGCCGAACCGCGACAAAGTTCCTTGCTCCCTCTTTCTCTTTCTCTCTCTCGCTCTCCCATCTCTGCTCTGTGGATGGAGTACTTTGTAGTGTAAGTGGGAAAGTTCCCTCGCTGTGCTGGCAACCTGGGCCTGCCTTGCAAGCGCAACGGGTCTCGGCCGGGCCCTGGACCTGCAATCCCAAATATCCATGGCATCTTTACACTACGGAGTACATACAGTAAAGACTAGACTCTCTCTCATACTCCATGGATGATGGACCATCGCTCGCCCTCCAAGATGAAGGGCCCACGGTCTAATGTAGCTCCCACCCGGGGCCACCCCTCCATCAAAGTCCACCCTCCTCCTCGAGCCTTGAGGATTTCGATCCTATCCACAAGTCCACGTCCCTCCAGGCCTCCCCTCCCCTCCCCTGCCCCCATGCTCTCCTATGCCCATGTACATCCACCATGGGCTCCACGGGCTAAAAGGACTCTGACCTCCCTCTCCCCTTCTAAATATCATCTCGCCCTTCCTCTCTTTCACCTACTCTTTCTCACCTTTCTCTCTCCACCGCACAGTCTTTCGTTGTCAGTCTTCGGACACATTCCATTCATTCAGCCTCAGCCCACGCTCTCTATCGAGTATACCATTCGTTCATTTGCGCAAACTGTGTCTTGCAGCCAACACTTTTGAGAAACATCCCCGCGAAATTGATCTTTCGCCCCTTTTACGATCCCCGATCCGAACAAGCAAAACCCGTCTACCCTCGTGGAGGTATTCTAAAGAGTCGTTGGAAACAACCCATACACAACTATCAAAATGAAGTCCTCCATTGCCGCCGTTGGCCTCATGGCCTCCCTCGCCAGCGCTTCCGCCTACCAGCCCCGCCACTTCCACTGGCGCCGCGACAACACCACCGCTCCCGCCGGCTACACCACCCTCACCGTCGAGGTCACCGAGGTTGCCACCGTCACCTCGTGCGCCCCTACCATCACCAACTGCCCTGCTCGCAGCGCTACCCTCTCCGCCTCTGACCTCTCTACCTACGTTGTCACCAACACCGTCGTCTTGACCGAGGTTGTCTGCCCCGTCACCGAGGCCGCCAGCCTTTCCAAGTCTCTGGTCCAGCAGCACTCCACCGGCGGTCTCCAGGGCTCTACCCGCACCGCTCCCGTCATCACCACCCCTACCGCCGCTCCCTCCATTCCCCTGTCCACCGCTGGTGTCACCAACTCTGCTCAGGACCCTACCGTCACCAGCCCCCCTACCGCTGGTGGCGACGATGAGGAGGAGGACGATGACTGCCCCGCTGAGGATGGCGATGTCGTGACCACCGTCACCCAGATCATCTCTACCAAGACCCTTACCATGACCGTCGGCAAGGGCTCTACCGCTTCCGTCGTTACCACCGCCATCCCCACCACCATTGAGTCTACCATCGTCGTCACCAAGCCCACTGGCTCTGCCACCGGCGCCGGCGAGGAGCCCACTACCACCACCACTGCCACCTCCACCGGCACCCGCACCGTCACCATCAAGCGCCCCGGCCAGACCGCCGAGTCTGCTTCTCCCAGCGGTACCCTCGGTGCTGACGGCCAGTGCGCTTGCCCCTCCGCCGTGACCGTCACCATCCCCGCCTCCACCGTCTACGTTACTATCGGTGGCTCTGCCCCCGCTGCCACCCCCTCTGCCAGCGCCAGCAAGACCGCTTCCGCCGAGGCCCCCGTCACCACCGGTGATGTCGGTGCTGACGGCGAGGACGATGAGGAGGATGACTGCCCCGCCGATGAGGACGTTGTCACCCTTTCCACCACCGTCACCGTTGCCCCCTACCCCACCAACGGCACTGCCTCCGGCGCCGCTAAGCCTACCGGCTACTACAAGCGCTCCAACAAGCTCTTCTAAGTGTTTGATGTAGATTTGGATTTCCCCCCCGCATGTCAAGCTATATTTGGTTATGAGAAGAATCTATGATTCATGAACAAACACATTCTTATCCTTCTTACACTTTTTTGTCTTGTATACACTTCTTGGGGTGAAAATAAAGCGAAGTTTTTGTACAAAACAACACAAAGCCGGGGTGGGAAAATACAAACAACTCGCACTTTATTCTTCGGTCCTGCCTGCTTTTTTTGGTGTGGTGTTCTTTTTTGTCTAGATGGGAAAGAAAAAGGGCGGACAACCTTTTTGGTATGGCGAGTCCATTGGAAGGGTTGTCTTTTTTTGCTTGCCTGGTGGTCCAAAGCATTTCTGTGTGTGTGTTTTTTTTTTATGGGAAAGATCAACACCGGGCATCATTGCATTCGCGTAGCGGGTCGTTGGGGACCAAACAGATTTATTTTCTATTGTTTCTTGTCTCAAAGAAAAAATCCAGAAAACTTTTTTCACTTCTACTTTGTACATACTATTATACTCGACGAGAACACGTCAAAATGGGGATGAGGTTTGGTGCGATTTGAGTCTCCGACACCCCCCTGGTCTGAAATGATGAGACGGTTTTTCCCACGTTCCCGCTTCCCCTCCCGTGTCATGTACGCTGCAGTCTGCTGAAACGAGACGGGAAGTTTATCTCAACTCTCTTTCGACTTCGAGTGAAACTTGAGACGAACGTGGGATGTGACTTGCGTTTGTGAGATTTTGCTGTTGTTCCATGACTTGTAACTTCTGTGTCCTCGATGTTTATGGACTTGGACTGCGTCGCTCGTGATGCTCCGCTTTCCACAGCTCCGTTAGACCTTCGCCTGACTTGGCTTGTGTACCAAGCTCCTCTTCCTTTAACAAGTTTGCTAATTGGGATTTTGAGATGGCATGTCAGCTATGAACGTCACTAAGTAAACAATCATTGGAAGGAACAGGTTGCCCAGGACCTCGTCTATTGCTACTTTCCGTCCTGCTGACGATCTGGGCCACGGCTCACTTGGTGGTGCCTTTCTGGTGTTTCAAGACGAGCCTCGACACTTGACGAGTCTTGGTTGTTTTATTCCCTGCCAACTGAACCCGCGTATCAAGCTTTTCAAGACGAGGCAAGAGCGACCCATGCAATTGTCTGACGTCAAATCATGGCGCAGATTTCCGAGCTCTGTCTTGTGATGGACATATGATAGAGGCCAATGGTGATGAATCATGGAGGTGAAGTCCACTGAGGTGGTCATATGTCTGGGTGAAGATTCTCTGACGAAGATGAGACTTGAGCTGTGTATACTACCAAAGACTTGATTTGCTTTCGGTAAAGCTGTCCTTCTTATGGCTGTCTTCCTCTTTGGGTTGTAATGCGTGATACCCTTCGTCATAAATTGCGCAATGTGGCTCGGGAGGCGAGGACTGCGATGTTCGCGACCGTCACATCCAGTCTCCATATAACATGGTCAATGGATTCGCCGAGAGGGACTTCGCGGTGTCGGACGGACGGCTAGACTGTCTCCTTTGAAAGATCTGCTATTCATGATATTGAAACGAATCCTTCGTCGGGGTTGGGAACAACCCCTTCGCCAGACTATTTCAGGCCCCAAAGCGATGACACCACTGATGAATTTCAATACACATAACCGCTGTCGTCGGGACTTGTTTGCTCGCGGCCCCTACTAATCAGACGTGAGGGTCCACTACTCGAACCAAGGCCAGTATGTCTGGCTGGACCATGATGCTCGGTATTCTCGTCGCCGATGTTCTCGGCAGAGAAACTCTGCTTATCCTATACTCTCCACTCAATGACTTCCATTCTGTCGGCGTTATCACTCAGTCACTATTCATAAGTACATTAATTGAGACCGAAAAAAATGAAAACCTTTATCAAAAACGCCTCCAAAAAAAACTACTCAAACATAACCATTAACAAAACCCGGGTCTTTTACCCTCCCTATTCCTTAGCCCATGTCTTTAACTTCCTCATACAGGCCTTTAGGCCCGTCTCAACTTTCGGCAGGGGGATCTCTGCCTGCTCGTCGTGCCAATTTCCTCCCGAATCGTACGGGCTCCAAAGCTCGATTTGAGTCACAGCCTCCCCCCTTCGTAGATGTTTATACGTTTGAGAATATATCAACATGGATAGATGGGTTCTACCAACAGCCCCTGTAGTAGCTGACTTTGCTGAAGGCCAGCTTCGAGCTTCTCTGCCCTCCCTGTCCAAGGGTTTTGGCCAAATTCAAGCGCCTAGTTTCGGGCCGAGCTACTACCACGGCTTCCACCCACGCTTTCATTGACCAAAGAAACATAACTGAATTGAAAGAGGTACTTTATAAATGTTTATTTAGTATCGCAAAACACTTTGAGGCCCATCGACGGGCATACAAGTCCCTACTCAACCAAGCCACCAACCGCAAGATGAACTAATTTGCTGAGGTGGTCCTTTCACAGACCAATATCCCAGCCGCAGGGTCCCCATAGATCGTCACGAGGGCTTCAAGCGTGTCTCCTCTGTCTGCGTAGGTATCTCTCCTCCTGTATATAGCTTCCCGGCGGACAGATCAATGTTTCCCCATCAGATGACGAAGCAGCCCCTGTTGGTGGTGTCTTGAAGGGTGCAATCTTGAAGCTTTGTGTCAATACACACATGCAAACCTTCACAGGTGTGTTCTTGTGGGAGATCCCCCCTTCCTCAAGAATTGATAGGCAGCAATCCCACTGCTCCTACCCAAAGCACATGACATTCGGCCGGAAGGCACCGAGTCTTGACGCAGGGAAAGATTCCTTGCTGGTAGCAGAAGTCAACGACATAGTCAAGTGTGAAATTCGCCTTCAAGCTGTTGAGGCTCTTCAGTACGGTGGAGAGCGAATTGATGTAACGATACGTGCACATACATACCATAAATATATCAATCTCTTCAGTTTGTACCATTAAAGAGGCTACCTGAGGCATTCCGCGAAGTGAAGGACATACCGGTTTCGAGATATGACGCTCTGTAAGACGCTCTGTAGACACTTCAAAATATGTGGGGGAAAAGCCTGTCAGTATGTTCTACCATTGCGCCGCATCACAGTGAGAGAACCTCAGGAAAAAGGTACCAGACCATAACGACGAAAGCAAGGTTGAGTCTCGGGGAACCTACGTGGTCGTGAGGTACTTTCGTCCATCAGATTTGCTCTTGTGTCCCATAGAATATTACGTCCAATCCCCAAACACCACAGAAAGCTAATGAGAGACGGCAGTTTCGGGGTATGACGCAATTTGTATTATGCGTTATGTATTAATGCTTTTCGTTGATTATCGTCATTGTGATGTTCAACTCTCATCCTGCCCCAAGAAGGGGCCAGGTCGTGTGATGCTTATGCCTCATCGGGCATTTTTTTCCTCCCCTAGACACCCTCAAAGCAAGATACGGATCTATGCTCAGAGAAAAGGTGCCGTCGTAAGAATTTGACCGTATTCACTCAGGGGTTGAGCCCCCTTACCACTCAGTGGATGTCTTCGACGCTCCTCTTTAACCACTCTGGTTATGTGTGCCTCCCTTGCCAGTATTCTCATCTCTCTCGGTAGATGTTTCATCTCTTACTTCGATAGATAGACCTCGGGAACCTTTCGTCGATTCATTCATTCGTGACACAACTCAAACCTCCTCTTTCCGGGCAGGACTGTCCCTCAACCTGATCCTCCTCGCTTCTTCCCTCTGCTTCTGCTCCTCAACCTTTCTCTGCATCTCAGCCTTCCTCTCCTTAAGCGCGATACAAAAGCGCGATCCCGCTCGAATCTGCTCGCCCTTCCAGATAAAGATGAAGGGGATGATGCACATGATAGCACTGAACCCACCAAGCAGGCTACAAGCACCAGCAATGCCGAGCTTATTAAACATGCGCGTCGTCGCCAGCGGCAGCACGACAGCGAGCAGAGACCGACTAGTCGAAGCCGCCGCGTTGGCGCTGGCCGCAAAGATCTCGTAGGCGTCGGTGAGATAGTTGAGCAGGGCGATGAAGATGAGCATAAAGCCCATTCCGAACGGGATTCCCGCCAGCATGGGCGCGACGAAGCTGACGCCTTCTCTGGAAGACCAGCCCAGCCAGAACAGAGAGATGAAGAATAGCGGCCCACCGACGCAGGCGAAAGGGAGACGGCGGAACTCTTCGCGCTTCGCCCACGCGTGACCGTTGCGTTGCGCGCGAAGATGGCCCTGCTCCCAGCCGATGAAGATGGGCACCACCAGCAGGGCGCCCGCGCCTATAGGGAGGTAGGCCAGGCCAGCCACGCCCGGTGAGAGACCGTAGAGCTTCTGGAATATGATGGGGAAGGCCTGGAAGGACATGTAGAAGATTGTGTAGACAAGGGCGAGGTAGGCGCACGTGCAGCTGACGATGGGTTCGAAGATGATCATGCGTACGGGGCGGGTCAGGACGACGGTTGCGATGTGCTTGAAGTCTGTGCTCTCCATCTCGCGGGGCGCGATGACGGCGGCGGAGGGGTCTAGTTTGCGAATCTTTCGTGCTCGTCGGAGGAGCAGGACGGGCGCGTAGGTCTCGGGGAGAAGGAGGATCGGGACGAGGGTCAGGCCGGCGTAGATGAGGGCTACCCAGAAGGACCAGCGCCAACCTATTGTTGTGGAGCAGAAACCGGAAACGATGGGGGCGAAGAGAGGGCCGAAGGTGGTTGTCTACAAGATTTGAGCAAAGGTTCAAGGGAATGAAATCCGAGAAAGTCGCAGAGATGACTTACGACCATGAAGGCTGTCATGGCACGGCCGCGGGTCTCGGTGTTACCGTAGATATCTGCGAGGATACCGGCCACGATAGCGATGGGCGAGCTGGCGAATACGCCGGTGAAGAAGCGGAAGAAGAGAAATGCAGGCCAGTTGGGTGCGAGGGCGCAGGCCATGGTCCAGATGGTGAACATGACAAAGGTGACAATGGTCAACATTCTCCGGCCGAGATGCTCGCTGAGAGGTGCCCAGACTACAGGTCCGAAGACGTAGCCGATGAGGAAGACGGAGATGGGCAAGACCTGCTGTTGCTCGTTTGTGATGCTCCATTCGGCGGTTATGAAGGGGATGGCGTTGGATGGGAGGGCCGAGCCCATTGTGCTATTAATGACTTGCATCATGGTTAAGCAAAGGATCAGGAACTTTTTGGTCTATAGCTCGTTAGTGACTGGATCTGTAGACATGAGACCAGAGCCACATACATGTGACCAGTTGTACGGGTTCTCTGGGTCACCGTCATCCCACGATATTATCGTCGGCTCATCTTCGTCGCTTGATGAGTTGGGGCTGGCCATCTTCTTTTCGTCCAGTCCTTGCTCTTCGGCACGAGCCTCATACCTTTGGCGTGCTTCATCTTCATCGATCCTCCTCACCGTCTCTGATAGAGAGGATCGATTGCCTATGAAGTGTTACACTTTGGTCACGAAGAACATTGTTCATGGGGATAGATGCTCACGCTGCAAATATGGCAGACTATCTGTAGCATCTTCTGAGGATTCGCTGTGGGTAGGCATGGCGAACCGTGAGCAGCAGCGTACTAGCACACACACGTATTATGTTTCTGTATTGGGTTTCCATCTCAGAAGACACGAAGGGGAGAGCAAAGTGTGGGAGGTGTGGGTGAGGGTGGCCGTCAAATACGGAAATGGATGAATAATGGCCCAAAGAATAATGGCCCCAAAACCACAGATGCCCGAAAATCGGTGACTGCATGCTGCATGTGGCCGATCACCCTTGTGGACCGAGTCGGTCTAGTCGTCGTTCCCACCATCTCTTTTCACAATTTAGCAACCGAAAAGCATTCCTGAGTGGCCGGGTGTAAGAGACAAGAGACGAAGCCTTATCCCCGTTCACGGCTGATGAGGGGAGGGGGGAAACAGCAAGCTACCTAGGTAGGTACCGGTAGACGAGGAGGAAAAGGCGTGTCTCGCTATTGGTTTGTCATTGACTCTCATCGGAGCCGAACCGCAAGACCCACTTGGTTTTTCAAGGGCCGCTTATCCGGCCGCGGCGCGGCGATTGTGCTTTCCCGCCGCATCCCCGGGTGCTGCCCTTGTTGCCCCCTCCACAGAGGTCATTTGGGTTTGCGATAGCGCCATCGACTGCCGCGCTTCGTCACGACTCATAAGGTAGCGACAGCGATGCCGTCACCGGTAAAAGACGCCACCGCTAGTGGAATGCGCCGCTGCGTCTCAGGATGGACCTAGGTATGCGTTGTCCAAAGACTGCGCACCCACCGTGGGAGGGACTTGGGTCGGCCGAAAGCGTCTACTCTTATCAGATCCCTTCGAGTCGCACCAACTTCTGCAGCGACGGAAGAACGTTCCCCCTCAGTGTTCATTGGCCACGATTTGACAAGATATTGACTGGATTTTCTCTGTTTCTCTCAGGGTACGCGACCCGAAACGGCGATGCGATGCGATGCGTGACGACGTTGAATTTTGTTCTCGATTGTATTTCTTCATGTCTCGAGGTTGATACTCTTTCCGAATCTGGCGTACAGCTCGACCTTGAGTTGGTTCATATCCTCCTTGATCGTTTCCAGCTTCGATTCTAACCCCTCGACATCCTCCTCGATCTTGGTCGATGCCTGCTCGAGCATCTCTATTGCTTGAGGTTGCGATACGTGGAAGTAAGCGTCGCCGATCTTGTATCTGTAGCCGGTCGTCAGTATGGTCCCTCGGTGCGACATCGAGGTTTCTTCGTGGGTGCATACGGTACTGTTTCGTCTTCGTCGGCAAGCTCCAGTTCTGTGCTGAGATCCTCGAGCTCTTCCTTTTCTTTCTGCAACGACACACAGATATTAGATGGGGTTGCTTGTCGGCGGTTGTATACAGGTACGACTAACGCTCTTGTTCTTGAGTTCCTCCTCAATTATGAGTTCGCGCTGGTGCAGACGACTGAACTTGTTGATCTTGTCTTGGTCCTCCCTCCTAACTTCGACCTCGTCGCCGACGGACTCCTCGTCCGCCTTGGTGAGCTGCAGATACGGTGTCAGTATGGACAGTAGACCATCAGGTGCAGAAATCATACCATGCGCCGTGACAACATCTTGGTAGTGTGTGGTGCAACGTGTTGCGTGGTGTGTTTGACGATGGTGTCGGTGACGGTGACAGCCTCAACCTAACACTGGAGCTCCCAAAAAGCTCAGAAGGAGGGTCACAGTGACGCGCCACAGTGCGGCGGGGTCATGCACTGCCCCACTCTCGACTATCGGGGGACTGGAAGTTCAATCAATGGAAGGTCTCTCGCTGGTGGCCTGTGCCAAACAAAACAAAAGCTCTAAGGTAAGGTAAGGTAGGCTCCCCCACACCGGAACGTTACACCGAGCCGCGACAACTTGCGCCTCACGCGACAACTCAATCCTTCTCGCGACTTCAATCTCAACTACATTCGGTCCTCACTGCGACATACATTCTACAACAGCTCGCGATGGCACCCGGTCAAAAGGCATACCCGCGTGGGACTGTCAAAAAGATCATCAAAGCGCATTCAAACTGCAACTTGAGCAAGAATGTGGACGTCATGGTCAGTCGCTTCCTGACGCGCCTTGCGCGCCCTGCTGACCAGCCCTCAGATCTATCTCGACTACGTCCTGTTCATGCAGACGTAAGTTATCAATTCAAACATTGGCACATCTACATGCTGACTTCTTGCTAGACTAGTCAAAGAGGCCGCTATCGAGTCGAAGAAGTCTGGCGAAAGAGGCATCACGGCCCGAAGTGTCAAGAAAGTGACGTCGGTACGTTGTATCACCACACTAACAGCAACTCTGATTGCATGGGAAGGCTCACATTAGATTTTGCAGGACACTCTTACCAAATTCCGAGGTTGACATTCTAGTTCATCGATATCGAAACTCCAGAAAGTACTCGAGACTTACACAGCACTCTTTTACTTTCCGACCTAAGGCTGTCGATGCTATCAACATTGTCGGATACGCTCGAACGCGGCCCCAATGCCCTCACATGGCGACCAGCAACAACATATCATATCTGGTATAGAAGGGCTATGCAAAACATGGAATCGATCTCGAGGTTTAGGTGCTGGTCTGTGACAGAACAGAGGCTCGCTTCGTGCTGGCCACCGTCTCGTGCATCGGGCGGCACGCAAAGGTTGGAGGAGCAAGGCGCAGGTGTTCAGTGGCCCCTTCATCTGAAAAGCACCGGCCTCGGCCTGAGCCGCGTCAACGTTTGGATGACCACGACACTCTGATCAATGGCGACATGGTTTGTTTCCATGGATAGATCATTTGCTATTGGTGGGTGCGGGTGGTGATGTTCCCGGCCGAATCACTATGGGAGTCTGGCGCATGAGTGCTGCGTACAGATTACCTTATATCCATAGACAATTCCCGTGAGAGAGCGACGGCTAGTCCAAGACAAGGCTGAGATGCCCTGTCTGGTACGTCATCCGAACAGGGAAGGCTAGGAGCAATAGGCACAGAAGAAGATGGTGCCGCGAGATGCAGTACAATGAATCTTTATTACTCTTGCAAAAAACGCCTTAGAGTACCTTACTTAGATGTACTTAGGTTGGCAGGACAGCGTGTAGGCGAGAAACATTGACAGATAGAACATGCCAACCATTGAAACCGAAACATGAAGGCTTGAAGACCTGAGGCGCCTCCAACATAAGGTACCTTACTGTGTATATGCTCCATGGGTCTCCCATCTCAGTACAAGTGAATGTACCTTTTCTTCTGACCAGTTCTAGAACCCCCGGCGGGTAGGAGTGGAGGCAGGGGGGTTTTAGGGGAAGGGAAGGGGAACTTAAGGCAAAAACCAGCCTGGCGGCAGGGATGCTTCCGGCTCCTCAGCTCCTGGGAACCCACTCCCAGGTTGGATCACCGCCTGAACGCCTGAAAACACCCCACCGAAAAGGAAAGGTACTGGACCCCGGGACCTCAGCTTCTCCCAGCCGACCGTGTCCCCTCCACTGAGCTGCACTCTGGCCCCGAGCTACGTGCCTGCCTGCCGTCTACGAGCTGGAGTGTCATCTTCCGTGAACCTCCAAATTTGAACCGTCCAAAACCTGCACATCCACCTCTTCACAATAACTTCACCTTTCCCCCCCCATCACAAACGCCTCTCCTCTGAGTATCTTTCTTCGATCCTAGGACCTTCCTCCTACGATTGTACATCCCATCTTACCTCACTCTACACAAGTTTGTTTACTTGCCTCTCACCTGCGCGCTCTCTGCCTGTAGCTGGCCACCACCACCACCACCACCACCTCTGGAAAATTCCCATCCAAGCTCACGCGACCTCGACCCTGTTGACTGCGCTATCCTCCCACAAGCTTCAACATGGCCGCCTCTCCCGTTCAGAACCCCGCGGTCTCAGCCGAATCCAAGTCAGCCAAGAAGAAGAAGGCCAAGGCCGCCGAGCGCACCGAGTCCCCTGCTCCTACTGCCTCTCCTGCCCCCGAGAAGGCTGACGCCTCCGACGAGTCCGGCGAGACTGCCTACATTCGCGAGATCCAGAAGTAGGTGGAAATCAACGACTGGAGCTTCTCCTATTGCTCGTATGCTAATCGCGCTTCGTAGGAACATTCGCAACACCACCAAGAAGCTTGTCCGTGCCTACCCTATACCTTTACCTTTACCCCTCTCTGTGGCAAGGTTCATCAGCTAACTTGACACCCACCAGACCAATGCCTCAAAGATCGACAACCTGATTGCCGAGAACGCTGGCAAGTCCCTCGACGACCTCGTCGCTGCTCGCATTATCAATGCCGACCAGAAGGCGCAGTACCTCAAGAAACCTGCCCTGCAGGCCCAGATCTCACAGTACGAGGAGCAGATGGCCCAGTACAAGAAGATCGACCAGGAGTACCGCACTCGTGCTACTGCTGAGAAGGCAGAGCTCGAGAAGTCCTTTGCCGAGAAGCTGGAGAAGGAGAAGGCCGCCGCTGTCGCCGAGGTGAAGGCTCAGCAGGCCCAGCAGGAGGGTGATTCTAGCAAGAGCATCAACAGCAAGCTCCTCACTCTGTCACAATTCCTTCGTCTCGCTGCCGCCCGCCGCTCCGAGGATGCTGACCAGAGCAACGAGGAGAACAAGGCCCTGGAGGGTGTTCTTCTCGCCATCTACACGGGTGACGACAGTGCCGTCGCCACCATGCTTAAGCTGATTGACGGCGCCGAAGAGCAGACGTACAGCGTCAATGGCGAGCTGCTCGAGACGACCTGTGAGCTCTTTCCTCAAACTTCAATAGCACATCCCATACTGACCGTCTGTACCTAGTCGGCCAAGTCAAGGCAGCTGCCAAGGCCTACAAGTCTCCTTACGACGAGCTTGCGCCCGCCGAGACCGAGACCGCTGCGACCGAAGCCGTTACCGATCCGACCATTGCCAACGCTACCGTGAACGAGATAGAGGCTGGCGATGTTGCCATCACCAATGGCCAGGCCGAGGAGGCGGCCACCGAGACCCCCACTAACGCCAACATCGGTAGTGGCGCCGGTAACGCCGCCGGCGAGAAGTGGGATCAGTCGGCCGATAACAGCATGTCGCTTTCTCAGGAATGGGTTTCTGTTCCCCGCGATCCTGCAGAGACCGAGACTGGTGTCGAGGCTACCCCCGCTGCCGTTTCCAACACGCAGTCCTGGGCCGATGACCAGCCTGAGCACCACGAGACCCAGCCCGAGGTACGTTCAAGTGAGCTGTGATGACTGAACGAGAGACTGACTGTACTTAGACCCCTGCTCCCGCTGCTGCCGACCCCAACGACGGCTTCCACCAGGTCCAGGGCCGCAACCGCGGCCGTGGCGATCGTGAGGGAGGTTACCGCGGACGTGGTCGTGGTGAGTGGCGCGGCGGTCGTGGACACCGTGGCGATGGCCGTGGCCGGGGAGGACGTGGCGGCCCTCGCGGCGGCTCCATTTCTCAGCGTGGACCCCGTCGGACTGAAGAGTCATAGAGACGCTCTGTCCGGCGGCGTTCTCTGGCCTCTCAGCGGTCATTGGGTAGGCTCAATTCCTACGCGGCGTCGCGCGTTACGCGACGGCGCATTACGACTGGGGCATGGCGACGCCCTTCGCAACGCGATTTGCTACAATGGCTTTGATAGGTGTCAAGGCTGGTAAAGGAATGGATGGGTAAGGGATGTTGTTTAATGAACAATCAAGGCATTCGGTTCCCCTGTTCTGGTTTCTGGGCGGTTGGCATGGCTGGCGGTGTTGGGTTGCGTGGCTTACGCTTGTACAATACACAGCATGACTTTCGGGGCCGGTATACAAAAAAACATACGGAATGAGACATTAATACCCAATATCATGAGACCCTACGAGTGCTAATCAGATAAAACTCATGACAATGATGTTGGAGTGTAATCCTACTCAAGCAAAGACGCAATTGCCCAACAGGAGGGAAGCTGCACAGCTACTCAAAGACCAACGAGGCCCTTTTCACTTCGCTCTTGAGGCTTAGCATACTATGGTAGGCCAATGAAGCCAAGAGTGTCACGGTATCTAACAATTGACAGCTCGCTATTTGAAGCTACTCAAAATCTCGACGAGTGATGAGAAGGCACCTTTGGGTACTTTGCGCCTTGGGTGGGCTTTCACAACATGAGCAGCTTGACGTATTTAAGCGCAAACGTGACCAAGTGCAACTCTGAGCTTTATTTACTTGATAGCTTAGGATAAGAACTTTGAATCCACTCAGTTGTCGGCTAATATGGCATGTCCAAATATGTAACATGAAATGCAGTCTCTTTTTTTTTCTGAAATACCAAGGAGGGGAATTTGCTTGATTTAAGACACTCGGCACCTTAAAAGTCTTCCTATTACAGGCTAAGAAACATTCTAGAAGCCTGGCCGGTCATAGTATTACACTTGAAAATAATAAGAACTCCTAAGCGTAGAATAACCTCAAATATGCTCTCGTCGACTCATCCTTCTCCATCTCATCGGACTTCGCAGCTAGTCACAAATTAGCCAATTTTGACACTAATGAGGACTTTGCCAGTATCGTACGTATCAATCCAACTTCATCACTGACCGTACATCAAGCCGTTGCTGGCATAGGGGGTTTCTGGGACTGGTGACAGACATGCTGGGACTCGTACGGCTCGAGGCAGCGGGCACATAGGCGCCGGGTGAGAGATGCAGACAGATTTGAAGTGTAAGAGGAAAGGAATGAGTTGCCGTTCATATTGATGTGCATGCGGTATTGCTTCGCCGAGATGCGGTGCGCTGATATCAATCTTCGAGATTGGAGGAAGACTGCAGAAGGATTTCTATGCTTCTTTTATTTCCTCTCAAATACCCAAGTACGTGTACCTACATGGGAATCTTGAGCAGAGCCGCTTCAGCCGATGATATATACCTAGTTTTGGTTCGTGATCGTCATGTCAGCGAACTCTCTCCCCTTCCCCACAACGCCTGGTAAGGCTGGCGGTGCCGAGAGTTTGGAGAGGTCGGAGTGGAGGCCGCGATGCTGTTAAGCATACCGACATTCTCACCTGGATCCAGGCAGAAACGGAGAGGGTGGAGTGCCCGTTGCCTCACCGTGCCCATTGATGCTGACTTTGGAGGCGCATCTTACTCACACCTTACAAGGCGAACCAAAGGTGACCAGTGCCTTGATGGATTGGTTGTGGGGGTGCTTATGCATCTCGGGTCTGACAGAGATGGGCGGGGGGGCAGGGGAGGGGATGGGCGGCCCTCACGTAATCACAGATGGGGAGAATCAGGCTCAATGAAGATGAACGGAGGCTTGATTGGGGGCCGGGTTTTGGACATTCGTTGTTAGCAACGTTGACGTTGAGACTCGGTGGTATTGCGAGTAAGAATGAGCTCTGCGAAGGCCCCGTCTCGAGATCAGATTGTACATATCTCGAGTCTCGACTTTTGAATACATCACTGACTATAACTTGACTCAGATCAAACGGATTGAACCAGAAAAAGAGGTCACTTATACGGTGCTCTTATCTGTATTAGATGTGTATGTACTCATAAACCCTCACAAAACTCCTAGACGCTTGATTTCCAAAAAAAACCCTCATTATCAAAAAGACAATCATGCACGGCACATGCGGCCATCAGCAGCAACATTCCACTTGTCGCTACCGACTGTCTTGAGCGCGTAAAACACGCCTGAGGGATCCCACTTGGTCTTGATGGTCAGCAACTTGTCATAGTTGCCGCCAAAGAACTTCTCCTTCCAGTCGGGGATGTTGAAGTCGGCCTCGTTGACGTAGTTTCCGGACCCGGGCGTCGCGGCCTCGATGGGCGGGATGATTTCTTCCGTCATGGTCTTCTGGTCCGCCTTCATCTGCTCCCAGTCGGCCGGGTCGTTGCTCCAGGCCGTCGAGTACTGCACGTGGATGGCGGCCTTGCGGAAGTGCGGGTTCACGGCGTTGTCGACGCCCGCGGGCGCCGTGGCGTTGAGGGCCACGCCGGCGGAGAGGACGCCGTGGTTGTCTGCGCCGTAGCGGATGGCCGAGACGTAGGCCGCGCGGGCGGTGGTGTCTGTGAGGACGGAGCGGGGCACGAGGCGGGAGCCAAAGTTGTAGGACTCGACCTCGACGTGGCCGTAGGGGAGGGGACCCATCCACTTGTCGTAGTGGTCGCGGTAGCTCGAGTAGTTCGTGGCGGCGGAGGAGTAGGGGATGGAGAGGTTGGCAAGGACGTCGAGGAAGGGCTGGAGGATGGTCTTTGCCTCCTCGGCCGTCTTGTTGTAGGCCGTGAGCGGGTTGATGGCGAAGACGCTGCTGCTGTAGAGGAAGACGACCATAGCGCCCTGGTCAGTCATGCCGGGGAGGAGGGAGTGGAAGGCATCGAGCATCTGCCACCACTTCTCTTGGGTGGTGTATGAGGCGGCCGTCTGGAGACCAACGCCGCCGATGGTGGCGTCGGGGTATGCGCGGACGGTGACGGCGGTGACGACGCCGAAGGTTCCGGGGCCGCCGCCACTGAGGGCCCAGAAGAGGTCCGCGTTCTCCGTGCGGGAGGCGGTGACGATCTTGCCGTCGGCGGTGACGACCTCGTACTCAAGCGCCTGGTCGGCGGCCATACCAAAGTTGGTGGTGAGGGCCGAGTGGCCACCACCCTGGATGTAGCCTCCGGCGGGGCCGACGGTAGGACATTCACCACCGACAACGACGAGACCGGCGGTCTTGCCTGCCTCGGTCAGCTCGTAGCCGAGAACGCCGGCGCCCATCTTGATTGCGGGGCCGGACCAGAGGTCATCGGACCAAGTGGTCACGGTGATCTCCTTGAGCTTGTGGGTCCACGCCGCGAGGGCTCCGGCACCGGTTGAGCGGCCAAGATGGCTGAGTCTTGGTTAGTCATAATGCTTCGTGGGCGGGATGGCGCTTATAGGTGCGGATGAGACTTACTCGTGACCGGTGTTGCGGACGAGGAATCGGATGTTGTTCTCCCGCGCAAAGTTGATGGTCTCGACAACATCTTGGGCAGATGTCACTTCAACAGCGTAGTTGACGTAGTTTCCGAGCAGACACGGAAGCGTGCGGTCCGTGAAGGGGTCGCAGGACTGGTTGGCGAAGTAGCTCTGCATCACGGAAGAGGAGGAGGGGAAGCTGGGCGGGTTGTTAGTCGATATTCCGCATAACTTGAGAGATCAAGCATGAGCTTACTGAGTCTCCGGAAGAGTCCACGAATTTTGCAGCGCCGTGCAGGCAGCCTCATCGTAGTTGGGGTCGTGGCACACGGAGCCAATGGGCACCGTGGCGATGAGCTTGCCGCTGACGGTGGTGTTGAGGGTATCCCAAGCCGTCGTGGCGGGCCAGCTAGCATCGCCGGGGAGGGAGCGGCACGTAGCATTGTCGACGCGCTTGGGGAGGAGGGCCGCGGCCGCGAAGGGCGCGGCGGCCAGGGTCGCCGTTGCGATGACGGCGGAGGACTTCATCTTGACAGGGCTGAAGAGAGAAAGGAGCGGAACGGAGGAAAGTCTTGGAGCCTTGAGGAAGGGGACGGGAAGGGGATGACCGACCCGAGGGGGGATATTAAAGAATGACTAGGCTGCAGGGAAGACTCCTGACGAGTTCATCAAGTGGGAGGGCCATGACGGAGAGTCTTTATATTGAGGAGAAGCAAACTGCATTGGAGAATCGAGAGACAGGTCGTCAATGACCAGGGATCTGTTTACGGCGCGACGGCGAGCTTTCCTGGCCCTGCTAGGCGGGCTGTGTTGCTTGAGGCATGGTGCTTGAGGCATGGGGATAATGGATGTCAATCTCCCTTCTCGACTGGGTAGTGTGTGAGGAGCAGCGTGAGTGTGTGTCGAGAGTCGAGGAGTCGAGAGTTCTGCCCGTTGCTGGGATTATCCCCCTTTGGGCAGCATGCTCCGGGATAGTGTGGTGGCTACGGGGTAGATGCGGAGCCCCCCCCTTCAGCCTTTGCTCTCTCTTTTGCTCTCTCTTTCGCAGCGTCTCTCACAGACTCACACACTCTCTCTCCTTGATTCCATGAGGCTTGAAGCGAGGCATGGACCAGGGCAGTTGTGTGCCATCCACACCTTGCACTTACTTCTCGTCCGCTCTTCTGCTTTGACCACGGGGATCGACACGAGGTTCTGTTGCGTAGGACAAGAAGAGTTGGCACCCGTCCGGGAGCCCTCCGGAGCCCAAGGAAGAAGACGGGGGCTTAGATGTCAGAAGAGGGAAATGAGACGTGCGTAACCTGTCGTTCGATTGCGGCAGGCTTCTGGAAGGGGATGTGGAAGAAAGTTGACGAAGTATTGACTTTTGCATGAAATTCGAATCTCGCAAACTGCCGGGGGTGCTGGTCAAAGCGGCTGGAATGGGATGAACAAACAGGATGACAGCCATAAACCGCTTACTCTGCACTTCTCAACTTTACATACTGCGGTACAAACTCAGTGTGAAAGCGAAGTGAGTGCGACCAAGTGCGAGGAACCTAATCAACGGGTCAACGTATCCGTATGGACCCCCCCTGTTGGCGCTAGGTGTTGTGAACTCGTGGAGTTTGCCTCGGCCCCGATGATCAATGTTCCCCTACTGGACCAGTCGAGGTCCGATGGAGAACCCAAGAAGCCCCTGTATTTCCCCTTGATCTGGATCCTTCGCGCCTGCAATCCGGGTCTCCATTCCCTTTTGCGCGTGCTCGCTCTCTCTGTTCCTGCAGCACAGGCCCTGATGCTGGTTCCGTTACTACATCACTGGCGGACAACTGGACGATGGGGGCCGTCGCGTGTCCTTGACGTTGGGTGGAAGTTGGGATCAACGGGAAGGGCTGATGGGACCGGTTCTTTTTCTGCCCTACGCTGATTGAGTACGGATGAACGCCCGCTGAGTCGTATAAACACTGACACGAATGAAATTTTGGTGGTGTCTGTGTTGACTTGACTCGCTAGGTTGAGAACGCCGTCTATTTTGAGTTGAAAGAACAAAGCGTCAGCTAAGACATGCATACATAGCACGCGCTCCGAGTGTGCCAGTGTGGGGGACTGACGGCATTCATCGATCAAGAAATCTCTTGTCGTCTTTTCTTCTTTTTCCAATGGTTGGATGGACTTGTTCCCTCTTTGGGCAAAGGCAGACACACCATTCTGTGAGAAGTTGAGAACCAACAACAACCGAGTTCCAACAAACTAAATAAGATCGAATCTGCCGGAGCAGAAAACAATAGTTTGCCGCCTCTCCCGTAAGGAACCACGCCACACAGCCGCATGAGGTAGCAAACACAGAAACGGCGTTACGGCAGCCATTCTTTCTTGTCTTAAAGGCGGTTTCTCCGTGGTGTCCGCTCAATAGCACCAGCCACTAGCGCCGCCGTTGTGTTTCCCATCAGGATTTAGGTGCGGCGTTTGTGGCCAGTTCAAGCTTCTCAACGGTCCTCTCCCGCGAAGACCAAAGTTTAGTTCTCTTAGCCAGACCGTTCCAACGTTCCAAGGGGGCCCGCGATGTCACTCACTAGGCTCGGAGGCAAAGCACGGAAAAGACGCAAAGGTAAGGGGGGTATTTTGGCAGGCTGGCACGTTGTGCCAACGTCGCATGTGGCGACATCGAACCATGCGCCCATATAACTTCGGCGATATATTCCAAAGAAGTCTCTGATTTAGGTCGTCAAGTCCAACGTCCAACGTCCAACAGCCCCGCAAAGGCGAGAGGAGACTCTGAGAGGGGGGCACTTAGGGGGGATCCAACCGCAACCCTATGCGAAGCAGCGAATCTCTTAGCTTCGGAAGAGTGCCGAACCTGGCATCTTCCCGCTGCGCCTCTGAGCGTTGCAGAAGAGCAACAGCCAGCATGCCGGCAGCTCGAACCCAGTTTTACTTCTCCTCTTCTTTTGTTTTCTTTCGGCGTTTGTGTTTGCTTACGGAATGCCAATTCCTTGCTTGCTTGCTTGCCATCGCGCCAACATATTCTGCAATTCCTCTTTGGCGCCAACACGTGCTGGTGCCAACGGAATGAGGGGCCGGGAGGCGAACCGGTGGATTCGGATGGGGATGTCTGCGCCGGGATCACCTCGGGGATCAAGTCTTCTTTCGAAGCTCGTGCGCAACGTTAGTTTGATGGAGTCTTCAAAAGACAATAGAGGAGTAGTATAGACTAGTACGAGGAGAGCCTAGGAGGCTGACGCAACTTCCTCCCATGTCTATCCGTACATGTGTCTATATTCCGATGGTGGGGGCCGTTTTTATCTACGGATACGTTCTATCCTCCTTTTGCTCTGTTCTTCTGTCTCCTTCGGGAAGGAAGATATGCGGCTCTGCCTATTGTCGTCCTCCTCAATCCGTATCTTGCAGCTATTGTCCGTCGCCATGGCCCGGGTCTATCGGTGTTTGCCAAGTCTCTAGACTGTGTTGCACTGCAGGACAATCCACAGATCCCGGGGAGGCCTGGCGGTGGCAATCATCCTCACGTGGACAAATCTCCAGATTCCGAGGTCGTGTTCACTGAATGCAACTTTGAGGAATGCGCGGTCCACGATCGAGTAGGCTAGCTCGCCACCGACTCGGAGAGATACATAACGGGTGAGGCTTATCACGATGCCGCTGCCGGCTGTCAGCTGTCACTGTCTAGTTGGGTAGGGTCGGCCGCCGGCAGGAAGTTTGTCCTCGGCGACGAGACCCCAATTCAGATGTGGTTGCCGGTGGATGAACCCTGAGAACGTCTCAGGTACGTCTTCGCTGTCGGTGAATTGCCATGTCCGAATGGAAACGATATGCCGGACTCTGGACTCAGTGTACGTTTTCTCTTGCGGCATTAAACTTTTGCAATAGAGGCGCAGAGTTGTTTGCGAATTGGGTGTAGACTTGGCGTGAGTTTTATTAAAAATACAGTGATTCCCAGGCACTGCCTTGAGTTTAAGTGAGTCAGGATATGCCGTTTCGTTATACCTATCTTCTGTTTTATTCATTACGACTTGAGATAGTGAACGATGAGCAGTCGGTGCCCTCCTAATGCATGAGGAATACTGGGTGAATGTCGCGAAGTCTTGACTAGTCCGTGATGCTCCGGTGCTATTTCTGGGCGGGCTCCGGTGTTCCAACCTCGGTCGGCTCCTGTTGCTTTTGCTTTTTTTGAATTCTGTCAAGAATTTCAATTGAACCTCTACTGTTGCGTGAAGTACTTAGGTAACGTGGTAGATTTTCGTCAGTAGCTGAATGTCACTCATCACTTGATGAAGTTGATGAGCTAGTTGCACGTAGCAGTCGCTTGGCATAGTCGTGCTCGGCACTGCCAATGCTACCCAAGGCAAGGTAAGGGGATTCTCAAGATCGTGACACACTTGGCGGCGGGTGCCTCTGCAACGCTACCTCGTCTTTGCCGTTTGCGGGGTTGAACGCATCTCATTGAACGCCCAGCATCCCCCGATCTCGTCCTAAGTAGCTCCTTCAGATTCTTCCACGATGGAAGGGGGCAAATCATTGATGGATACTCAAATGAGGTCAGGTTGAGCGACTCGAGGGCTTATGTGAATTCGTATACGACTCCTTCTAAATCCTCAGCCACATGCCTCTAGTGACAGGAGAACAAGAGAACTGAGTCCAGTACCTCACTCCTCCTTCTTAGGCCACCCATTACTGTACCTCCCGATCCTTCCCGCACGGATTCAGATCGACATGAAGACTTTCTGCTTCCAAGAATGTCTTCCGATCGCTTGCCTGTGAATGCAAGGGGCTTTCATTCGGGTACGAGTTTGTGCAGCTTGCGTGCCGTGCCGCTCATTGCCAAGCCCCTTTGCCACAATCCTACACTGGATGCTCCCAACGATCTAGGAAAGTATGGCTCCCAGGCCATTAACTTGCCGACGCATCTGCACGAAACCCGCAGACGTAGAAACGTGTACCCCGGTTTGTCATGGTCTTGTTCACAAGAAGCAACTCATCAAGAGCCGCCATGGATTAGAAAGATTCATAGAAACATGAAAACTTGCATGCTTGATCATCAAATCGGCTTCATTAACAATTTCAAATAAAGGCCACGAAAGGCGACCCAAGAACACGCCCACTCGAATCGATCTTGACGCCTTCTTTCCTCAACAACATTCTCTTCTCATCAAGCGTAATGCCCTCCCCGTTCTTCGGCCACTTGCCCTTGAACCCGCCCAACGCACCGCCCGTAGCAACGACACGGTGACACGGCACCTGAGGCGCGAAAGGATTCCGACGCAGCGCGTTGCCGACGGCCCTCGGCGATGACTTGAGATGCGCTGCCAGGATGCCGTACGTCGTGATCTGGCCCTTTGGTACTTGGCACAACGCGGTCCACACCCGTTTCTCGTATGCGGTGCGATTTGAGCGGGCGATGCGGTCTAGTTGTGTCTTCATGCCTTCGCCTTCTGGGATGGATATTGAGATGATGTCGCGCGTCGCGGGCGTCTTCTTGGTGGTGGTTGTGATGACGGTTGTCATGGCGATGGTGTAAGTGTGAGATGAGTGAGAGGGTATTGCTGAAGGCGTCGTGGGTTTTCAATTCTTGCTCCTTTGGTAGACGAGTATTGCAGAGTGACAAAGAAGTGTTCCTGAGAAGCAAGAAGTGAGAGAAGTCGAGGCAATAAGACGCGTGTGAAATTGTCTTTCTGAGTCAACGGCGAAGGTTGGGTCAAATGTCAAGACAAGGGCGCGTCACAAGCGCGACGGTCCAAGCGGGGACATTTGACGCGAACTCGCGGGGTCATGTGACTTGACACTTGATCAAAAGTGAAGCATAACTTCAACATTGGACGTCAGACAACCAAAGCCAAGGTGATACAAGATACGTCCGTAGCGGGCCTCACTTGACGCTTCCAATGGCAGAGACTCTAAAATCCAATGTGACTTAGTTTGAGGTAGTGGGCGGACACCAAAAGGTCTAGGTGACGGCAAAAAAGATTTCACCCCCCCGGTGCTGATCTGGGGGCTACATCTCTTGGTGCTCATGCTCGGATTCGAACTCGGGTACTCGTATGCGCTTAGACTGTCGTCGAGTAGGCTGGTTGGCGAAGATATTGATTGTTGATTCACCATAAACCATTCCATCACCCAGCCAGTTTGACCTGACCCGTCGACCTAGACGGGCGCCTCCTGGCTGGTGACAGGAATGGACTTGAAGGGGTGTATAAAGGCTCTACTGGTGATCAGATGAAAGTTTGGGTGCGTATTCGTGGACCTTGAGGGACAATACATGGAGCTCTTGAGCAATGATCTTATGTTGCATACCATAGTATTTGTACGGGTATCGGTGACATCTAGACTTTCCAGACTTGATTCCATATTGTACTCTTTTCCCCCAAAACGCCAGAATAAGGTAATCCAATCGTTATAAAGCTGCGATTGTGGCCATAACCGCACGCTTCAACGAGTCCTCCGCAGCAAGAGACCATTCAACAGCCCCAATCCATAACCCAAGCCCCTTAATCGCCAGTATCAACCTCAAGATCCAGCTGCACACCGTTGCTGACACCATAGTCCTCCAGCGTAAGATTATCCTTGAACGGCCGCTCGCCCTGGCGCTTCAGCAAGATCTCGTGCGGCTCCCGTCCGACCCGTTGCGCCACCATAATCTTGAACATCTTGACCGGGTCCGAGGCCAGACAGGGGATCGCGGCCTTGGTGCCGAGACGGTCGTTGACGTGCACGATAATCATCTCCTCGCCGCCGCCCGCAGCCGGCGCGGGCGCAGACTTCTCCTTCTTGGGCTTCGTCGGCGCATCCTTCGAGCTTGAGGCGCTGGTGGTGAGCTTGTTGCTGTCTCTGTCTCTGTCTCTATCTCTGCCCGAGTCGCGGGGTCTGTAGTTGTCGTCACCGCCACCGCGGCGGTCGTTGCGGCGATCTCTGTCCGAGTCGCGATCGCGGTCGCGACGGGGGGAGCGGGAACGGTTGCGGTAGCCTCGCTCGAGGCCTCTTCGTTCGTTACCATCGTCGCGGTCGTCTCTGCGGCTCTTGTCTTTCCATCTGAAACCGCCTTGTTTTCGTGGTCTGTCTCTGTCTCTGTCTCGATCGCGCCGAGGCGAGCGCGATCTTGATCGTGCTCTGTCGGCCATCTCGAGTGGGTTGGTGGATGGATGATGGTGGGAGATGGAAACTGCAGCGGGAGCTCAGCTTGGTACCGTGCACTGTGACCTCACCGCCGGCCCCACTGGGTGCGGCGGGTTGGAATGGCCGCCCCACAGAAGTAATTGGATTACATAAGCCGGAGGGCCCTCTTTCTCGAAGCTTCATGGCTGTCTCTTCACCATCGTCGTTGAGGAAATCAACGGACTCGAAATACTTCGCTTTGTATGTGTGATGATTGTGAAGTTTTTTATGCCTGGGGAACTTCGACTTCTTGTATTCAGAGTCTATTCTATAGTTTGTAATGCAACCACCTAGTCCCTCTACTCGTCTAGGGCATTGGAGGAAATAGCCGTCACAAGCCTGTTTGACAGACTCTCCAGCATGTCGGTGCCTTGTGAGGATGCCTCGATCTTTGATTCTTCAATTGACTCAAGAATCGTCTTGATGCCAAGACCGATCTTGTCCGACCGAGTGTCATTGCGTACGGACTGGATGACGGTCTGAATGTCGTTGCCGCCAAACATTCCTGACTGGTCCAGGACTTGGGCAAGTTCGCGTACATCAGAGATGGCGGGTACCGGAATCTGTCTGCGGAAGTGCTTAAGAACACCCAAGTTGCTGAGCACGAAGCGTTCCGAGGTGGTGACCATGATGAGAATACGACGGCCCTACATGGAGTTAGTAATGATTGATCCATCAAACAGCAGATAAGCAAGAGGAACTGAAACTGACCTTTGGTGGCTGGGTCTGGATGAGGGAAATAAGTCTGTCGAGCACCGTATTGGAGAAGCGTGGCCCAATGGGGTTCCACTCAATAAGCTGCTCAAAGTTATCCAAAATGACGATGCTACGCTCAGACTTGTAAGCGTCGGTGAATACCTTGGTGAGGTAATCCTTCTTTCCAAACTCATCTCGGAAAGCAGTCAAGTGCTGAGGCGAAATGAGCTTGACAAAGGGGAAGTCTGAAAGGGAGGCGGTGTGGGCGGCCAAAGCAGTCTTTCCTGACTCTGGGGGGCCGTGAAGAAGGACTGGTATCCTGTTGAGAACATCTGACTCCTTGACTGTGTCGATGTAGCCCTGCATCGTGCGGATGATGGCGGGGATGTTGTTGTTGAACTGGAGGATTCCCATGCCAAGGGCAAACGCCAGCTCGTCTTCAGAAACACCATAAGCAGGCTTGACCTCGGTCAGTGCGTTGTCGAAATCGTCCATGGTGATCTTCATCGCGGATACATCGTTCTTCATCTTTGCGCTGTTGCCGACCTCGGTGTGACGGTTGAAGGCGAATGAAGTTGCAGCCTTGACGACACCAGAGATCTCGGCACCAGAGTAGTTCTTGGTGCGAGCTGCCAGTGAGGCCAGGTCAACCTTGGAATCCATAATGTTGTTGTCTCGCATCTTGGCAGTGTGGATCATGAAGATTTCCTTGCGTCCCTCTTCGTTGGGCAAGCTAATCTCCAACTGAACCTCCAAACGACCGGGACGCAGAAGCGCCTCATCGATCATATCTTTACGGTTGGTCATACCGATGAGCAGGATGTTGTTAAGCTGGTCAACACCGTCGAGCTTGGTGAGAAGCTGGTTAACGACACTGTCACCAACACCAGTGCCGCCGCCGGCACCGGAGCCTCTTTGCTTGCAGACGGCATCCAACTCATCGAAAATGATAATGTGAAGACCACTCTGGTCGCCCTTCTCCTTGTACTCCTTCTCAGCATCCGCAAACATCTTTCGAATGTTCTCTTCGGATTGACCAACAAACTTGTTGAGGACCTCAGGACCGTTGATAATCTTGGGCTCACGAGCGTTGAGCATCTTTCCGATTTGTCTAGCAATAAGCGTCTTTCCGGTTCCAGGCGGGCCGAAGAGCAGGATACCCTTGACGTGCTGAATACCCAGCTTCGCTACCAGCTGAGGGGGGAAGACGCGGGAAGCAAAAGCTCTGCGGAAGATGGTGGCGAATTCGTCCTGGAGACCACCAATACCCATATCCTCAAACTTGAAGTCTGGCGAGATAATGGGGTTGGCGTTACCCTGATGCTCACCGACCTGAAGCTTCATATCCGACTCGGCGCCCTTGAAGAAGGACAGTAGCGTGTTCGTGCTGAAGAATCCTCGGGCAGAGGGGTCTGATGATGTGACGACGGCGTCGGGACCTTTGCCTCCCGCAAAAGTGATGGTCTTGACGGTAGCGAAGATCTTTAGACCTTCAATATCCAGCAGAGTACGCTGACCGGGGGCAAAGAAGTGCATCTGGAAGAAACGCTCAAAGACCTTGGCCAAGTATTCGTGCTTAAACTCGTAGTTGGGATCTCTCTTCATCGAGGCCCAGGACAGCTCGAGGTCCATCGCCTCGAGGTGAGTTGCGCCTTGTCTGTTCGCATCATACACCTCACCCTCGAAGGTGTCGGTCATTCCGATCTTCAGCCATGATCGTTGCGGGTCGGACAGACTGATGGTACCCTCGGGGAGTTCGGGTGTTGGTCGCGCTCTGACAACGTTCTCTCGTACTGTTCCTCGGACAGGGTCTCTGGCTCGAATCAGGACGTTGATGTCCTGGCCGTCGCGGCTCGGGGCGAAGTCTCGGTAGCTGACACCGGCGCTGGGAGGGGAAGGTTTAGCAGTGGAAGTGAAGAGGGACTGCATGCTCGAAAGATGCTTACACGTTGGCATAAATGAGCTGGGTCTGCAGGGCCTTGTCCCTGACTTTCTCGATCCTCAGCCGCACACCGGGCTGTCTCGGCGATTGCGGCTGGCCGCGGGGGAGCGGCTTCTCGGGGAAGCTCATGTCTGAGGCGCTCGGTCGGTGTGGCAGAAAAGATGGGATCGCTCTATTGTGAGGTCGGTTGTATATTCGTACGGCCCGGTTGTTCTGGTTTTTGTTCTTGAGATGTATTGAGGAAGACGGTGTGGATGACGGAGGGGAGGTTATGTACACTAATGGTAGGTGGAATGGCGCATGTTGGAGGGGCTGCGCGGCTTCGTCTTCGCTTCAAGTCCCCTGAGGCCCGGGGAGCGCTAAACCTTCCAGTGTTTGGGCCAAATGGACACAAGGCGAAGCAGGTACGTATCGAGGGGACCCTTACCTTACCCTTGCTGCAGCGAATGGCATGGAAGATGCGCTGATGCTTATGTGGATCTCACCAGTGGTTTGTAACCGTGTTCAGTCTGTTTCAACTCTGGCCAGTTTGAGGATCCAGACGTCTTCTTTGCAGGAGCGTTGCTGCCTGTGCAATTTTGGTGTGAGAGGGTGTCCAATCATTTTCAGGCGTTGATCTCGTATCATTAGTTTCTACGGAATAAGTTCTATTGTAAGGTAAGGTAGGTACCTAAGGTAGGTGACTAAGTTTGACAAGGAAGTTGTTCAGCAAATTCCATTGTGACATGTGCAGCAGTTCCATTGACTGACGGCGGGAAGGTGCAAGTCAAAGTGAAGTGGGGTGTGCAGCTGCCGTCGCCGGGCTTGACCCACTTCAGGTCTCCAGCTGCCGCCTGACTAATGACGTCGATTGGCTCGAGATGCAGTCTAGTCCCTTTTAGGACTCATTCCTGGAGCTGCTCGCATTTCGGTCTCATTACTTGTACGAGCAATCATCCTCATTACATAAACTCCTTCATAGCTACCTTTGCTAATGTAAGCATTCCAGGAGCTCAAATTAATCATGCCGCTGTAAGTCCATCTGTCAACTAGTACGATCAGCCACAATCTAATTGATGAACAGACACCTACTGGGCAAAAAGTCTTGGAACGTCTACAATGCGGACAACATCGCCCGTGTCCGTCGCGATGAGGCTGCCGCAAAGGCCAAGGAGGAGGCCGAGGAGCAGCGCATGCAAGAAGTCGATGCCGAGCGCCGACTAGCTATCTTACGGGGCGAGGAGCCACCGCCACTGCCTCCAACAGAGGAAACCCCTGACGATGAGCCAAGACGTCGGGACCGTGACGCCGGTTCGTTCGGCAGGGAGAGAAAGAAGCGCAAGCGCGCTGGCGAGGACGATACTGACTTTGAGTTACGTGTTGCAAGAGAGCGTTCAGGCGTCGTGCAGACAGCCAACGAGACCTTGCGCAAGTCAACCAGCTCTGCGCCCATCGTAGATGCAGCTGGGCACATTGATCTCTTTGGCGAAGAACGGAAACAGGGTCGTCATCTAAAGAATGAAGAGGCGGAGAAGGAAGCGGCAAAAAAGAAGAAGGAAATGGAGGACCAGTACACAATGCGATTATCGAATGCGGCCGGCAAGGACGGTATGGTCGGCCCTTGGTACGCAGCATCTGGGTCAAGAGCTGAACTCGCAGAGCTCGAGCCCGCCGGCAAGGACGCATTTGGCAACGAAGACCCAGGGAGGAAGAAGAGAGACGAACAGAGGATAGTAGCGAATGACCCTCTTGCCATGATGAAGATGGGAGCATCCAGAGTGAGAGAGGTGAAGAAGGAGCGCCAAAGATTTGAAGCTGAGCGTCAGAAAGAACTTGAGCAGCTGCGCAAAGAGGAGAAGCGAAAGGAGAGACATGAGCGGCGGAGACGAGAGCACCGGAGGGACCAAGAACGCCACCCTCGAGATTGGTCTCGTGAAAAGGATGATGGTGAAGCCAGATCCCGATCGAGGAGGGACGAAGAACGCCATCCTCGGTCCAGTCGAGACGACGAGCGCCGTCGGAGCAGAGATCGTCATCAAGAAGAGAGAAGTCACCGACACGGAAGAAGGGACGAAATCGATAGGCGATCCAGAAGAGATGAAAGGAGCCGCCATGAAGGAAAAGGTGAAACGAAGCACGAACGAAGCAAACGAGACTCTGATTCACGACAACGAGATGACCACCGACGGCCAGGAGAACCTCAAGAGCCAGACAAGTTTTAATAATAGCAGTAAGAATGATATATCTATCTACAAGAGAAGGGCAGAAAACAGCTAGTTGTGATACCGAAGCCAAGCCGGTCACGGGCGGTCATCGAAACTCTTAGTTCGAGCAAATTAGGCCGACTTGCACAACTTGCCAGTATTGAGATTGTAGTCCCAAGCATCGCTTCCGACACCCGACAAGACGAACAGACTCTCTGTAGGGTCATACTTTCTCTTGATCTCAACCAAACGGTCGTAGGAAGCACCGTAAAAGTCTTCCTTGAACATGGAGTCAAAAGCGTTGCCCTCGTTCATGTATGAGCCAGCACCTGGTGCCCACTCGCGCCAGATGGGCTCCTTTGTCTCTTCCAGCCACTGCGCTACACCATCGAGAGCCTCCTGGGGCGCTGCGTTGGGATCCGCCGACGCGCCGTAGCTCATCAGGTGGATGTATGTAGAGCGCCACATCGGGTTGAGGGCACCTCGCATCACCTCGGGGACGTTGCGAGGCCCCAGCCCGCCTTGCAGACCGATGACCATGAGGGCGCTACCCGTGGGGTTCTGCGGCACGTTGAGACGCTGGAGGTACGCAGAGACGGCCGACACCGGAGTCTCCACGAGTTCCTTGCGTCCGAGGAGGCGACTCGTCATCATCCCAGCCCCGGCTGTGCTGGGCGACGTGTTCAGGCTCTCGAAGAAGCTCATAAAGTCAGGCTGCGACGATGGCTCGCTCAGGGTGATGGAGACGGAGTTGTTGCCCACCTCAGCAAGGATGCGGGATCTGACGGGCTCGAGGAGCGAGGCCATCTTCTCTGCTGTTGTGTTGTACGCGAAGAAGCCAATGGAGGCACTGACCTTGCGGACAGTCTCGGACGAGTTGGCGGGTAGAGCTCCGGCGCTGAACATGCCGGTCCCGGTGAGGGTCGCGTCCATCAAGTCAGGCACACTGGCGAGCAGGGCCGCGGCACCTCTCCAAGCCGCCTCTCTGGAGGCAGTGTCGTTGCCAACGGCCGATACTTGGATGCCGCTCGAGACAACATTGCCCGGCGGGGGGTTCGCCTTGATGACGTACTCGGAGACGAGACCATACTGGCCGGCGCCGCCGCCGCGGACGGCCCAGAGAAGGTCCTGGTTTTGCGCCTCGTTGGCGACGAGGATCTGGCCGTCGGTCGTCACGACGCGCACTTGCAGGATCTGGTCTGCTGCGAGGCCGTATGTGCTCGAGAGGGGACCGTGGCCGCCTCCCTGCATATGTCCGCCGACTCCGACTGTCTCGTCAACGCCCCCGACGACGACCTTGCCGAACTTGGCTGCTCCTCGAGAGGCAGAGCCCCAGTTGTGGCCGCTTCCCAGGGTGAGTGCCGTCTCGGTTCTGTTATCGCTGGGAGATCTCCACTCGGGGTGGTATTCGAGTTGTTTGAAGTTGTGAGTCCAGATGGACAGCGAGTAGGCGCCGGAAGAGCTAGAGTCAGTTTAGTTCACTGAAAGCTCTGGGGATGAGACTGAAGACACCTTACCGGCCGTTGAGGTCGTGCCCAGTCCCCTTGATGACGATGCGGATGTTCCGCGAGCTGGCCCAGCCCATGGCAGTGGCAACTTGCTCCTCCGTCGTGGCGTTCACAACATACTGCGGCGAGCCGCCAATCTCGCAACCCTTGGCCGCGGACTCACTCGGAGGGAGACACGAGTTGTTGGCATAGATGGGGGAGTCGATGGACTCGGGAAGGGATGCGTGATAGGCGGAGTAACCCCATCCCTTCTCGACGTCTTCGCACGACTGCGTGGAGCCGAACGGGTTTCCCGCATAGCAGGAGGACGCGGCGGGCCGAGTCTTGATGAGAACGCCGTCAATTGTTGCGTTCAGCGCCGACCAGTCCTCGTCGGACGGCCATGCAGCATCGTCGGGGGTGACTTTACATGTCTGCTGCGCGGAGGCGCCTAGAGCGTAGACGGCTGCCAGGAACGAGATGACGGTTTTGGCTGCCATTGTGGTAACGAGAGAAGGTGACGGGCTTATGTGCGTGCCTGTGAGATGCTACCAATGGAAAAGGCCATGATGCGGTCTCGATGGCCATTCTTGTATCAGAACGGAGGACTCCGCCATCTTCTCATTTTCGTATCGTTGAACGACATTTCACTTTCGTCGCACTTGCCATCGCTACAGATGTTCATTGCCAATTTCGTCATGATACTAGTTGTCCTGGTCCAAGTTACATCAGACGGAAAGGTTCCACGGGGCTATGTCGACGGTGCGGAGGGCATGAGGGTATCTCCCCTCATTGCCGAGCTCCGAGACGTGTAAAATATGCTGTATGTAGCTAGTGTGATAAGGCATAATAAAACAGTGTATGAAGAAAAAGCCCACTCACAATTCGGGATTTGTGATGACAATATGCCTTCGGAGTCACCTCGTAGACTAAGTGAGGACCGCCGTACGCTGCGCCAAGTCCGAATAGCTACATGCGATCGGCCATTTGCCGATGACCTTGTACACTAGTGTAGGAAGAACAGATTCTAAATCCCAGTCATCAAGTGTATTGTGACTCGTTAAGGTACTGAGTCGGTATGCTTGGACAAGCGAGGGATTGGGTAAAACTAGGTATTAAGGCTGGAGACAAAAACAGGGGCCGGACTTCATACCCCCCAAAATAATCGTATCGAAAACGAGCGAATTTTCGTATAGAATGCGGAAATGTTTTGATTGGCTCATCGCCATGATTCAGGGACGAGGGAGATCCCCGCTGACGACTTACACGCACCAAAGACCAAAGCAACCAAGATAACATTGAGCAGCGGCGTATAGAAAATTTGCGTCTCTTCTCTTTCCAGACGTCTCGTCCAGTCGTAGCAAGAATAAAGACCCATTGACTTTTTGAACCCCCCGAGAGGAGTACCGAAATTCGTCCCTCTTGCTTCCCCCCTCCCCTTCCGTTCGTCTTTCAAATCCCTACCGCCCACCAGTATCCAATTTTTCTCTCCCCTGAATCCAGACATCTTTCTCTCTCTTTCATCCAACATATTGATAAACTGGACTTCCTCATCTCTACAAGTACTTACAGCTTGTAAACACAAACCACATACCACAAGCTGAGCCATGGATACAGACTACTGGCAGCTCTCAGGCGCCTTCGGCCTCTGGGTCCGCGCCTGCATTCGAATCCTCCAATTCGTCTTCGCCATCGTCACGATAGGCCTCTACGCCGCGACTCTCGGCTCCTGGAACAACCTCCCGACAGAAGGTCTCAGTAGGACAAACTGGATCTACGCCCTCGTCCCAGCCGTCCTCTCGGCACTGACGTGCGCCTACCACGTCTTCGCGACAGTCACGCACGCCGCCTGGTCCGTATGGGACTTTGGGCTGGCTGTTCTCTGGGCCGCGCTGTGCGGTCTTTCGTCGAACATCGTCGTGGGCGGCGAGGACAAGGTTTACGTTACGGGTGATGTCAAGTCGAGACTTGCTGCTGGTGCTTGGATTGCGGGAATTAGTATGCTGCTGTGGCTGTTGAGCTCTATTCACGGCTGCGCATTCTGTTGTGCGTCGAGGAAGACGAAGAGGACGGTGAGGAAGCAGGAGTCGGAAGAGGCTAAGCTTGAATTGGATGGTCTTCCGAATAGTCGAGAAGAGAACGTCTAGATGGAATGAGCGGTTTAGACTCATCTACATTACACACTGGCATGGCGCTTGGACTCGTTGGCGGATAATGGGTAATTGATGGAAGATATATAGAGATTTATCGAGTTTTGCAAGCAAGGCAGCTCGTGAGACTGAGCAAAGCACATTTTGATTCTGGCAATATCCGGCATCTTTCGAAAGAAAAGTCTCGTAGCATGGTAGCAACATTGCTCGAGTGACTACAAGAAAAATGACAGACATTACAATAAGACTTTTCTAAGCAGCAGGGAACACCTCCCTTCGCTCTACGGTCACCCCGAAGCAGCGAGACCAGTTGAGTTTCGGGCCGCTCATTTGGTATTCATGACATTGGATGCCTAGCTGATAGTAACAAGTAGATCCACTGGCTAACCTGAGAAAAGCCGACTTACTGACGCGGCCTTACCCAGGAGGCTATGCGGCAAGGTACCAGGTATGGCAAGGTATGCTTAAGTCTCTTTAAATGTCCCTGACCCTGCCCCTCCCTGTCTCCTACTTTAGTCCCCGGTTCTCTTCTACTATCCACTCTCAACACCACACAGCTATTCAGCACATGAATTACAGGAACATGGAAGGCGAAAAGAGAGAGACATTTGGATCCTCCAGGGAGTCCAAAGCTTCGGCTCTTGGGCTCGAGGACCTCTATGTCGAAGGTAAAGCAACCCAAAGGCCCTGCAGTAATTCTTGGAGCAAACACTCAACGTCGTCTCGAACAGAAGACGAACCATCCAGCTCAACGCAAGCCGAAGACCAGACACCGCCCGAGTACACACCTCAATACACTCCACAACGCCAATGGCCAATGCCCCTCAACATCGTAGTCCAGGTCGTCGGCTCTCGAGGCGACGTCCAACCCTTCCTCGCCCTCGCATCCGCCCTTCAGAAAGCAGGCCACCGCGTCCGCATCGCAACGCATCCGCAGTTCTCCGCCTTTGTCCTTGAGTCTAACAACTCCGTCCCGAACTCTCCGAACAAAATCGAGTTCTTCCCCGTCGGCGGCGACCCGGCCGACCTCATGGCCTACATGGTCGAGTCACCCTCCCTGATCCCCAAAATGTCGCAGATCCGCGCAGGCATCATCCAGCGGAAGCGCGACATGTACGTCGAGATGCTCGACGGCTTCTGGCGGTCCTGCGTCCACCCGGATCCCCTTTCCAACGTTCCCTTTGTCGCCGATGCCATTATTGCCAACCCGCCGAGCTTTGCCCATGTGCACTGCGCCCAGGCGCTGGGGATCCCGGTGCATTTGATGTTTACGATGCCGTGGAGCAGCACCAAGGCGTTTCCGCATCCGTTGGCGAATATTGGATTCTCAAAAGCGGATAAGAAGAGCACAAATCATGCTTCGTATGCTGCTGTTGAGTTTCTGACGTGGCAGGGGTGAGAATATTTCTCTTCACATGCCAGTGGCTATAATACTAACAGCGGAATAGCCTGGGAGATCTTGTTAATGTGTGGCGAGTCCAGTCACTTGGATTGGAACCTGTTCCGTCTACTGAGGGACATCGTATATTGGAAAGTCTGCAAGTCCCATTTACATACTGTTGGTCGCCATCCCTCGTGCCCAAGCCCAGCGACTGGGGTCCGCACATTGGTAAGTTCCCCATTGAGAACTCCCTTTTTTCGAGTCAACCTGACCATCAACAACAGACATCAGTGGCTTCTTCTTCCGCGATCCTGCACCGTACACGCCACCTCCCGACCTCGAAGCCTTCCTCAAGGCCGGCCCACCACCCATATACGTCGGATTCGGGAGTATTGTGGTTGGCGGAATCGGTGGCCTCATGACCATGGTCCTCAGCGCAATCAAGGCGACAGGAGTCAGAGCCATTATTTCGAGAGGCTGGAGCAATTTGAACGGCGAGGAGTCAGACAACGTGTTTTACGTGGGCGATTGCCCACACGAGTGGCTATTCCAGCAAGTCGCCGCCGTCATTCACCACGGCGGCGCCGGTACTACAGCCTGCGGACTGAGATACGGAAAGCCTACGACCATTGTTCCCTTCTTTGGAGAGTGAGTAGAAACATTAAACCACCTGGGTTGCACTGTTACTGACACTTGCCCCATAGCCAACCGTTCTGGGGCGCCGTCGTAGCAGAAGCCGGCGCAGGACCAGACCCCATCCCCTACCGCTCCCTCACATCCCAAAAGTTGATCCAGGCCATCCAGCTCTGCCTTTCCCCGGACGCCGTCCGCTCGGCCAGAAAGCTCGCCGACGCAATGCAGAGGGAGAACGGCGTCCAGGCTGCCGTCGACGCCTTCCATGCCAACCTGCCGCAGTCGAAAATGGGCTGCGATTTCTTCTCCGACCAGCCCGCGGCGCTGGTCTACGGCAGAGGCAAGAAGCAGGTCAAGATGTGTAGACCCGTCGCGTCCATCCTGGTCAAGAATGGTAAACTGCAGCGGAAGCAGCTCAAGTCGTACGTGATTAACTCATACACTCGATTCAAGGACCCTCTCCATGCCGCTTGTTACTGACACTATTCTTTTGCAGATACCGATCGAAACCGACAAACATCGAGAACCAGAGATGGGACCCTCTGACGGCAGTATCAGCAGCCTCCCTCTCGACAATCGTCAAAATGGCAGGCGCCACAGCCGACATCATTGTCAAGCCCTTTGAGCAGTACAAACGCACCAGCGAGTCCGGCGAGAACCTCGAAGAGCAGCAGCAAGTCGAGAACACGCAAAGACACAGCCAAGCCCCCGCGTTTGCGATGCTTCCTCTCCCTGGCGTCGGTGTTCCGGACGGGGCAGTGGCAGCAGCATCAGCAGTAGACGAGAAAACTTCCTCGGCCCGGCCGCCGCCATCCAGGGGTAGCCGAGACTCATCCTCCAACGGCGGCGCAAAACCAGGCGCCATGGCAGCAGCAGCAGCCAACGGCGTAGGCAAACTCGCGGGCAACGCGACGAAAGGTTTGCTCGTCGACATACCCCTCGCCGTGACGGAGGGTCTCCGCGCGGTGCCGAACCTCTACGGCGAGCCCGTCCGCAAGCACGACGCCGTCGAGGGGTTCCGCAGCGGCGTCTCGGTAGCGGGCAAGACGTTTTGCCAGGACATGAAGGGCGGGCTGACAGACATCTTTGTTCACACGTACACGGGCAAAAAGGAGCAGGGTGCGCTGGGTGCGGCCAAGGGATTGGGGAAGGGGGTGGTTAGTCTTGTGACGAAGAGTACTGCTGCGACGTTTGGGTTGGTTAGTTACCCGGCGCAGGGGATCTATAGGAGTATCTGGGCTGCGTCGTATGCGGATACGAGGAGGAGCATTGAGGATGAGAAGTTGTTGGAGGGGGATTGGATGGTGTCCATGAGCCCTGGGTGGAAGATGGATCATGCTGCTATTGTGGAGGATTTTGAGGGGATGAAGGGGACCAGAGGACAGTGATGAGTGAGTTTTGCCTTGTTGGAAAGAGGTCGTAATGGTTGTCAGCACCTCTGGCTGTGTTTTTGCAAGGCGTTGCGGTAGACGTGGGATTAGTGTGGCTTAAGATTGAACCAGGAACCAGGCCTTGATCTTGACCCCGACTGTCATCATCCCGTGATGGATACCCCACATGATGGATCTTCTAGAAGAATTCGATAGCTTATTTCATATGGGTTATTTTGCCGTGCCTAGATCGTACAGTTCCTCCACATCTAGGGTAGGTATCGTGACTCCAACACAGCCATTGCCACATTGACTTATACGGGATCGTGGCAGTGATCTACGAAACCATAGTGGCACGGATGATTAGGCACCACGCGATGTCAGCTTAGTTACTATGTACTAGGTAGTCAACCTCGTACAAGATGGGAATGACGATGGAATTGCAAGATCGTGGACGAGGGATGCACGGCGGCGCAGGGGTGGCGGAAAAGGAAGGCTTCTGGAAGGATTCGACGGCGGGGCACTCGTTGGTGGCTGAGCTTATCAGGGAATATTCGGAGCAGTAAGATCTACAATTGTTTTCGAACAGAGCTCAGCTATGCCCACATTTAGACAGCAAGCGAGACCACGTAGTAAGACGACAAGGATGATGTAGAATTGGAATCAGTCAACCATTTAAGCCTTGTGGAGTCTGCGTTCGCCCTGCGGGAGCATGTGACGAAGGTTATGGGTTCAACGTGGAGACGGTCTCGCCGGGTGCTGGATTCGGTGAGAGTCGGCCAAAGATTACAGCCGCCCGCGGGTCGCCACCGGAAATTGGTGTTGGTTTGTCGGGATGAAGGCGGAGGATCGGCCGACATTCTAGCCAATCCGGAGTATGATGTCAAGTTGCTCAAAACACCCAAGAGATATTGATGCGCGGAAAGGCAGAGATTGAAAGCTCTTGGTCCAAGTTCGCCGGGCGACAAATATTGGCGGGGCAGTGCCGGGTCACGCGTGCCGGAGAGACGCTAGGGCCACTTTCGGAAAGGTGGAGACATGCGGCCGGCGTGGATTGGCCGATCCGGAGGCTGAGAGTTGTGAATGGCGTTCTGCCCAGAAGCTGGGCGGCGACGGTAGATTGAGTGGGGACGACACAACTTTACCTTAAGGTACAGAGAACAATGTAAGAATATGCACGAGCGGTCGGAGGCGCATTCTCAAGAGCGGAGTCAATGAAGTCATTCCCATGTCTCCAAATTCCTCGGACTTTGAGAGAGGCTTTGCGATAAAGGATCCGTTGGTGGGTGATTACCGGCCGCCGGAGCCGTTAGGTAACGGGTAGATAGATACCTTACCTTAGCTACCTAGGTAGAGCAAGCCCCTTGTCATGCCATGCAATTATTAGCTGAAAGCAGTCGGCGAACGATCATGATGTCTGACTTGAGGGTATAGTATTCGTAGTGTAGGATTCTCCAAATCTCGGCGCTGGGGTTCCATGATATCATGCCACTCTGCCATGCCCTCCCTTAGCGGAAGTCGGCACGCGCAAGGACGTTGATTGGCTGTGGTGTATGCTGGGGTGACAGGGCCCCGAATATCATGACACAGAGATGAATGATGTGTGAAACGTTCTCCGTTGGCGTGTGACATTTGGTCGATAGTTGCAGACTCAGTACCTAACTCAATTGCCCCTGGCAGACAGACAGCCGCCTGGAGCTTGTCGAGATCAGACGGCGTGTTTGGATGGGATGGTGTGCAGTTTTTCTCGGAGAGGTTGGAGAAGTGCAAAGGTACCACATTGCAACCGCTCGCCCGCCCTGAGCAGTCAGCAGTCAGCAATCAACCCCGTGTGCGGCGTGTCTTGGCTGTAGCCAAGGCTGATTGAAGGACGGATTGGGTCCGCCACCGCTCTGCCACCAAGGACGGACGGACCGTTGGGATCGGATCGTGAGGTTTTTTTTTTTTTTTTTTTTTTTTTTGTTGCCTAGGCAGCGAAGAATGGAGAGGGCGGAGCAGCGACATTGCCCTCGTGGTAAAGTTTGGAAGCAGTCGGGCGATCACACTTGGTCGATGCGCGCAGTTGAGGGTGAAAGTCGCGCTGTCTATCCGGGCAAAAGAGAAGAAACAACCATGTCGCTCTGATTGGGGTGTAGGGACCTTGAAGGTAAGACGGCAGACCGGCAGCTTCGCGATTGGGCGCGATATGGAAAGTCAAGCCGTCGCATCGGTGTCGATTCTGCTAGCATTGCGGTTTTTTTTGAGGCCGTCCATGACCACGAGATCTCTTCAAGATATTAGCTGCCCCGGTGTAGGTATCTACCTTAGGTATCTAGGTAGGCAAGTGATGATGCGGAATGTGTGCCGAGAAGAACAGTCAGCAAGATGTCTACCTTAAGGTACCTCAGTGCAGGCAGAAAGAACGTCGTGACCGTGAAAGGAAGGAAGCTCAAATTGAGCATGGGCCACCGCATGTTGGAGTTTCGCGGGCAGTGCAGGTTGCTCTCCACCGTCGGGCACGTTTGCCCCGCATGGCTCCAGCGTTCCTTCCCTGGTGCTCTCATCCCTGCCCCGTTCAACAGCCCACGGACACAGACGGGGCAACCAACTGGAACATGGGGCAGGTACCTCTAGCTCCGTTCTTGCACTTTTCGATATCATTGTCACCTTAGTGAGTCTTGAGGGAGGTGCTGCGAGACCCCTGCTCCACCCTTCGGCTCCTGTAGCTTCTTTTTCGCGGTTTGCGACTGCCTCCTCTCCTCTCCCGCCTATCATTGCGCTTGCCGATAGCTCAGTGCCACCACCACCTCAGAAAGAAGGCCCCAAGAAGATGACCCCAAGGAAAGAGAGAGAGCTCCTGGGCACAAACACAGCCCACCCTGTGTACTCCATGTCCCACGAAATGATTCGACCCTTGCTCTTAGACCCGTCGGATGTCTATGATCCCTTGGTCTTAGAACTCTTAGTGCAGTCCCCGGTCTTCATTCTCCCCTCGACACATCTCCATTTCGTACCTACCTACCCCAGACGTCGTCTACTTAAGAACCTCGTGCCCCCATCCATCACAGGTCGTATTTTGATTAGCACACATGGTTCATCACTCAGAATCCACCCCCGAAGCTTCTGATCATCTAGATACCCGCACTCGACAAGCTTCTTCTTCCAACACATCTGCACGACACCTTCTCCAAACCAGCTCGTCTCGATCGCATTCGCCCACGATGAGCGCCCCGCAACACGAGAGCACTTCTACGGGCAAGGCCCGTGCCCCCGATTATGAGGAGCGCAGCGAAACCACGGCCAACGGTGGCGGTCTTGGTCTTGGACAGGGCGGCTTCAAGCCTCACAATGAGATGACGGTCCAGCCTCCCACCAAGGAGGATCTCCAGCGCAGCTACGCCAGAGTTGTCGCCGAAGATGCCAACCCCAAGGGTTGGTACGGAACCATGAGTAAGTCTGATACCTGCATCCGCCTCTCCTCCAAGCCTATCTCAGACCACTAATACGACTTCATCACCACCAGTCAACACCTTTGGTGCCTGCATTGGTACTCTTGGTGCCATCCCCTGCTGCATCGTCTGCCCGAACCCTTACAAGAACGTGAACCAGGGTAATGTCGGCCTCGTCACCAAGTTTGGCAAATTCTACAAGGCCGTCGACCCTGGTCTTGTCAAGGTCAACCCTCTCAGCGAGAAGCTCATTCAGGTCGACGTCAAGATTCAAATGGCAGAGGTTCCCCAGCAGACTTGCATGACCAAGGACAACGTCACCCTGCACCTCACCTCTGTCATCTACTACCACATTGTCGCACCTCACAGAGCCGCCTTCGGTATCTCCAACGTCCGCCAGGCTCTGATGGAGCGAACCCAGACCACTCTCCGCCACGTCGTCGGTGCCCGCATTCTCCAGGATGTTATTGAGCGTCGTGAGGAGATTGCTCAGTCCATTGGCGAGATCATCGAGGATGTCGCTGCCGGATGGGGTGTTCAGGTCGAGAGCATGCTCATCAAGGACATCATCTTCAGCCAAGAGTTGCAGGAGTCGCTGTCCATGGCTGCTCAGAGCAAGCGTATCGGTGAGAGCAAGATCATCGCAGCCAAGGCTGAGGTACGCATCCTAAATATCACATGATTGCATTTCATCACTAACACAACCTAGGTCGAATCCGCCAAGCTCATGCGCCAGGCTGCCGACATTCTGTCGTCTGCCCCTGCCATGCAGATCCGCTACCTGGAAGCCATGCAGGCGATGGCCAAGTCTTCCAACAGCAAGGTCATCTTCCTGCCTGGTCCTGGCCAGACCATGCCCAACATTCAGCAGTCGCTCAGCGGCAACAACCAAGCGGGCGAGTCGAGCGGTGCCAATCACGGCACTGGCGACTTCAACGACTTTGGAGGTCAGGATTCCGGCTTTCAGCAAGCCATTAACTCTCGTGTCATCGAAAACATCTGAGTTCGCACCGAGTGCTGACTTGAGGTCTCGTGTGGGGGAATAGCTTGGTCACACTAAAGCCGACCCCTTTACGGCTGTCACCAATCACGCTTTGATTCTCTTGCTGCGACGTCAATACCCCCTTGCGCTTCACGATACTCCGACACGACTGATTTTTCAAATACCCCTTTGCGACGAACAATTCTATACAACGAAATAGTAAAACCATAAAAAAAAAAAACATGTACTTGTAGGACGCGGGAGAGATGTGGGGTGAGGATGGACAGAGGCCTGCTCGGGGGATGATACCTCAAATCGGCATGATCACATTGGACGGGCTTTGCAGTATACCCATTTCATTCGCTTGGAATTCGACTCGGAGGACATAATGCTAATGGTACTGAAATTGAATACGAATTTCCACCTCGATCTACTTGACTGTGTCTACTGAAAGTGTCTCCTTGTCCATCCTATTGCATGCATGGACTCCCGTGACATCAGCTTCATATGACCTTGTCGGCTTCAAGCGAGCACAAACACGACTAGGCCCTTGTAATGTGTCGGCATCTATATCAGGCAAAAGAAACTGTAGTCTGACGCCGCCTGACTTACGAAGTGATGATAATCGTCCTGGCCTCCCACTCAGCCATGGACGCGTATTATCAAATTCAAGGGACTACATACACCTACGATCTCTGTCTACTGTAGATTCGAAACATTGTCCCAAACAACAGATAAGCACCGCCCAGCAGACTGTGGATGACTGTTTTTGCCAGCTGACACAACCAATTGGGCAGGACCAGCCAACAATGGTGGCAAGGAAAACCTCTGCAACATGGAGTAACCGCTCGATCCTCGCTAGCGTGGAATCGAACCCAGAGTCTTTTCAGCAACTTGGAAGACGAAAGGGGGTTGGACCTCGCATCTCAAGCCGTTTGACTACTTGGTTAGACTGATGAGGGAAATGTGAGTGATTTGGAGTGAGATAGGACCGAGCTCAAGGGATGAGTTGGAGCACTGATTGGATAGAGTGGGATGGAATGAAAATGAGAATGGGAAGGTGTGAGTGATGTGTATGGGACTAAAACTGAGAGTTGACCGGGTATTTGTGGGCGAACGTGAGCGAGGGACGGCGTGACGAAAGATGAGGAACAATTATAGATGGGCTAGTAGCCTGCTATGAACCATGTCCATGAACGTAAGAGACACTCGCTCTGCAGAAATCATCACACCAACAAGGAGTACCTCTTCACGTAGCATCCTCTACAAGATGCTGGACGCACGTTGAAGCAGTCTCGGATTCAGTCGTCGACACTCTTTTTATATAGCTTACCTTCTTTCGTCACCAACGGGGGCTGGGGAGCAGGCTGCTGTAAACGATCCAAGGTGGTATTTTTAGGAAGACGATGGCCTAGGTAGGTAAACGACTGCCTACTTCTTGGACAATAAAGCAGGTGATGTCACGGCAGGAACAAAAACCGAATGCTGGACGACTACTTCCACAGTCTTGGAAGACGTTTCCGATAGGGCTTGATATATCTTTTGTTCTTTTGTCCCCGATGGTGGCTTGGGCGGCAATCTGTTTGGAACGATGGTCTTGGGTGATAAGGAATGCCGTCATTACCTACTTATCAGAATTTTGTCAGACTCTAGAAATTTCTAGAAGCTTTTACACAAAGATTGGTACTGCTGGAAGACTCTCGGACCAAGACATCAATGTTGCCCTACTATACAACTGCGAGCTTGTTCGTTTGCTGTTGTGATATGTGGTATGTAAATGGATAGATGCTCAGCCTAGGTATTATACCACTATTATACAATCTCAAATCAACGACATGCCTGAACCAGGCAACGTAGTATCCAAGCAAATGACACTCACGTCTCCTTCCAGGGCAGCGCAATCTCAACAGGCAGCATATCCTTCTCCACCATGCCAACCAACGCCTTGGCCTCCAAGCCCTTCAGCGCGCCCATGACCTCCTCATACCCAGCGGCACTCAACCCTTCCTTGCGATCGCAGTAGATATCAACACCCTCCTTGGTAAAGACCGTGGGCGCAAACCACGTAACAGCCCACCTCTCCACCTCCCCGCTGCCTTCGATCGACCTCTCCCCCCACCCGAGAACCTCCCAATGACTGCCCACGAAGAACAACCACCCTTTCCCCCGCCAGTCCCAGACGGAGGTATCCCCGACGGCGCAGGCGGTGTCGACGCCCTTTACGGATTTGACGGCCGTGGAGGGGTGGGGCGTCTTGTTGGACTCGTACTCGACGAGGTCATCTATGCGGGCGGTACCGTCTGGTTTCGGGGCCATGGAGGCGTAGGAGATACGGACGTTGCGGGCGTCGCGCCACATTGCGAGGGTGGAGTGGGTTACGGACCAGGTGCGGAGGAGCCATTCGAGGGGCGGGGCGGAGAAGGTTGATGATGATGATGATGGGGAGGTGGCGGTTGTGTATTTCGAGGGGGAGCGGAGGGTTACTGTTGTTGGTGGGGACGCCATGATGCTCTGTATCTGTTGCAAAGATGTTGAGGTGGATGTTGCGGAGGTTGAAGTTGTGCTTCGGAGCTTGTGTGGAGCTTCGTGGGAGTGTCGCTGTTGGCAACACTATCAGGAGGATGTTTCCGGTAAGATGTCGCGTTTTAGAGCTCGGGTATTCACGTGCGACTGCGAATCAAAGTGGTGCCGCTGTATTCGGGGTTTTTAGAGAAGAGGTTGTCGTTGTCAAGATCTTGGAATGAAGTTGAAAAACAAGCGCAAACCATGGCCCCAAGCTCCGTGATCCGCGCCAGGGGTACGGAGTACGTCGCGTTTCAAATGATGTCAGCGACTCAGCGGCCCCGACGATTGAGACTCGAGCATTTTCCCCTTCCTCTCCAATTCTGTGCCATGGAGAGGGAGTAGCTTGGGATGTAGCGGTTTAACTGTGCACTCATCACACAATGCTTTTGATTCGCAAATGAAGTATTGCTCTCTCATTCGCCCATATCTACAGCCGCAAATACCCGAACATGTCGTCCGTCATTCTTTTATCGACGACATGCCATTCAAAAGACCCTGGAAATCTAGAAGCCCCCAAGTTATTTCCCTACCTAGGTACCTAGCTCAGGTACCTCATGCCCCGGTCCCACGAGGCTGTAATTAAGCGGGCCAGTGCCGGACAAGGGTCTTAATTCAACATTTTTTCCTCTTTCCCTCCTCTTTCTCTGAGAAAAGTCCGCGGCTCTTCCCGCGCCCAAAGCTCCTTTTCTGTTCCTCTTTGGCTGACTGCTTTTTTCCCTCCCCACATCGCCCGGAGCTGTTTCTTTCCTGCAGGAAGTCGGCCTACTTTACTTTATCCATACCAACGTCTCTTTTTCAACGTCATCGCCCATACTTCTCCCGCAGCGAACGCCCTTTCGCAACGACGGCCCAACCGACCCCGTGTGACCAACTTCCTCACCGCCTACAATGGACGAAGACGACTCCCTCGCAATCGACCCCGAAATGGCAGCCTTCATGGGCTTCGCCTCCTTCGGAACCCAACCAGCCGCCAAGAAGCGCAAGTACAACCACCGCACCGACGCCGTCTCCTCCGCGACCGGCGCGAACCAGACTGCCCTCGCCCCTCGCGCTCCGCGCCCCGCTCCGTCGACGACGACCGACATTGCTGCCGCGCCCGCCGCCAACGCCGATGAGATAGCCCTCGACGATGACGATGAAGACGACGGATCTGCTGTTGTCGCCGCCGCTGGTGACGTGGACGCAGAGGAAGGCGGCGCAAATCTCTACTCAGATCCAACCGTTGCCCCGGCCCTCGCCCACGCGCAAAGCCTGATAGATGAATTGGCCAACCAGGGCGCGGCAGTAGAAGATGGAATCTCGGCACCGCAGGCACAGAGCACAGCCTCCTCTCTTCCAACGTCATCGGCCCTACCCCAGCGGCCCGATGCGTCGTGGGGTAAGAAAATGGGAACCGCTCCGACGACGATGCCGACGAGGGAACGCCCTGAGCAGCATCAGCACCAGCACCAGCGTGGCGGTCGCGGGGGGTACCAGCAGCAACAGAGGAACGATGGCAAGCCTTGGTGGGAGGGCTACTACGACCCCGCGTCGAATGAGAACCCATGGGAGAGGCTGGAGAAGAAGGCTGGAGTTCTGTCCAAGGGGACTTGGGTGGCGAGGGGTACCCAACCTCAGACGGCTTGATTGAATGTCGACGGACTATCGATGTTTAATGTGGCATGGGCTGGCATATGAGAGGCATGTGGATCATGGTACCGAGTGTTTGGTCAACATATATCAATATGCTTACCACACCTCCACCTACACCACTTCTCAACCATGCGACTTGGCACATCGACATACGACTCACCGGCTACCTCACCGACCACGTCACGTGATATCCCTATCCGCATGGAACATAGGCCAGGGGCAAACATCATGGCCCATCCATCACCTGATATATCACTGGATATATGGGACCCCCCAGACTTGGCCAAGGCCTGGGGGGTTGTTACGGTGGCATTACGGAGACCCTAGCATCACGACGGTACTGTTACGGTGGATATATCGTGGACCAGCAGCCCGGCAAAGGGCCACCACGACCGAACAAGAAGAGAGTATGATATGACTATGGATCCCGAGACGGAGAAATACTCTGTCGTCGCTACAGAACCACCGAGAGGGTCAGAGGAACATGACCCACGTCCAGCTCCCCGTCGCTATCCTTCCCGAAAGAGCAATATCCCACCGCCCCGAAGAGGACAAGCGCCTCCAGACAGATTGCCAACAATTTTGTACCCTCACCTTGGGCCTGGTCTCCTTGTCTCCCGTCCCCTCCCTCCTGGTCTCCACCGAGCCGTTCTACCGGCCTAGAGACCCTTCCAACGACTACTGCAGCCCCCGGGCTACTTGGCCCTGGCCCCGTCGCCCTCGGAAGGAGGGGGTAAGGTGTACTTTTAACAACATAGCCGCCCCAAGTCATTTTCCCATTCATCCAATCATGTCTCATAATCATCTCGTGCAACAAAAACATCCCCCGCTCTCTCTCTCAAGGCGAAAGGTCAAAAGAAGGTCGGTCGGAACCCCACAACAGCCCTACGTCTGCCAAATCTGGGGGAAAACTACCCAGGGCATGTACCTACGTGTGTGTGGAGGTTTACCGGGCGCTTGGGAATGATGTTTCCCCATTCAACCCACTCCTAACTCGACCCTGCTCCAGCTCGCAGCTCGCATGTCCGCCGCCCTGCCCGTCGCAAAAGCAGCGTGAGATGGGCGGCTAGGCGGGCCCCCCATGCTCGCCCCGCGCCGTGCCGCTGCGCGTCAAGCCGTCCCGGCTGTCAGGGTTCGCCTAGGGCCCCTGTCTCCTCTCTTCCCCTCCCTTGCTTTGCCAGCCCAATATGTACCCAAGAAAAAAATGGTGGTAAGTAAACAAGCGGAGATGGAGGGAGGCGTGCGCTCATCCAAAGGAAATCAAATGCAAAGTAAATCTCCGGGAATCTGGTATCTTGGTTCCTGCAGTTTTGTCGGCAGGGATGTATGTATGTCGTGCGTTTTTGTGTGGTGTGGTGGTAGTGGTAGTAGCAATGGTGGTGGTGGTGACGGCAGGCTGGAACTTTTTTCTTTTGGTCGCAGTTGAAAATGGCACGCTGGAAAAAAAACAAGGCTGAAAAAAAGGAGAAGCTCGCCGCTTGCTTTCAACGTCGTCGGTGTCGCGCGGCTGAGAGGCTTTCGCAACTCAATCCGCTGCAAACCACCCAAAATACCAGAGGAAATTCTCTAGTACTCGGGCGACGGATAGCGAGCGCGGGCCTTGCTGTACTCCTTGGTGTGCTTGCGAGAAGTCTTGCTCTTGAGCGATCTGCACAAAAAAAGAGGTCCGCGTGTTAGCCGCAATGTCTCAGATCTCGCAGATTTTACCCCCCGAAAGATTTCCTTTTCCGCACGCCCAACGTTGTAGTCGCGCAATTCAATCGGACCAGCGATCCGGTTCAGATAGTTCCCCACTGGTTCGCGGGGAAAACTTCTGGGATCGCATACTGCAGTACTGCAGATTTGTCTCTCCTTTGAATTTTTTCCGGAGTCCCGGAAGAGGCAATGGAGAGAGAAAAAAAGGTGCAACTTACGAGACTTTCTTCTGCGTCCACTCGAGGTCCGCGCGCACGTCCTGAGCGTCGCGGTAACCCTCGTTGAAGCGCTCGCGCGTCTTTGCGAGACGAGCTTGCGCCTTCTTTTGCAGCTCCAGCAGCTCACGGTGCTTTGCGTTGAGCTTTCCGGATCTATTTTTTGCATTCCTCTTCGTTAGCCTCTTTGTTCTGTTTCGCCGCCGCATACGGGATGCGCCGCACGCCACACCGAGGAAGCAACTTACGTTTGCGCCTGGACCGCAATGTTGCGGTCGAGAGGAATGGGGTCAAAGGTCTGGGCGAAGCGGTCCTGCATGTAGTCGTTGAAGTCGACACCGCTGGCCGAGTGGTGGGTGCTCTCGTAGTCGCCGCTGTTGCTTCCAGCGTAGCTGGAGTTGGCCACTGAGTAGCCGCCAGAGTAGCCGCTGTTACTATATGATGGACCGGTGCCAGAGCTGACGGACTCATCTGTCTCTGGAGGCGATACAGAGTAGGTGCTGCTGTAGCTTGGGTAGTGCTGGCCCTTGTGGGAGGGGACGGGCAAAGGGAGGGTGTAGTGGGAGTTGTAGTGGGAAGACATGATGGGCGCAAGGAGGAGGTGGAGGCCGGCAGTTGACGATAGAGGCGTGACGTGTACTTTGTGTACGATGTGGGAACTTGTCTGAAGCAAACAAGGGATGACTAAGTCCAAGTGTCGACTGGGGATGGCGGCACTCTGTGAGACAGAGTCAAGTGTGCAAGGAAGTTGCTTGTTGGGCAAAGAAGAGAACTTGGAGAAAGCTATAGGGAAGCTTCAAGATAGTCCAGGAATCTGATGATGAGAAAGGAAGAAGAAGTGAATAAAATCAAGCCGCTCAAGTTGTGCCCTTTTATACTTTTCCGAAACCCTCCTCGGACTCCATATTCTTCGTCTGTTTGGAAGGGGGATAAGACATCAAGCCTCGATTCGTCCGATGACAAGCCGTGGCTTCATCATTAACCGGGTCTCCTTCCGCGGAAGGGGGAACAGACGGAATGGTCCAAGGGCATGATGTGATGGGATGATCAGAGAAAGAGAGAGAGAGAGCGGCCAAAAGGGTCGCAGACAACAACGTCCACCATGGACATGGACATGGACATTGACATTGACAAGGACCATGATGAGCGGCAGCCGGTCGACCTGCCTGGGCCTGGTCTAGCCTGTGCGTTAGTGACAGGGAAGTGGCATAGACTAGACCCTGTCTTCACCCGCAACACTTGTTGATGTGGAGATATGGGCCGTGGAGAAGAGAGGAGACAAAAGTGAAAAAAAGAAGAGAGAGGGAGAGATATCCAACGACGATGAGGCGTTTGGATGTTGAGGGTGTGGGCATTGGAAGGGGTGGCAGCCGGACGGTGGTGGGAGGGTGATGGGCAGAGCCATTGGCCAACCAAAGGAGAAGCAGGGAAAGCAGATTGCTACTACGTCTGCATGCTGCGTTTCCTATTTCTCAAGAGGAAAGTAAAAAATGATGGGAAAAAACGCGGCAAGTATCAAAGGCAAAGAAGAGGACTGAGAGAGGGAGCAAGGGAGCAAGAGGTGTCTGCATATGCCGAGGGAGGCGACTATCACAAGTGGGATTGGTGGAGATAGTCCACGATGGGGTGGATGGGAGTGGGCAGACCGGAACGGGTAAAGGATCTAATATCTCTGCGAGTCTGTGGAATATCCAGACGAGAGATGCCAAATACTGTGGTAGCCAGGGCCGATACTTACGGAGAAACGAAAGGAGAGAACAGTCCGATAAACTCAAGGGGGCACGGACTTGGCCGACGCAGGTTGGCAAAAGAGCAGGATGGGAGGGCAAAAAGGACGAGACAAGACAAGACACACACGGAGAAGAACGCAGGTATGTGGGTTCAAGCAAAGGCAGAAGAGAGGGGAAAAACGATGCATGTCGTGTAAAACGGCGAACCAAGAGACATGCAGTTCCAGACATTGCCGAACCACCCACCTGATGACAAGGGAGGTACAACCTCGAAAGTATTTCCGCACTACCTTACTCATTTTTACCGACTAAAGGCAAGGATGGAATGGCTGCAACCTGCAAGCCAGGGGCATGGGGCTCTGTGGGCAGGGACGGACGTCTTTCAGTCCACGTCCATGGCGTGGAGGGTTCCTTCATCGACCTTGGGCTGTGTGGTTTGTGGTTGCTTGGGGTGGCTCCCCCCCCCTCCCTTCCGTCCACGCCCGTGCGGTGTCAAGAAGGATAGAAGGTGCTTTAGCTCCAAAAGGGGCCGAGGCGTGGGAAAGAAGGTGTGGGTGTAAGAGGTGTGTGTAGAATCTAGAAGTGTACCTACGCAGAAGAGTCCGGAAGGCAAACGGGACGTTGGTTGTGGGCAGTCACACACCCCTCCCCCCGGGGAATCCAACGACGACGTCTCCTTCTGGCGGACAGGACACACGCCATGGCCGTAGATGGGAGGTGAAAGAAAAAGGACGTATGACGGAGGGCCATGCGGGTCGTATGTGTTATATCGACCCAGTCAGACGCAAGCCGAACCGGCCTTTCAACCGTCCGGAGAGGGGCTACAGTATGGTTCTGATTCGTGACGGGATGCGGTGTCGAGGGGGATAAGAGAAGGAGGAAGAGGATGGCGGTAAAACGGATACACGCCAGAGATGGAGACGAAGGCAATTTGGGGCAAGTTGGACGATGGGCAGACGTCAGGACGATTAGGGAAAGCCGGGTCTATGGGGAAACGAGACAGGGCCCGCCGTTGATCGAAACTCTGATCCAACGAGTGTGCCGGGCTAACGAGGGTGAGGATGGGTTGGGATGAAAGGGGATAGGACGGGTTAGGGTGAATATCAAGAGCTAAGAAGTTTGGATAGGGCAGGGCAGGGCGGGTTGAGAGAGAGAGAGCAGGCCAGCAAAAGAGTGGGAGACAAGACCAGAATGGAATGGGAATGTAACGGGGCAAAGACCGGCCGAGGGGCAGGAAGAGGGGACACTTCTCCTCTTCCGTTTGCTGTTCGTTCGCAATTGCGAACGAACCTGGCGTTCCTCGAGGTATCTCTCAACCCGAGGTATATCGTCCTGATGTCGAGACGTCTTCAAC